CTAGAAGATAGCATAGAAGAAAACCTAGATGACCTTAGGTATGGTGATGACTTCTAGATACAACACCAAAGGCATAGTCCATGACATAAATAATATACACTCTGTTAAAAATAAAAACTTCTGCTCTGCAAAAGACAATGTTAAGAGTAAGAGAAGACAAGCCATTGACTGGGAGAAAATATTTACCAAAAAACACATATGTTGATAAAGGACTGTTACCCAAACACACAAAACTCTTAAAACTCAACAGTAAGGAAACAAACAACCTGATGGAAAAATGGTCCAAAGACCTTAACAGACGCCTCACCAGAGAAGACATACAGATGGCAAATAAGCATATGAAAAGATGCTCCATGTCATAGGTCCTCGGGGAGATGAACTCGGCTGCACACCTACGAGAACAGCCACAATCCAGAACACGGACACCGGCAAGGGCTGGGGAGGACGTGGAGCGATCGGAGCTCTCATTCACGGCTGCTGGGGAAGCAGATGGGGCAGCCACCCTGGAAGGCAATTCGGTGGTCTCTCACAAAACGGAACGTGCTCTTCCCATACGACCCAGCAATCACGCTCCCTGATGTTTCCCCAAAGGAGATGAGCACACACGTCCACACAAAACCCGCACACAGTTGTTTACAGAAAATTTGGAAGCAAACAAGATGTCCTTCAGTAGGTGAACAGATAAATAAATTGGTCCATCCAGTCAATGGGTATTATTCAACACTAAAAAGAAATGAGCTGTCAAGCCAAGAAAAGACATGGAAGAAACTTAAGTGCATTAAGTGAAGTCAATCTGGAAGTCAATCTGTATGATTACAACTCCATGGCATTCTGGAAAACTGTGGAGACAGTAGAAAGATCAGTGGTTGCCAGGGATTGGGGAGTGAGGGAAGGATGAATAGGCAGAGCACAGAGGATTTTTAGGGCAGTGAAAATACTCTGTATGATATCATAATGATGGATATGTTATTATCCATTTGTCCAAACTCATAAAATGTACAACACCAAGAATGAACCATAACTAAACTTTGGGTAATTAGTATGTATCCATATAGTTCGTCAGTTGAAACAAAGCACACCACTCTGGTGGAGGATATTCATAATGGGGGAGGCTGTGCATGTGTTAGGACAGAGAGTGTATGGGAATTCTCTGTACCTTGCCCTCAATTTTGCTGTGGACCTGAGACTGCTCTAAAAAAGGAAAAAAAAAAAAAAACCATATATATATAGCTTTAAGTAAAATAAAAGATAGAAGGGGAAAAAATGCCAACCTTCTGGAAAGTAAATCTGCATGCCCAGATGGTTTCACGGACAAATTTTATCACTTAAAAAAGAAATAACACCAATTTTATATAGTCTGTCCCATGTATTTTTAACTTTTTATTTTGAAATAATTTTAGTTTCATAAGTTGCAGAAATAGTATATAGAATTCATTCAGTTTTCTGCAATAACATCTTATATAACCAGAGTACATTATCAAACTATTTTCCATATATTTTTAATTACAGTTATTGTGCTAAAAATGTAAAGAATTCAGAAGTGTATGAAGTAAAAACTATTTCTCACACCCACCTCAAGCTAAATAAATCATTATTAATAATTTGTTGGGCACCCTTCCAGACATTTCTTGCACACACAGAAATATATACACTTACACACATGCATAGTTTTATTTATTTGTTACCAGAATTAAATCATTCTTTATGTATATAGTTTTTAACTTGCTACTTTTACCCAGTAGTATATCACGAATCTATGTAAGTGATACCCATCCCCTACCTTCCAAATACCAGGGTATTGTTTTAGGACCAACAGTATGTAGTAATGATGTATGGCAGCATATTTTTTTCCTTTTTTTTTTTTGGTGGACAATTAGGTTGTCTCCCATTATTTGTTGGCCATTTCCATGAAGACACACTTCCTGTCTTATTCCTGGCCACATCACAAATATGATGTCCTTGTTGCTGTGGCCTTAAGGAGTTATTGAATGCTTTTGAGAATAGGCTTTTAGGAACTGTGGTGTCTGGGTTGGGATTTGGAGATATTTTTTGCGATTTTGCCTTTGGAACCCTAAATGACTTTGGTTTGCAGCAGTGGAGATCAACCTGAGCCACATACCGTAGCCCTGCCTGGAGGGCTGGTCAGAACAGCTAGCAGCCCACAGACCACCAGAGAAGGGTGGGCCCTGGCATCTTCCCAGAGTCCCCCAGGCACCTGGGTGCACAGCCAGGGGCGAGCTTTATCCTGACCGAGATTCCCTAAGGCGGTCGGGTCAGGGAGACTCCAGTTTTGTGTAGACAACTGGGGAGTTTGGCTCTGCTGTTTGTCTCTTGAGTGTTTACTGAACTTGGGTTCAGAAAATTTGGATTTGAGTCCCTTTTCTATTAGCTTATTGGTTTTGTGTCTGCACTGTCTTTTGGAATTCCGCTTTGCTCTCTGTGTGGGGAGAGGTTTGCATTCAGTGGCGTGTTGGGTCAGTGTCTAAGTTGGATGTAACAAATACGGTAACTGTTACACATGAGGATGCGTAGCTTGGTTATGTTCAGCTGGTTCAGTGAGAAGACACAAGACCACTTTTGCAATATCACAGGCATGAAGCAGGGAGCTAGCGTTTCATTTCTGAACGCTCCCTGGCACCTTCACCTTGGAAATGTTCATTTGAAATGGGAACCAAAGAAGAAGCTGTCTCTAGGAAATGAATACTTAACTTTTAAATATCCTGGAAAATCAGTGCTCTGCTTTTAAATAGGGGTTTATCAGTTTTCGTGTCATGTAACTATATAGTTTTCATTTCAATCTGTCTTAATTACATATTTTCATATATTTCAGAAGAAGCATAATTTTTTAGTAGATACTGCTTTAAAAAAATACATGTGCTTTAAAGTTGTTCACAATTTAAACATTAAGAAGCTAAATTCTATAGTGATGCCTTGGTGGCATAACCGTCTGCCTTCGGCTCAGGTCATGATCCCCGGGTCCTGGGATTGAGTCCTGCATCCGGCTCCTTGCTCAGCAGGAAGACTGCTTCTCCCTCTGCCTGCCACTCCCCCTGCTTGTGCTCTCTCTCTCTCTCTCTCTCTATCTCTCTGACAAATAAATAAAATCTTAAAAAAAAAAAGCAGCTAAATCCTACAATCCTATCCTGGCCAGGCTTGGTGTCTGTGAGTGTGCAGTGAGGGGGTAGGGCAAGGACAGTGCACCCCAAGGGCCCTGGCTGGTAGCAGCGGATTAGTGTGCTCACTGCGTCATGGACTGGCTGATGTTAAAAATGGAGTGCTTAGCAGAAAAAAATAGAGTGAGATTTGCAATATCATGCCATTCAGGTAAAGCACAAATACATGGACACAAAGCAGTGTACATTCTGCAGAACAAATTCAAATTAAAAGACTAGTTTGCTGTAGGGGTGGTGGGGGAATAAAGTAGGGACAGAGGGGCTAATCAATTGCAGGGTAGGTGAGATACACAAGAGAGGCTTGGCAGGGAGGGCTGGCTGAAGGAGCTGGGGTTAAAGCAGTGCAGACCCACTGGGAGCTTGCGGTAGTCTGGCCTGGACCAGAGCAGCCGCCTGCTGGGAGAGCAGGACCTGGTGCTCCCCGACCCCAAACTCGTCTTCTGTAGGATGGTGTATGAATGTCTCCCCAGAGACTTCCAGCGAGTCTTAACTTAGATGGGAGACATTTTGACACAACAGATCATTGTACATCAAGAGATCATGTACAGCCATGCTTGATGAGGCCCCCGGGGAAGCGATCCTGCCCCTCTGACTGCCAGCACTCTGGTCCTGGGCTGGTTTGGTGGGGCAGGGACTGGGGGGGAGGAGGTCTTCAAAACAGTAAGAGCTTTCTGTTAACGACGGTTTGCCCAAACAAGCTACTAGTGGAAATTGCAATATATGTATTTCTGGTCTAAATAAAGTCTCGAAGACCCGACAGATGCCCGTTGAGCATGCCAAGTTCTCTCTAGGAAACAGATGTGCACATAGCTTGAGAAGTGTTTCCACGAAGACACACTTCCTGTCTTATTCCTGGCTGCTTTAATTCGTTCTTAGGCTGTTCTTCTGGGGCGCCTGGGTGGCTCAGTTGGTTAAGCGACTGTCTTCGGCTCAGGTCATGATCCTGGAGTCCCTGGATCGAGTCCCGTGTCGGGCTCCCTGCTCGGCGGGGAGCCTGCTTCTCCCTCTGACCCTCCCCCCTCTCATGTGCTCTCTGTCTCTCTCATTCTCTCTGTCTCAAATAAATAAAAAATAAAATAAAATCTTTAGGCTGTTCTTCTTTATGATCATTTGTCAGAACAGCAGTCCCTGTTCCCGAGTCTTTGTCCAGGGATGCACTGTGGCCTTACACCAGGACTTGCACGCGTGAGCCCGCACGGGACTCGCTTGGCGATCTTGGGAAAATGCAGGCTCAGCTTCATTCTGGGGGATGGCCTCAGAGTCTGCTTCTCTTTCTTTGTTTTTAACTTTAAAAATTTTTATTAAATTTTTTTAGAATCTCCATTTCTGACAGGCTCTTAGGGGATGCTGATCACAATTTTTTAAAAATCAAAGTATTATTTACATACAATAAAATCCACTCTTCCTGGTGTGTAGTTCTGTTGGGTTTTGACAAACACATATGGTCATGGGCCACCACCACCGTCAAAACAGAACGGCTTCATTACCCCCGAGAATCCCCTCATCCCCCATTGTGGTCAGCCCTTCCCGCACCCCCATCTCTTGGCAACTACCATCTGCTCTGTCCCTATGGTTTTATCTTTTCAAGGATGTCCTATAAATGGAGTAATTCGGTTTGTAGCCCTTTGAGCCAGGCTGCTTTCACTTGGGAAGCTCTGTCCAAATTGTACATATCAGTTTGTTCCTTTTTTCTGCTGAAGAGTATTCTGTTGTGTGGGTGCACAGCGATATTAGTGTTTCCAGTTTCTCCATTATGAATTATTTTTTCATTCAAAAACTTTGGAACTTTGGAGGAAATATAATCATCTTGTGCCACTGTCGTTTTAGGTGACATCACTCAAAAAGGATATGAAAAGAAACGGGCAAAGCTGCTTGCACGCTATATCCCACTTATTCAAGGTAAAGTCAGCACGCTCAACTGTTTTGTAACAGTCGATTTCCTCACCAAACTTGACCTAAATATGGATTTTAGAGTTTTACATTGGTATGTTTCATATTTTATTAAGGAGGACTGGGCAACGTGTCTAGTATTAAATAATAAAATCCAAATCCAACGTATCTAATATTAAATAATATAATCCACAGGTTATAATTTATAGCTTGGGTTTGGTATAGATCTCGTTTCCAAATAGGATTTATTATATTTTTATGATTATAGAATACAATTCTTTCTGTGATTATAGTAAGGAACATCCCCTTACTTAGGTTCAGAACAAATGTTGTAAAGTGTCAATTCTTCCTACCTTAAATTGATCTGCAGAGCTAACACACTTGTCATTTCAACAGGGTTTTTTTGGTGGAATTTAACAAGCTAATTCTAAAATTTACGTATAAGTTTAAAGGGCCCAGGGGCTCAAAATGTGCTCAAAAAAGAAGAATGAGGTGGGAAGATGTGCCCTCCCAGGATAAGAAGAATTACTATCATGCTCTCGTCGTGAAGACGGCCTGGTTTGGAGTAAGGGCAGGCAGCTGGATCAAGAGCAGGCCCCGGAGCCCAGATGCAGACGCACATGTGTGTGCAGACGTGGCCTGGGGAGGGGGGCAGCGTTGCAGGGACGATGCTGCCGCTCCCTGTCCTCATGGAAGATCTGTGTCACTGGACACAACAGCGTCCGGCACAGAAGAGCCAATGAGAAAGGCAAAAGCTACGGCGTCTTAGAAGATTGTATAGGAAAACGGTCACCATCGAAAGATAGGCAGGACCTCAGGAGTCACTAAAGGGCCTGAGCTGTGACCCTAAGGGAGGGAACGGTGGCTGTGGTTAAATTAACAAGGTCGTTTTATCCAAAGTCACCATAAAGAGATCAAGGGCAAGTCACACAGTGGGAAGATAATTGTAACACAAATAATTGAAAAAGAACTAGTATGCAGAACACAGGTGGCAGCACTGTCCTATTTATTACCTTTTGTGATAATGGAAATGTTCTGTAACCGCTAGCCATGGATGGTCTCGAGCTCTTGAAATACGGCTAGACTGAATTTTTAATTTAATTGTAATTAATTTAAACTTAAATAGCCAGAAAGTCCCGTAACATGATTTTTCAAAAAGCGCAGGAGGAAACTGGGCCGAAGCCTTGAATCACTGTTTTGTAAGTGGGCAAGCGTACCAGCCAACAGCAAAGAAAGATGTTTAACCTCAGTGGGAATTGGAGGGATGTGGATGAAGCCCGTAACCTGCATGGGTTGTGGAGGGGATTCCAACAGTGGGGAGTGGACAGCTGGTAAAGCTGAAGAGGGGCAGCGGTGCCCAGCCACTCGCCACACAGGTGCCCGGGACAAACTCCGGGACGTTTGCACCCTGTCCTCTCTCTGTGCACAGCAGTGTTTATTGGATCCCTAAACTGCCAAGAGCTCAGACATCGAGCAGCAGAACCCCTCGGTGGGAAGCTTGAAGACCCACGCGCATCAGCAAGGATGAGTCTCATGAACATAATGGGGAGTGAAGGAAACAATCAGAAGGAGCACAGCCACCACAGCCTAGAGAAACGTGCCGACTGCGCTCTTCAGGAGCTCACATGGAGTTGGTGAAGAGAGACAAGGCAGTGGTTCACGAAGCCAGCACGCTGTGTCCTCGTGGAGTGAGGTGGGGACACAGGGCGCTCCTGAGGCACCGTCCCACTGGTTTCTTCCCCGGGTAATAATCTGTAAACGGAGCGCAGGGCTTATACTGCCAATATCAGGATGGTACAGTTCACAAGAGACCAACAATAAAAAGAATATGTCCTGACATTCATTAATCTCTGAGAGCCCACATGACAGACGTCACCAGCAGCTGACTAAGTGACGCCCAGTGTGGCATGCAGCCCAGGCAGGGGGAGACGCCGCTGCTGCAGGACCGGGGAGCGAAGCAGGATGAACAGAGCAAACGACAGTCCTCTGCACTCAGAGGTGGTCGTGTTTGATGCCTTGGCACCACGGGGACTGCCCACTCTAATGCCTATTAATACCTTAGGAAGAAAGTCACAGAACCTATATTAGGATCATAAAATCTACTTGAAAGAAATAGCCAAGACCCTAAAATATGAAGAAAGATACTGATTTCCTAAATGGAAATCTTAATTTCCAAATTAATCTGTGGACCTTATGTAGTCCAGTCTGACTACCACTGGCTGGTTTTTAAAGTTTCCAAACCTGGGATTGGAAATAATAACTCATTTGAAGGGGAAAGTTTCCGAGAGTAGCCAGTACATCTCTGGGAGAGACTACTAGTGAGAACGGCCTGGCCTCCAGCACTAAACCTGGTTGTGCCCATGTAGTCACATCAAGGGGGTGTTGGTGTTCGGGGCAGAAGAGCCAGCCGGTGTCAGGGAAGGCGGTCCAGCCAGGATGCAGGAGAGCGCCGAGGAGGAAGCCTTGTCTTACGGCTATTGCCATCCCGGCGGAGGCCGCGGAGCTGGGGTGCTCTCCTCTCTGTGTAGCATCAGCGAACAGAAGCTTCCGAAGGATCAAAGCTCGAAGTATGTTTGTGATTGTAAAATACTGTAACATTCAGGAGGATATTTGAATCACCTTTGAGTGGGGGTTGCAAGATGGGAGACCTGGGAGTTAGAAAGGAAAAGAAAGCAGGTATGATTCGTTGCCTAGAGGTGAAAGTATTTCCCAGTGGCTGAGCTGCCACCAGCTGGGCCCCAGCTCTGGGGTGCGTGCACGGGCCAGGGTCGTGACCCCAGCAGACCGGGGTTCCTGCAGCTCTTTCTCGGGAACTCATCAGCTGGATGAAATGAATAGAAATTCAAAGAAGAGGAAATGAAGATGTTCAACCCCACGAGTAGATATGGAAGTACAAATTAAAGTGAACCATTTTCCTTGTATCAGATTGGCAAAATTCTAAAAATCTTTCTAAACACCCAGTGCTGACAAGGGTGTGGGGAAATGGCACTTTCATGCATTGCTAGTGGGCATGCAAATTGCTGTAACCCTTTTAGAAAGTTATCTCTTGGTACTTGTAAAACCTAAAAATGTACCTGCTCTTTCTTGTGATAATTTCACATTGGGCTTACATTTTTGTGGAATAAACGAATCTATCTCAAAGAATAAAAGCACCCATATTTTGGAATGCAAATGTAAGGATGTCCATAGGCATGTATCCATCATGCATAAGATTCTGTGTATTCTCCATTACGAACTTTAAGGTCATTCTATCCAGTCACAAGAAACAAGATGCCAATCACAGTGCTGGCCAGTGTTGCTATACTATGTATATGCTCACATTTTGAAGAGCTAAACACTGATTTCCAGGAGTGTTCCCACCTTCTAGCTCTGTAACTGAACGCCCAACAGTGCCGTTCCCAAGCGCCAGTGATGACAGCTCTTCTGCTCACACGTCTGCAGTGTGGCTCCCGAGGGCCGCTCGCCCTGTCCCCAGAGCCGAAGCTGGTGTCCTGGAGGCAGTGCTGAGTCTCCCCGGCCACTGTGGTCTCCGCTGTCCTTTCACGTGTCCTCTTGCTGTGTTGTCTCCGGGCCGCACAGGCTTGCCTCTGCCACACTGTGTCCAGCAGTGGGTTTGAGGCAGGGATAGACAGCCTTTCTTCAGGAGGTGATGAAGGCTTGGCAGACCCCACGGGGCTGGGATGCCTACTGGCTACTTGGATGAGATGTCTGGAGCCAGAGACTAAAGTGAACCTGCGTCACTCTGATGAAGCATGACGGAAGGCTTGCGTTGTGCTGTTCTCAAAGGTCAGCAGGTTAGAGCTCAGACAATACCACGGATTCTGTCTCACGATCCTGTATGCTTGGGCCCCGTCCGTTTACTTGCCACACTGTCCTACGGGCCTGTGTGGTCAGGGGCCGTGGAGGGTGGCCACGGGCTGTCTGGGTGTTGGGTTTGCAGACAGCAAGCAAGCAGGCGCCCCAGGCTGAGGGCGTCAGTGCCTGAGGTCTCTGCACCCAGTGCTCTGTGGCTGTCACAGTCATGTGCACCCCTCCCTCGCCACTGTCCCGCGTTTCTGCCCGTGTCCAAGGGCAACTGGTCACCCCAGGGACCGCTTTGTGGGATGCCTCCTGGGGAGCCGGCTGACGTCATGGACAGTGCCAGGGAAAGTGACACAGCCTTTGCAGATTCAGGAAACAGGCTTTTGAAGGACCTTCCCAGGATAGTCTGCCGCAGGTGCCCACACGTGCTGTGCTGGGACGCTCAGGGACGCTGTGTGATGGTCACCCTTTTTGCGGACGGTGGACAGTGAGGCAGGGCAGGCTGGGCACTTTCGGATGGAGAGCTGGAAGTGAGTATTCGTGGCTCTGTTCCCAGCCTCCAGATCCAGGGCTCTTCTGGGCTTCACGGGCCACTGCGGGATGCATGTGCCCAGATGATTACCGTGTGTTCTGTGTAGCAACGTAGGAGGAATATGTGCTGTTCCAAATGGATTTTTCCATCATCGGAAAAGCAAGTTGTGTACACAAGCTGTTCGCACAAAATTGTGTTGCAGGGGTAGATCCATCCCTGCAAGCAGAGAACAGGATGCCCGCTCCCTCCCAAACCACAGCCGCCGTGCCCAAACAGCAGAAGCCGCGGCCCACCAGCTCCCGGGACGAGCGCTTCCGGTCAGGTAGGGACCAGAGAGGGGTCGCCCCCCACCCCCCGCGGTGGACCTGGCTGTAAATGGCTGCTGAAGAAAGTGTTTTCACTGAAGGGTAATTGACCACATCCTGCTACTTTTCAAGAGAAAACCTAACCTTCCCACAATCACAGGATCTCTTAATGTGACCTGTAGGGTTGGGGGTCTCTCCCCAGGGGATGCTTATAAAAACCCCTGGAGAAATTGTCCTTCCCCCCGCAATTAGTATAATTTCTTTAAACTTTTTGGTCCATTTTTCTACCTCTAGCTTTGGGGTTGGTATTCGTAATTTTTGTATGTTATGGAGCAGCTTTATTACTATAGGTGTTTTTACTATTCCTTCTTTTTCTAATTTTGGAGATTTCCTTCTAAGGAGATTTCTGCCACTCTATCCATGCTTTTATCAATATTTAAATTAGCCTGTGACATTTTATTTGAATGATCGGAATGCCCATTGAAAAGATTCATGTTTTCAGCTGTAGGTTGCATGTCAGTAGCTTTGGGGCACTCTGCTTCACCACCATGTGTGATCACACATTTCCTTTCCATTTAAGCTCTTTTGGAAAGCTTTTTTTTTTTTTTTTTTAAAGATTTTATTTATTTATTTGAGAATGAGAGAGAGCACATGAGAGGGGGGAGGGTCAGAGGGAGAAGCAGACCCCCTGCCGAGCAGGGAGCCCGATGCGGGACTCGATCCAGGGACTCCAGGATCATGACCTGAGCCGAAGGCAGTCGCTTAACCAACTGAGGCACCCAGGCGCCCCTGGAAAGCTTTTTTTTTAATGATGAAAAACTTTCAACAGAGATAAAGAAATGACCATTTTGTTTAAAGAATATCTCAGAGGAATGTTAAGATTTTATGTGTTACGTTAACATGGGAGTGTGATGAAGTGACGAGAAATTTTTGATCAGATAATTTCTTACTAATTTAACATACATTTGCCATGCTGTTAATATTTTCTTTTCTTTTTTCTTTTTTCTTTTTTTTAAGATTTTTATTAATTTATTTGACAGAGAGAGACACAGCGAGAGAGGGAACACAAGCAGGGGGAGTGGGAGAGGGAGAAGCAGGCTTCCCGCCGTGCAGGGAGCCCCATGCGGAGCTCGATCCCAGGATCCTGGGATCATGACCTGAGCCACCCAGGCACCCCTATTTTCCTTTCTGATTATATAAATAATACATGCGATATCAAATATATCAGGTTTAAGGACAAAAGTAAAACCACCTGAACTCTGAATCCTGAGACCACCACCCTCAGCATCTCACTGAGCAGGTGCACACAGACACCTGCAGGTGCATGCGGAGGGTGCATGCGAGGGTTCGCACACCCGCCGATGCCTGCGTGCACACACAGATACCCCAGCGCTCATGCAGGTGCACACACGCGCCCACTGATACCCACAAGCACGTGCAGATACTCGCTTGCACGCACGCACTCCGTGAATGGGGTCATGGTAGAGGCCCCCTTTCTCTCCTTTTCTTCCTACTTTCCCTGCTTCCCGCCGTCCTCTGCTCCCCATCTGTTTCCATGTGACAGATGTTAATAAACTGTGAACTTCATTCTAGTTCTAATTCTTTATTTTCTGAATACAAGACCTTGACCATAGCTGTGATTTGCTGGTATTTTCTCCGAGGTTTTGTCTTGTCTTTGCATTCTCTTAAAGCGGCTTTTGAAGAGCAGAAGGTTTAAATTTCATTTTATTTATTTATTTTTTAAAAGATGTTATTTATTTATTTGAGCACATGCGCGCGTGCACACGAGAAAAAGAGAGAGAACGCAGCGGTAGGGGGAGGAGCAGAGGGAGAGGGAGAATCAGACTCTGTGCTGAACATGGAGCCCAACGTGGGGCTGATCCTACGACCCAAGATCACCCCCCAGGACGAAAGCAAAAGTGAGTCGCTTAACTGACTGAGCCACCCAGATGCCCCTGGAAATTTTTAATTTTAATGAAGTCCAACTTACCGTTTTTTTGTTTGTTTTTCTTTTTAGTGGATAATGCTTTTGTTCTTGTATCTAAAAAATCTTTGCCTCACCTAAGGTCACAAAGATTGTCACCTCTGTTTTCTTCTAGTTGTTTTATAGTTTTATATTTTAGCTTTAGGTCTATGATCCATATTTTAGTTGAGTTTAGTATTAGTTCAGGGTATGAATCAAAGCTCATTTTTTTTGCATACAGATATCCACTTGCCCCCATCATTTGCTGAGAACACACTGCCTTTGCCCCTCTCTCTAGGAACACCCGCACAGGTAGACGCGATGCTATTTCTGGACTCTGTCCTGGCCTGTTGATGTATTCGTCTATCTTTACGGCAAAACCATGTTTCAGTGATTATAGCTCAGTAATAATTGTTGAAATCAGTAGTGCTCTTCCTCCAAGTTTTGTTGCTTTGTTCGTTATTGTTGTTCCCTTGTCTGTAATGTGACTTTTCTCCTCTGGCACTTCTAAGATTTTTCTCTTCATCGCTGGTTTTGAGTGATTTGGTTATGATGTAATGTTCTCATTGTGGCAGCCGTACTTTCAGTTTCAAAGGGGAAAGAACATTTTATTGATATCATAGAAATAGAAAGAAGAAAAGAGAAATCTGCGCATAGATGAGGGAAATAGTAAGCAGTAAAGGAGGATAGGACAGAATTACATTACATCAGATCGGGTGCTTGCAACACCCGACCTTATCAGCTGGGGAAGCCCCGTAGAGACACCCAGGGTGGAGTCCCCACTGAGAGGCCTGGGCAGAGCGTCCTCCCTGCAGCTGAGACTTCCCACTGACCATCCCCATAAGGGCCGTATTTATAGGGCCAATGACAGGGTCTGAGGTTAAACATTGGTTCACCTACATGCAGTTTGGAGTGAGCTGCATTTCCATGTTGTCATGTCTTTACATCTTCCAGGAGCCTGGGCTCCTGGATGTGTCTGCCTCCCGTCCCAGATTCCATTCCGGGGGGCCAGCCCAGCCTGGAGCAGCAGGGGATGCGAGGAGATGTGAGGCTAGATTTACAGCTCTTGGGGTCCAGACCAGAAGGGCCGGTTCTGACCTGGAGGCCAGCTAATGTCCACTAACCAGGCTCCCAAGGTCACTCATGGAGCACGAGTCTCACAAACAACATGCTCTAGCCAGTCTGCCTACGTGCAGGTTGGGCTGGCCCGTGATGTGGGACAAATCACAGAAACCTACATGTGCCTTGGTGTGTGTAGTTTTATGTTTCTTGGGGTTTGCTGAGCTTCTTGGATTTGTTGGCTTAGACCCCTGTTGTGCTGGTATCATGTCGATTTTTAGTCTTCTGTTGTTTTACCTGTATTTGTGATTGTGTTGGTTTCTAAGGCTGCAATAGGGTTTAAAGTATGTGCTCACAGTTACCGCTGTGTTGTTGCAGGGCTCCTGGATTTGTCTCTCTCCCTCAAACACCTTCTTATGTCTGGGAGTATTTTTATTAGACCCTTACATTTAAATGATAATTTGGCTGAATTTGAAATTCTAGGTTCAACACATTTTTCTTCAGTACTATGTTGCCTTCTTGCCCCCAGTAGTTTCTGTTGAGTAATGTGAGTCTATTCCTTGATCCTTCCAAGGTGATTCAGTCTTTCTCTCTGGAAGCTTATAGAATTGTCTTGTTGTCTTTGATGTTTGTAAATTTTATTTTAATACATCTGTGTGCAGATTTTTCATCTTTCCTGACTAGCACCCTATGGGCCATTTCACTGTAAGGGTTTTAAATGCTTTAAAAACATTTTGTTGGAGAAAAATTTAAACAGGTACAAAAGTGGACTTCCTCGTGTTATTACACGTGTTTATTACTCATTGTCCAGATGCACAGCCCCAGTCATGCTCAGTCTTGATCCGTTTATCCACACCCCACCTACGCCCTCCCTTCCCACATGATTTTGAAGCAAATCTCAGAGATGATGTTATTTCATTTAGATGTCATAATATTCTTGGTGTCTGTTTCTGAAAAGGATCGTGTCCTTGTAGCTCTAAAAGATAAAAACCATTATCGCAAAATAAGTAAAAATAATTCCTTAATATCAAATATCCAAATGTTCGTATGGTTTTTAATTTTTTATTTTTATTTCAAAAAAAATTTTAAGTAAGCTCTATGCCCAACGTAGGCTCAAACTCATACCCCAAGATCAAGAGTCCCATGCTCCACCGACTGAGCCACCCACGCGCCCCTGGGCCAGCACTTCTAGGCATTTTTAGCAGAGGGGGTACTGCATAATAGTTAAAGACAAAATATCACATGTGTTCATGCTGACACTTTCCATTTAGATCAGGAATAGAGGCTGACCTCACTTCCTTTCTGTGTTTGTATCTTCTTCCTCATGAGTGTCTTGGTTCCCAGGGATGGTAGCATCGCTGTGTGATGCAGAAAAGAGTTTGTATTTCTTTTCTTTCTTTCTTTTTTTCTTAAGTAGTGAAGCCCAACACAGGGCTTGAACTCAGGACCCTGAGATCGAGACCTGAGCTGAGGACACTTAACTGACTGAGCACCCCCAGGCGCCCCCAGAGTTTATATTTCCTGTGCATCCTTAGTAGATATCTCCAGAGGAACAGGTCAAAGGGTCTAACTATGTACTTGAAAGTCATTTGGAATAGTTTAGGCCAACAACTAGAGACATGCTTACGTTCATTTATTTCATTTTATTTTTAATTTGGGGGATTTCTTTTTTATATAGTTTTGATTTATAACTGAAAATATTTACATGGGTCCAAATCTACAAACGAAGGAACAGTTAAAGAAATCTAGGGCCAGGGCGCCTGGGTGGCTCAGTTGGTTAAGCGACTGCCTTCGGCTCAGGTCATGATCCTGGAGTCCCTGGATCGAGTCCCGCATCGGGATCCCTGCTCGGTGGGGAGTCTGCTTCTTCCTCTCCCACTCCCCCTGCTTGTGTTCCCTCTCTCGCTGTGTCTTTCTCTGTCAAATAAATAAATAAAATCTTTAAAAAGGAAAAGAAAAAGAAAAAGAAAAAGAAATCTAGGGCCAATGTCATAGGCCATGCTTATTTTTTTTTAATTTTTAAATTTTTAAAATTTAAAATTAATTAATTAGCATACAGTGTATTATTAGTTTCAGGGGTGGGATTTAATGATTCATCAGTTGCATACAACACCCAGTGCTCATTCCATCACGTGCCTTCCTTTATGATAGGCCATGCTGATGTCTCTTTCACATTCAATGAAAACAAATAAGATTATAAAACTTAATTTTGTTACTTCCTAAGCAATCTTGTAGAAAGTGTCTTTTCTGCTCTTGTTTTTATGTAGATGTTCACACGGAGGCGGTGCAAGCAGCTTTGGCCAAATACAAGGAGAGGAAGATGCCCATGCCTTCGAAAAGACGTTCTGTTCTCGTACATTCCTCGGTGGAAACCTACACGCCTCCAGGTATGGACGGACTGTTGGCTTCTGTGGGGTTCCACAGCCCTGACCTCATAGCCTTCCTTGACCCCTCTGACCTGTAGTAAAGATTTGGAAAAATTAGAGATTAGAAATGTTTGTATATGTGCCATATTCCTTCCTGAAAATCTGTGGTATACACAGTGTGACTCTTAGCCGTGGGTGCTTGCTTTCTACAGGACTTTTGGGTAGATTTTAATTCTTTTACTAAGATGCTATTTATGCTTTTTAGTCAAGAGAGGAACCTAAAATCAGTGTTACTGGAATACTAAAGTTCTCTGATTTAAGAATTTTAAAATTACTCTCATCTTATTAATGACTATTTACTATATTGTTACCAGGCCTTACACAGGAGAGCATGGGCTATTGGGAGGATTTTAAAGATTTATTATTGTTTTGTTGTCATTACCTTTAGAAATGAGAACTGTTGCATGGAGCTTTTCTTTAGCGAAGGTGTTGTAAGCTCTGTCTGCAGGACACCCAGTGTTGGTGATGTGTGGCGCTCTGCTCTGCTTGTCTTGTTTTTGAGGTCATGAAACATGGCAACATGAGTTTTTGGTTTGGTGATGTAGTGAAACCCAAACACACCAGATTTACAAGACAATTTGGTGGTTTTGGTAACAATTCCTTTCTAAAGAAAAATAAGTTTATATTGTTGAAAAAAATATTCTAGAAATAGCTGTCAAATTATTGTTTCTACTAAATATAACTATAGATACTACCCACTTTTTAAAAAAACTTTTTAATAATAATAAAATGCACAGTCACGGTGACTTGCTAGAACCTTAATGAGCGGTTAACCCTATTGACTGAAGCAGTTGTCTTGGGGAAGGACTTGTTCTCAGAGCTCACCGCCAGCTCCCCTAGGCGGACACAGGTGGACGGGGGCGGCCTGGGTGGGCTGGGGGTGCCTCCCCTGACGGCTGCACTACCTCAGGGGGCCGGCTGAGCCTTGTGTGCCAGTTGTGTGGGGCGTTCGCTCAGATGGGCACTCAACACCTGGGGACCCCACCAAGGAGTGTGCTGAAGCCATTTAGGGCTGGGGTTGCCCTCACTCCCAGCGTGTGGTGCTCCCAGACCGTCCCCTGGGGGAAGCTGGGCTTGTGAAACCCCTTCCCCACTTTCCCAGGTGAGGCTCCTTGGATCTTACAGCTGGGCAAACGCAGGCCCTTCGAGACTGAGGGCAGCCTTTGAGATGACCCCTGGGCCAGGCTGGGGCAGCGCAGGTGCACAAAGCTTGCCGTGTGCGGGCCTGGGAGACACAGGTGCCAGTGTGGGAACTCCGCCCTCCTCCCTACTCATCCCTACATTATGCCTGTCGTCATTTTAACCACAGACACATCATCTGCCTCAGAAGATGAGGGCTCTTTACGGCGACCCGGGCGACTCACCTCCACTCCGCTCCAGAGCCATTCCAACATCGAGCCCTGGCTCGACCGGGTCATTCAGGGCTCGTCCACCTCATCCTCTGCATCCTCCACCTCATCTCACCCGGGAGGGAGACCCGCCGCCGCTCCCACTGCCGCCGCCACCACGCTCACAGGCCCCGCGGCCCACGCCCACCTAGGTCAGTAACGAGCGGCCACGGCCCCTCCAGGACGGGGTGCCTCTGTGCCCATCAAGGCCCACCTTCTCTTTTTCATCTGGAAAGGTCATTTTGGGAACAAAAGTAGTTCTTGATGCTTCTGTGGTTTGGCAATTGCAGACCGTGTGGTTTGTTGGCCTCCCCGTGGGCCCCAGAAGTGGTGGTGTTTCTGGAATCCTATCTCCTCCTGCTCTGGAGGGGTGGGCTAGTAGAGGTGGCAAGTGTAGGGTGGACGGTCCCCAGACGTGGCCTCGGTTGCTCCTGATGGCCACCCTGAGCCTGCTGCCTCTGCGTTGTCTCCGCCTTCGCTCTTTGCCTCGTGAGCACCCTGTGGAGCCAGCAGCGGGGCAGGGGGCCGGGGCTGCAATCGTGGTCTGGCCTTCCTAACGCCACATCCCAAGTGAAGCAACCCCTCACCCTGAACCGAGGTGTCCGGCAAAGCTAAATCATAAAGATGTGGAGGTCTTTTCTAATTCATCCATTTCTTTAAATTACATTAATCTTGGAAAGGAAGAATTGCAAACCTTTCCTGAGTTGAAATCTTATTTGCTGGACCGTAGCATAGTTTGCCTCATGTGAGCTCGTGCGCGGAGCTCGCGTCCATTCTGCACTCGCCCCGTAACGACGCGTGTCTCTCGGGGGTGCTGTCGGCAGTTCCGCAGACTTCTCTTAACCCCCGCGGTTTTCTGGATGTGCAGGGAAGGACAGAAAGCAGGCTGTTTGTCCCTTGCCTGAGATCACACAGCTGGCCCAGGGCTGGCACAGTTTTCTTTGCTGTGAGTTCTGCTAAAACTGTCGTGGGGCACCACGCCCGTCACAGGCCGTGTCTCCGGGGGCTCCCCGGAGCCTTACCACCCCCAGGCAGATGCGGGCTCAGGGGCCGAGCTGCTTTCCTGTGAAATCTTGGTCATTTGGCTGCCCTGGGAGCCCCCCACCCCCTACTGGATGAGGCTTGGCATCCTCTGTGGACACATCATGGATGCTCTTCTCTGTTTACCTGTTGAGTCAATACGGGAAGCCTGCACGTTTCTGCCAAGCTTGTCTTCCTCCGTGACGTGGGCTCACTGCTCCAGCGCACGGAGTGGCTGCCGAGGGCACTGGGGAGCCGGCGGGGCTGGGGGTTGGGGGCAGAGCCCTTGGGGAAGCAGCCCCCGCAGGCTCTTCTGGCAGCGGCCCTGGGTGTCCTGCCGATGGGCTGGCTGTGGTCACTCCCCAGCTGTCCTCAAGGAGGGCTTCCGGGGAGAGCTGGAAACACGGCCTTCACACTGATGCATTTTTTCCTCTGTCACAGTGATTTCACGTATCGGAAATAGCTATCTCCAATGGGAGGAAAACGGTGTTTCTGAATGTTCTGTTACCTTATTTCTGCTTCCTGATACTCTGTTCTGGGCGAGATGGTGTAGAAAGTAGAACCGCATCAGCATTGCTGAGCTGTTGCGAACCCTGCTTCCCGGTGGGTTAGAGATGAAAGCGTATGTAGCATGAGCGGCTGGCCGCAGCCCAGAACACGGAGCCCCACAGCCCTGGACTGTCCTGTGGCCGTGGGGTCTTTTCACAAAGCCCGTGGCTGTGGTGGGGGGGTGTTCTCCGCGAGGGGGGCTGTGGAGGCTGACAAGGGAGACTCCTTACTGCGCGCACGGAGGACCCCCGACTCTGGCGGGTGTGGCCGCACCCTCTTCTCCCCCGTCCCACTCGCTTAGCCTCTCCCACACACTGTGTGATCAGTTCTTGTGAATTCTAGTCATCTTCACTGTGGATCGTAGCCTTCTTCTGCTAAATGTTCTCTGGATATAGTTGACTTGAGTTCCTGAATCTGAAAATACTTACCTTCCTGCTCCTTATTATAAAAATCATCCTTTTAGTTTTTAGCACTGGGGAATTCTTCAGTTTGGACTAAGGAAAGAAATATAGAAAGAAGAAGGATATATTAGGTAAAAAAAAAAATTGAGGTACAATATATTAGGTAAAGGTAATTTAAAAAAATATTTTCAATTTTGGATTAAAGAAATTAAATTAAATCCATAAAACATTGGGATACAGATGTAAATACCTATATTTAAAAGTAGTATTTTCAGTTATAGCAGTTCATTTTTATTTTGAGTATTGTTTATTTTTATGTAGTGATTTTAAAACTACTTTATAGTTAAGATTACCATTTATGCCTTTCATGAATATTGTTAAAATCACTTACTCTTTTTGCTAGACTTAGAAGGTTGGGGAAATTTCTTTCTAAACTAAAAGAACTTCATGATAGGCATACTTTAAAATGCTAATTTCATCAACATCACACTTTCTCACGGGTTGTGAAAACGCTGTCGTTAAGTTAGATTTTTCCAAATGGTGTTTTCTGATATGTAAATAGAGTTTGGGTTTTGCTTCCATATAATTTCATCTTTCTACATATTTTTAAAAAATTTTGGTTTGCATTTTGCCTAGGTGATGAACTAATAGGTAAACGATCAGAACTTAAAAATCAGAAGCAGCAGAGTGGCCCCTGTGGGGGCGGGAACACGCATCAGAGGACCAAAGGGATGGCAGGTCTGTCCCGCCGGCCCTCATACAGACGCCGCAGTCACGCTCACACTCAGGCTCATGCTCACGCTCACGCCTCAGCAGCTTCCAGTCAGCCGGCACTCCAAACGGAGACATGTGCCGTATGGTACAGATTAAACCCCAAAATGAGCATTCGGACAATGGAAGGAGTGACTTCAAACATTTTCTGCATCTCACGTCGTTTGTCTTTAACTGTGACATTAATATCTTTTAGTACTTGACTGAGGTCCCCCAATAGTGAGATGTGTTGATCTGGAAGCAGGGATCATTTTTATCTTCGTAGGCTTATTCTTTGAAGGCTGAAAAGGTCTTGTGTCTTTGTGACATTCAACATAGTTTTCAGGGGAGTGGGGGTTAGTTTATAGAAGCCTGGCTATTTTTTTCATAATACAACGAAAATATTCCAATGACAACTGATTTAAAATGTGTCTCTGATTCATTAAGATTTCTTACTATTTTGTTTTGAGAGAGAGTGAGTGAGAACACAGAGGGAGAGGGAGAAACAGGCTCCCCGCTGAGCAGGGAGACCAATGAGGGGCTTGATCCCAGGACCCTGAGATCATGACTTGAGCTGACTGAGCCGCCCAGGCGCCCCCTTCACTGAGATGTCTGTCTAAAGTTCATTCATGACTGCCAACGCGTTATCGTCGGAGGTCCTGGCCGAGGTCCCTATGAGAACCACGTGCATACAGGTGTCCGCAGGCTGTGTCTGGGAGTTCAGAGTTCACAGGGTCCTGATGTGTCTTGGTCAACCAGAAAAACAGAATGAATCAGATATCACATTCCTTGCTTAGAGCTCAGTTCCTGAGGCTCTCCTTGAATGGGATTTAAAGAGCAACCTCATCCTCTGCATCAACAGCCACTTTCATTTGGGGTTTGTTTTTCCAAAGCAGATGTGCACTCCGCCCCTCCGGATGTCACCACGGGCCTTGGGGAGCTTTCGCACCGTGAGCGTCCGCAGCTGGCTTCTGTGCGAGGTGTCGCTAGGGGCTACAGCGGGAGTGTCCTAGAAACGGCTGGTGGTGAGCATGCCTCTCTTTGTCCTTTTGAAATAGCAGAGCACAGCCTTTCTCTTCAGGTATGGAACATGGCTTTGGTGCATTTGCTTTAGCAAACCTAAGCCAGCCATTAGCTGTAATTCTTCAGTGTGCGTGAACGGAGGCCAGTGTGTGCGGGGGACGTTACAGAGAGTGTCGTGGGGAGAAGCAGGCAGCAAAATCTCTGGAATGGGTCAGATGGGGAACAAGGAGAGCAGGGAGGAGAAAGCCTCCACATCTGAATTGGATGCCAAAGGAGTTTAGATCTACAAAACAGTAGGAAAATGAGAAGCCGTGGGCAGTCTCTGTTGCAGACTCTGTGTGGCCTCAGTGTGAGAGCACCCTGCCTGGGACGCACTGGTCCCCACGCCCTCTGTGCCCACAGCCTGAGAAATGGGCATGGCGGCAAGCCTGGTTTCTGACCTGCAGGCCGGAAAGGCCGGTGTGATCCCCACAGTGTCCTCATTTGCGCTATTTCCTTTGGAAACAGTTTCCGGTGTCTTTTATCAAAATCATGTGAAGGTTTCTGTCCAGTGTACCAGATTAGAACTGCAAAAAAATCCAGAGGATCTTAGATCGAAGGTTTTAATGTGTATTTTGATATTCCTAAGCAGTAAATCCAATTTTGTCAAGGTCTTTTAGCTCCTTGTCCAGATGCAACAGGAAAATACTGAGTCAACATGAAGCAGGCTTTCCATTGGTTAGATAGATTTTTTTAATTTGATTATATTTAAAAAATAAGAGCTTAGTTGAGGTATAACTGACTTGTAATCAACTGCACATATTTAAAGTATACAATCTTACAAGTTTTAAGACGTGTGTATACCTGTGAAAACCATCCCTATGATCAAGATAGTGAACACATCCATCTTCCCCCTCTGCCCCTCCCCTCACATCCCCCCCCCAAATAAATAAGTAAATAAATAAATAAATAAAATCTTGGGGCGCCTGGGTGGCCCAGTCGGATGGGCATCCGACTCTTGATTTCGGCTCGGGTCATGATCTCAGGGTGGTGAGATCAAGTCCTATATGGGGCTTGCGCTCAGCACAGAGCCTGTTTGGGATTCTCTCTCCGTCTGCCCCTCCCCATGTCTTGCTCACAGGTTCACTCTCTCTCTCTCTCTGTCTCTCTCCCCCTCAAATAAATAAATAAATAAATAAATAAATAAATCCTTTTTCAAAAAAAGATAGTGAACACATCCACCGTTCCTAAAAGTTTCCTTGTGCCCCTTTGTAAACCCGCCCTTCTGCCCTTTTGGGCTACCCCCAGGCTTCAGGCAACTCCTGATTTACTTCCTGACAATATAAAGTAGTTTGCATTTTCTGGAATTTTATATGGATAGAATCATGCAGTATTTCCTCGTAGATTGTCTGGCTTCTGCTGCTCTACATAAGTACTTTGAGATTCACTCATGTTCTTGGATGTATCGATAGTTTGTTCCTTTTACTGATAAGTAGAATTTCATTTTATGGATGCGCTGCGCTTGTTTGCTTGCTGAGGGGTATTTGGGTTGCCTCCGGGTTTTGGCTATTGCAAATAAAGCTGCTGTGAATATTCTTATACAAGTTTTTGTGTAAAAGTATACTTTCACTTCTTTTGGGTCAATAGCTGGGAATAGAATGTCTGGATCATATAATAGGTTTATGCTTAACTTTCTAAGAAATTGCCAAACTGATTTCCAAAGTGGTTGTACCATTTCACAGTCCCACGGCTGGTGATGAGAGCCCTTGTTCGCCCACATCCTTGCCTGGAGTTGGTATTGTCCATCTGTTCATGTCACCCATCCTACTGGGTGTGTGGAGGTCTCTCATTGTGGTGTGAATTAGCATCTCCCTAAAGACTCAGGAAGTGGAGCATCTTTTTATGTGCTTATTTGCCATCTGTATGTCTTTTTAGAAGTCTGTTCAGATCTTGCTTTTATTTTTTATTTTTTTTTAAATTTTTATTTATTTATTATTATTTTTAAAAGATTTTATTTATTCATTCATGAGAGACCGAGAGAGAGAGGGGCAGAGGGAGAAGCAGGTTCCCGAGGAGCAGGGAGTCTGATGCGAGACTCGATCCCAGGACCCTGAGATCATGACCTGAGCCGAAGGCAGACGCTAAACCATCTGAGCCACCCAGGCGCCCTGGATCTTGCTTATTTTTTTAATGTGATGTTTTCTTATAAGTTTTGAGAGTTCTTTATATATTCTGGATTCAAGTTTTTTATGAGGTATATAATTTGGATTTTCTCCCAGTCTGTGGCTTGTCTTTTTTTCATTCTCTTAACAGTGACTTTCAAAGAGCAGAAGTTACTAATTTTGATGAAGTCCAGTTTACTCATGTTTTCTTTTATGGATCCTACTTTTGTGTCTTATCTAAGATATATTTTCCTAACCCAAAGTCATAAAGGTTTTCTATGTTTTCTCCTAGAATTTTATAGTTTTAGGTTTTACATGTAGGTATAAGATGCATTTTGAGTTAATTTTAGTGTAAGTACAATATATGGATCAGAGTTTGCTTTTTCGCATGTGGATGTCCAGTTGTTCCAACATCATTTGTTATAAGCCATTCTTTCCCCACCAAATTTCTTTGGCATCTTTAACAAAAATTGGTAGATCATATATGAGAAGGATCTGTTCCTGGCTGTCTATGCCATCCCATGGCTGTTTGTCCATTCTTACACCAATCCCATGCTGTCATGGTTACTGTGGTTTTATAACAAATCTTGAAATCGTGCAGTTTCTCTTCAAACTCTGCTTGTCTTTTTTTTTTTTTAAGATTTTATTTATTAATTTGAGATAGAAAGAGCAAGAGAGCAAGCACGAGCTGGGGGGTCGGGCAGAGGGAGACGGAGAAGCAGGCTCCCCGCTGAGCAGGGAACCCCATGTGGGACTTGATCCCAGGACCCTGGGATCATGACCTGAGCTGAAGGCAGACGCCTCACCGACTCAGCCCCCCAGGCCCCGCACACTCTGCTTTTCATTTTACAGTTTGCTTTGGCAAATTTGGAATATCAGCTCCTTTGCATTTTAACATGTATTTTTAAGTCAGTTTGTTTGTTTCTACCAAAATTCCTGCTGGGTTTTGATTGATATTTCATTAACTCTGTAGATCAGTTTGGAGAGAATTGGCATCTTAACAATATTATATATTTCAGTTGATAAATACAGTATATCTTTCCATTTATTTGGCTCTTATAAAATTTTTTTCAGCATTGTTTTGTAGAATTCAGTATGCAGGGGCGCCTGGGTGGCTCAGTCGGTTAAGCGTCTGCCTTCGGCTCAGGTCATGATCCCAGGGTCCTGGGATCAAGCCCCGCATCGGGCTCCCTGCTCCGCGGGAAGCCTGCTTCTCCCTCTCCCACTCCCCCTACTTGTGTTCCCTCTCTCGCTGTGTCTCTCTCTGTCAAATAAATAAATAAAATCTTTAAAAAAAAAAAAAGAATTCAGTACGCAGGTATTGCACCTATTTTGTTAAAATTATCCCAAAATAGGTTATATTTTTGATGTTATTGTAAATAGTATTTTAAATTTTTTCCAGTTGCTTATTCCTGGTCTACAGAAATGCAGTTGGTTTTTGTATGTTGGCCTTTTATTAGTTCCAGTAACTTTTTTGGTAGATTCCTTAAGATTCTGTATGTTTGGCCATATTGTCTATGAGTCTGGTTTTACTTTTCTTTCCAAACTGTCTTTAGAAGCATTTGTGTTTCTGGCTTTATTGCAGTGTAGGACTCCCACTAGTGTCATTGAGAAATGTTGAAAGAGGTTATGACTTGCCTTGTTTCCAACTGTAGGGGGAAACCATCCACTTTTTCATGTTTGAATTGTGATGTTAGCTGTGTGTTTTTCAAAGGTGCTCTTCATTAGGAAGTTCTCTTATTTTCCTAACTTCCTGAAAATTTTTGTCATGGTTTTTGTTAAATGATTTTTTTTTTTTTTAAGAGAGAGAGGGGGAGAGGGAGAGAGAAAGTGCAAGGGGTGGGGATGGACAGAGGGATAGGGAGAGAGAATCTCAAGCAGACTCCACACCCACCGCAGAGCCCAACAGGGGGTTCAATCTCACGACCCTGAGATCATGACCTGAGTCGAAATTAAGAGTCAGATGCTTAACTGACTGAGCCACTCAGGCCCCCCTGTTTAGTGTTTTTTTTGATCTGATAAAGTCACATATGGTTTTTCTTTTGTAGTTTGTTAATGTAGTAAATTTCATTAATTAATTTTTGAATGTTAAACCAAAGTTATATTCTCAGGATAAACCCCACTTGGTGATCATGCATAATTATCATGCATAATTTTTTTCTGTATTATGGATTTGATTTGCTAATACATTTTGTTAAGGATTTTGGGTCTATGTTCAAGATACATAGTAGTCTGTAGTTGGTTTTTTTTTTTTTCCTTGTAATATCTTTGTCTGGTCTTGGTATCAGGATAATGCTCATCTCAAAATGAACTGAGAAATATTCCCTCCTCTTCTACTTTCTTATAAGAGAAAACTGATTTTTCTATTCTTGAGTCAATTTTATGTATTTGAAAGAATTTGTTCATTTCATCTGTTCTCTCCAATTTAGGCATAAGTTTATGATATTCCTTTATTTTCCTCTGATGTATATAAATCAGTGGTGGTGTCCCCTCTTATATTTCTGGTATTAGTAATTAGTGTCCTCTCTCTTTATATCTTGATCATTCTAGCTAGAAAGTTAATTGAATTTTATTTATCTTTCGAAGAATTGGTTTTGGTTTAATTGGTTTTTTTCTATTATATTTACTTCAAATCTTATATTTATTCCTATCTTTTTTCTACTTATTTTGGGTTTACTTTGCTTTTCCTTTTCTAATTTCTTGAGGTGGAATCTTAGATCATTGAATTTAGACCTTTCTTGTTTCCTAATGAAAGTATTTAGGGGTGCGTGGGTGGCTCAGTTGGTTAAGCATATGACTTGATTTCAGCTCAGGTCATGATCTGAGGGTCGTGGGATTGAGCTCTGCGTCGGGTTCCATGCTGGATGTGGAGCCTGCTTAAGAGTCTCTCTCTCTCTCTCTCTCCCCCCCCCACCTCTCCCTCTCCAAAAAAAAAAAAAAAAAAAGGCATTTAAAGCTATAAATATATTCTAAGAGCTGTTTTAGTATCCCACATATTTTGATACATACAAGCAGGGAGAGTGGGAGAAGGAGAAGCAGGCTTCCCGCAGAGCAGAGAGCCCGATGCAGGGCTCGATCCCAGGACCCTGGGATCATGACCTGAGCCGAAGGCAGACGCTTAACCACTGAGCCACCCAGGCGCCCCCATTCTTTTCCTTTTTAATATTCAATTCTAGATATTTTCTAATTTCCCTCATGCTTTCCATTTTGACCCATGATTTATTTAGAAGTGTGTTGTTTAATTTCAATGGATTTCCAATTATTTTGGGTCTATTTGTCTTACTATATTATATAATTCAACTCCGTCTAAATATATGAAAACTTTTTAATGACCCAGCACATGGTCTGTTTTGGGTATATAATGCTGTTGGGTAGTTTTTCTGTAAATGAAAGTTACATCCAGTTGATTGATACTTTAGTTTGAGTCTTCTCTCTCCTTACTGATTTTCTGTGTACCTTTTCTATAACTTGCTGAGAGGGATATTGAATTTCCAACTCTTTAATTGTGGATTTTTCTGTTTGTTTAGATCTGTCAGTTTTTGTTTTGTGTATTTTGAAGTTCTGTTATTAGGTGCATACATATTTAAAAATTGTTCTGTCTTGATGAATTGGCCACTGTATAATTGTAAAATTATCCTTTGTGATATTTCTTATTCTGAAATCTTCTTTGTCTGGTATTATTATGGCTGGCTTCAGCTATTTGATGAGTATTAGTTACATGGCAAATCTTTTTATCCTTTTACTTTTACCCTACCTAGGTCTTTAAAATTAAAATGTGTTTCTTATAATTAGCATTTTATTCATTCTTGCATTTTTCTTTAAGCACATAATCATTTACTTCATTGGAGTGTTTGGATCACTTATAGTCAGTTTTGTTTGTTTGTCTGTTTGTTTTTTAAGTATGCTTCACGCCCAATATGGAGCCCATTGTGGGCCTGAATTCATGAGGCTGAGATCAAGACCTGAGGTGAGATCAAGAGTCAGACGCTTAACCGACAGAGCCACCCAGGTGCCCCTATAGCCCATTTTAAAGATTTTATTTTTATTTATTTATTTAGTTATTTATTTATTTATTTAGTTAGTTATTTGAGAGAGAGAGAGCAGGGGTGGGGTGGGCAGAGGGGCAGAGGTAGAAAGAGAATCTCAAGCAGACTCCATTCTGAGCATCCAACCAGATGGTGGGGGTCAATCCCACAACCCCGAGATCATGACCCGAGCTGAAACCAAGACTTGGATGCTCAACTGAGCCACCCGGGCACTCCCCGTATAGCCCATTTCAATTAGTGATTTGGTTGGGTTTAAATCTAGGATCCTGCTCTCTTTTCTCTGTTTGACTCATCTGTTAATTTTACTCCTTTTCCTGCTTTCTTTTGGTTTATATTCTATTCTATATCTACCTTTTTTTTTTTTAGTGGTTACTGTAGAATTTACAGTATTCATCACAGTATGCCTCCACATGATATTATATATATTACCTCAATGTGGCAAAGATGGTTTTTTTAAGTAAATGTTATTGGGACCATTGGAAAGCTTGTTGGGAAATGTTAAACTCAGATCCTTCTCCCATACCACTGAAAAGGCAAAACTCCAAAAGAATCAGACGTTCTAAATATAAGAAACGAAGAATAAAATGAAAAAAAATTGGTGAATTCTCTTTAACCTGATTATAAGTAAAGCCTTTCTGAATTTAACTAAAAATCTACATGCAATAAAAGTAAAGATACATGAATTTGACTACATGAAACTAAAAAAATTCTTTACATGGCAAAATACCCCATAAAGAGAGTCATAAGAATTGACAAATTAGGAGAAACTATTCACAGCATGTGTGATAGTTAAAGCTCTGATGTTTCTAAAATAAAAAGCTTTTAAAAAAAGATTTTATTCATTTATTTGAGAGAGAGAGAGAGCAAGCATGAGTGGGGGAGGGGAGAGGCTGAGGGAGAAGCAAACTCCCTGCTGAGCAGGGAACCTGATGTGGGGCTCCATCCCAGGACCCTGGGATCATGACCTGAGCCGGAGGCAGATGCTTAACTGACTGAGCCCCACAGGTGCCTCAAACAGACTTTTAAAAATAGGAAAAGACCCAAAATCATATGGATTGATGGTCAGCCAATTATAGTGTATGGGCTGGCATCCTGCTTTTGTAAATAACGTTTTACTGGGACATGGCCATGCCCATCCTTCCAATGTCGTCTTTGCTGCTTTCGCCCCAGAATTGCAGAGTAGGGTAGTTGCAACCAAGACGGTGCTCTCTGCCCAGAATGTTTCCTATCCAGCCCTTTAAGAGCTGGGGCAGGGTTAGCATAAAATGACTCTGAAACATGACAGAATGAACAGCAGTGCTTAGAAAAAATGATGGGGGCAGGTCACCAATCAATTTGCCCAGGATCCCACTTGCTAAATGTGGGATAATTTGTGCATCAAAATAGTTAAGAACCATAATGCCTTTTTTAAAAAGATTTATTTATTTATTTGGGAGAGAGGGAGTGAGAGTGACAGATAGTGGGGGGAGGGGCAGAGGGAGAGAATCCCAAGCAGACTCCCCGCTGAGCATGGGGCCCAACCTGGGGCTTGATCTCACGACCCTGAGATCACAACCTGAGCAGAAATCAAGTCAAACGCTTAACCAACTGCACCGCCCAGGTGCCCCAGATTCATAATGCTTTATAACAATGGAGCAGTCACTGAGTCATTCCTGATGAATGATAGACAGACAGACACATAGATAACAGAATGCTGAGTGTCAGCAGGTAAATTTAAATGGGGTGCTAATGTTGGAGAATAATTTTGCAACCATTGCAGTAAAAACTGCTTCTGACAAGAATGATCCAATGGCTGTGAAAAGCAGGAAGAAGGTTCTGTGAGGATTGGGATATTTGTGTGGTCTTGAAGTGCCTCCTCACACATTGCATATTAGGTGCAGAAGAAAACATCGTGACAACGTAGTGTAGAGGCTGGGCAGCATTTTGGGTGAGGAAGGTCTGTCTCCGTGAGGGTAGGTGGCCGTCCCATATATCTGGACATGATATTTGGGTAGTATTTCAACCTGGAGCGCAGCATGAATTGAATCATGAGAAAACCTCCAGCAAACTCAAAATGAGGTATGTTCTACTTCATAAAAGAAAAGAACTGTATTCTTTCAAAAGTCATCCTCATAAAGGATGAAGAAATGTTTCAGATCAAAGGAGCCTAGACAGGTGATGACCCAGTACGGTGCTTGGCTCGGGAGCGTGACTGGCTCCAGGAGGACGGGGCTGCTGCGGGAGGACATCGGCGCCGGCTGCCACACTTGCGCTTGGACGGCGGGCTGTGTCTTGGGCTCGGGGCCCTGCTCGGCTGTGCTCCACAGCAGGGCTGCCCACGGAGCCTGTGGCTTTCTTCCCGCTGCGCTCACTTTAGAGCAGCCTCACCCTGCCGGCCGCTGGGGCTTCTGGGCGTGTGCGCATGTCCCTGCTTGTTTTCACCCAGCAGATGGGCAGCTGCCTTTCTGCTGACTCTGCATCTCCCAAAACATTGTTTCTGGGTAATTACTGCGGACACCGAAGAGCTTTTAGTGTGTGTGGCTGAAATCTCTTGATACTTACTATGTTAGAAGTTAAAACTAAAGATTTAAAAAATATTTATTAATCCATTTAAAAATAGCAATAAGAAACTCATCACATCTTCACGTAAGTAGCACATATTTATGACAGAATTTCTAAAACAAAGATTTGGCCGGAAGAATGGGCTTGGTTTCCACACTGCCTGTCTCCCTCGCCGCCGGCATGGTGGAGGCACCTGGCCCCCGTGCCTCGTCCCTGCTCAGTCTGTTGTGGCTCACGCATCGTGGGGCCTCTGGAAGACTCGCCGTGCCCTGTGAGGAGGGAGGGGGGGCAGTGACACCGCCACGTGGCCCCATGAGCCCCCTGAAAGGGTCTCTGGACCACTTTGAAGATCGCGAGCTTAAAAAAAGTTCTAGTTTGGGGCGCCTGGGTGGCTCAGTCGTTAAGCGTCTGCCTTCGGCTCAGGTCACGGTCCCAGGGTCCTGGGATCCAGCCCCACATCGGGCTCCCTGCTCGGCGGGAGGCCTGCTTCTCCCTCTCCCACTCCCCCTGCCTGTGTTCCCTCTCTCGCTGTGTCTCTCTCTGTCAAATAAATAAATAAAATCTTTAAAAAAAAAAAAGTGCTAGTTCCCGGAAGGCCTTCAGTGAATATTTGTTGAATGAGTTAATGAATTCCAAAAGGGCTGCATGACGGGGCCAATGGTTGGTTGGATTTATGAGTTCCAACGTGTGTGCGTTGTTGGTCGCTGAACCCTGTCTCCGCGTCCTGTCTCCAGAGGGTTGGCAAGCTCTGGCCTCAGCGCTCCTCTTTCCGTGGCAGGTGTCCCTGTGAACAGCAGAGTGTCCTCCAAAATCCAGCAACTTCTCAACACCCTGAAGAGGCCGAAGCGCCCTCCGCTGAAGGAGTTCTTTGTGGATGATTTTGAGGAGCTGTTGGAAGGTGAGGGATCTCGGGCGGGCTCCTGTGTCAGTGTGAACAGGGAATGTGTGTTGTGTGTAGTCACTCTGTGACGTTACAACACAACCAAGTGACCCCCCGTCTGTTTCCAGCCCTGGGGTCACCGAGTGTCACGTCACGTGAACAGGGAGAAAACGCGTCGCTCCTGGTTAAGGGACTTAACATTTCTCTGTGCCTCTAATCCAGCGCTTAGTACTTGATAAGAATACTCCTAAGGTTTCATTTTATTTACATTATTTAAATTTTTTTAAAAGTAGGCTCCATGCCCAACGTGGGGCTTGAACTCCTGACCCTGAGATTGAGTCACACGCTCCACCAACTGAGCCAGCCAGGCACCCCCCTTATTTGAATTTTTATTTAAACTTTAAATCTGAAATACTTGTCTTCCCATGGTTTTAAAGTATATTTTTAGTATGGTTTTGGCCCTTTTTCAGAAATTTAGTCTCTCATTTATGAGTGAGATATACACTTAGGAAAAAAGAATATAGATCTATTTTTAAAAGAAAATTACCAAGAAGTAGAAAGAAGTATAAATCTGTAGGAAAGAAATAAAGTCTAGTACAAGGTATGAGCATGTAATTGTGTTCGAGCCACAGGGGCGCGTGGCCGGCTCACCCCCCCTGCCCCTCGTGCCTCTCCTGCATGGTGTTGCTGCCCCACTGACCACTGCCAGACATCTCCTCCCCACTGAGGGCTAACACAACCCTTAGGTCATTGTTTCCCCTTTATAATCAGGTGACGCCTTTCAAATTCAGAGTTCAGTGGTAGAAATGGTCTTCGGGCAGTCTTTCTTACACTTGGGCCAATGCCAGTTACACAGCCGTTGGAAATGTAATCGATTTTACTTTATCTTTTTCTTTCAACATGGTGATGGTTGTTTTGAGTGCCCAAACTGAGATGGTGATTCTGCTCACTTTCATCCTTGATAAGTGGGACTAGTGCCTTTCCCTCAGGTGTCATCATCTGCTGTCACCCCACACACTGCCATCGTTCTGGGGATTGGCCCATGGGGTCCAGTACAGTATCCTGCAGTTTCCATGACGAGTCTCCATCTGTCCTTTGGGTCCGTTGGTCTGGGACTATTATAATAATAAGGAAATCTAAACAAGTTATTGTAACCTTCTTACAGTTGGTATTTTTTTTTTTAAAGAATTTATTTGAGAGAGAGCGAGAGCTGTGAGAGAGAGAGAGATCAGGAGCAGGGGGAGGGGCGGAGGGAGAAGCAGGTTTCCCGCGGAGCAGAGAGCCCGACTCGGGGGCTCGATCCCAGGACCCTGGGATCATGACCTGAGCCGAAGGCAGACGCTTAACCACTGAGCCACCCAGGCGCCCCTCTTATAGTTGGTATTTTTTAAGAGAAAGCTTAAAAACAGAATGTATGCATGGTCCTATGAAATGCTGATTTTTAAATTTCAATTTTGCTTACAGTGCAGCAACCAGATCCAAATCAGCCAAAGCCTGAGGGAAGCCAGATGGTGGTGCTGAGAGGGGAACCTCTGGCTGTGGGGGTCCCCTGGCCCCCATCCCTGCTGGCCGCCCTGCAGCGGTGGGGTACGACGCAGCCCAAAGCCCCCTGTCTGACCGCCTTGGACACGGCTGGGAAGGCCGTCTACACCCTCACCTATGGCAAGTGTTGAAAGCAGCTGGGCTCTGGTTTAGCTATAAAATGTTACATGTCATACAGCTCAGACATACAGCTTCACGAACATGCTAGAACAATTCCCAAGAAACCAACACAACTGTCAGAACAACAGAACATTGCCTCACTCCAGGTGCCCCTCCTGGACCACTGCCCCTTCCTCCCAGCAGAGGGGACTCCTCACTGACTGATGGCGACCAGCCACTGCTCTGGTGTCGAGGTTCCCATCCAAATACGCACCTCTGAGCAATGGAATTTGGTTTTGTCTCATTTTGAACTTTGTATAAATGAAATCATACAGTATGTACTTTTTGTGTTTGGCATCTCTTGGTTCCGTATTCTATTTTTATGTAACACAAATCATAAGCGTCTGGCTCGATGCATTTTCACGGAGTGAATGTACTCCTCTAACTAGCACTCAGCTCCCTAGGCCCCTTGTGTCCCTTCCAGCACGTACATCCTCACAATGATGGTTGAACTGTCCTGATGCTTGTGAACACTTCTGGCTCTCCCTGTCCAAGTTTTACGTAAATGGAATTAAGTGAAAGGTGTTGTGTGTGCATTCTTTTGTGCAGCATTGTTTAGGAGACTCAGCCGTGATGTTGTGTGAGGCTCATTGATGGATATGTTTATTGTATGAGTATGCCAAAAATTACTTGCGTGCTCTACAGTAATGGACCTTTCCACTGGGGCTCTTGTGTATGGTGCTGTTATGAACATCCTTAGGTGAGTGTGTCTGTGCTGGGCATAAATGTGCATGTACAAGCAGCCATGTTCGGCTTTAGGACAGACACACTGTTACACTGTGTGCAGACTTGTCGTTGTTCCACACCCTTGTCAACACTTGATCTTGTCTGTTTCATTTTAGCCTTTCCTGTAGGTGTTTTATGGTGTCATTTATGGTGGTAATTTATTTGCGTTTCTCTGATGCCTAATAATACTTTTGCATGTTTATTGGCTGTTTGAATATCCTCTTTTATGTACTATCCAGATCTTTGGCTCATTTTTCCATTTGGTTGCTCATGTTTTCTTCTTTGTATGTTTTAGATACATGTCTTTTGTCAGATTTGTTTTGCAAAAGTCTTCTTCCACACTGTGGACTGTCTTTTAACACTTTGTGCGGCTTTAGATAAATAAGAAGTCTTAATCTAATTAGTCTAATTTATCTATTTTTTTCCCTTTATTTTAGCGGCTTTTTGTCCTGTTTGCCAAACCTAAGGTCACAAAGATATTCTCCTACTTTTTCTTCTAAAAACTTGCTTTACTCTTCATATTTAGGTGTCATGATTCATCTTCAGTTTAGTTTGTATGGTGTGACATTGGAATCATTTTCTTTCCTAGTGAGTGTCTAATCGACCTAGTACCATCTACTGAAAAGGCAATCCTTCCCCCAGGCATATCAGGTGAAAAGATACGTCTGGGTCTGCGGCTGCCCTTGTGCTCTTCTGTCTGTCTGTCATGCTCTTTTGTCTGTCCGTGCTCCCTGAACGCCTACAGCTTTATGAGCCCTGGTGCCTGGTATAGATGCCCTTCAGCTCTGTGATTGTTCCTTACGGTTTTCTTGACTATTCTTGGCTCTTTGCATTTCTAAGCCATCTTTTGAATCAATTTGTTAATTTCCAGAAAGATTCCTGCTGGGATAGTGATTGGCACTGCATTGATTCTGTAGTTAAATGTGAAGAGAATTGATACCATTACAGTTATGGAATCTTCCAATTCAAGACTGTGGAATATTTTCCCCTTACTTCAAGGCCCCCTTTAATTTCTCTCATTAATGTTTTATACTTTTGAGTACAGAACTCTTGAGCATCTTTCATTAGATTTATTCCTATTGAAATGGAATGATTAAAAACTTTTTTCTGCTCATTTGTTGCTTGTATATAGAAGTGCAATTGATTTTTTAAATGGTAATTTTTTAAAAAAAGATTTTATTTATTTGAAAGAGAGAGAGAGAGCACAAGCAGGGGGAGGGGCAGGCAGAGGGAGAAGCAGACTCCCTGCTGAGTAGGGAGCCCAATGTGGGGCTTGAACCCAGAACCCTGGGATCATGACCTGAGCTGAAGGCAGACGCTTCACCGACTGAGCCTCCCAGGTACCCCTAAATGGTGATTTTGTATCCAATAATCTCATTAAATTAACTTACTAATTCTTTTTCTGTTTGTTAATTAGTAGTTTGTCCATATATCTTTTGGATATCCTATGTTCAAAGTCATGTCATCTATAAACAAAGACAGTGTTATTTTGGCTTTCCCAATACCTGTGCCTTTTATTTTTTTCTTGCCTCACTGAAGAGCTAGAACCCTAGTACAATGTTGGGTAGTGGGCATATGCTTGCTTCCTTCTCCAGCTCCAGTGGAAAGCTTTGGGTCATGAAGTATGATTGCTATTTTGTGGTAGAAATTCTCTGTCAGATTATGGAAGCTCCCTTCTATTCCTAGTTTACCAGAAGTTTTTTTTTTTTTTTTCTAACCATGGATGGCATTGAATTTTATAAAACACTTTTTCTGCTCTGTCAAGATGATCGTATCTTTCTCTCTCCTCCCCACTTAATTTGATGAATTACATTGATTAATTTTCAAATGTTAAGCAGCCTTGGCATTCCTAGAATAAATCCCACTTCGCCATGATAATCTTTTTAACAAATGTCTGAATTTGATTTAGCCAATATGTTGTTTAGGATCTTTGCATCTGTATTCATGAGAGCTCAATCTGTAATTCCTCAGAAAGGTGCTCACTGCCCGCCTTGAGGAGTGTGGTCTGCTCACAGCCCCCACCTGTTGAATTGAGGTCTCTCTCTCTCTCGTCCTTCTGGGACTTTGATTACACTTATACCTTTTTTGAATCCCATATAGCTTTAATGTTCTTTTTTCTATTTTGTTTTCTTTTCTATGTATTTGGTTGACCCTTGAACAATACAGGGGTTAGGGGTGCTGACCCCTGCACAGTTGAAAACCCAAGTATAAGTTTTGACTACCCCCATAACTTAACTACTACTAGTCTGCTGTTGACCAGAAGGCTTACTGATAACATAAACAGTTGATAACACTTATTTTATATGTTGTTTTTATTATATATTGTATTCATACAATAAAGTAAGCTAGAGAAAAGAAAATGTTATTAAGAAAATCTTAAGGAAGAGAAAATACATTTATAGTATTTATCAAAAAAAATCCACTAAGTGGACCTGTGTTATTCGAGGGTCATCTATACCTCAGTTTGGAGATTTTTAAATTTTCCTTTATTCAAATTCTCTAATCCTGTCTTCTGTGAAATTTTTATTCTATTATGAAATTCCTGATGAGTTCTTAATTTTGATATTGCCTTTTTAGTTTAGAATTTTCACTTCTGTATTCTAATTCCTCTTCTAATTTTCTAGGAAAATTCTTTATCATTCCATGCATTGTCTTCATCCTTTCCTTTATTTCCCAGAATCCATACACCCCTTACCACGATGGAAAGTTTCTGTCAGCCAGCTCCAGGTCAGGTCACCTCTGGGCCTGTTGCTGTTGTCTGTACTTTCTCTTGGTTTTAGTTTGGGGAATTTATCTTTGGGATGCCTGGTACCTTTTTGATTAAATGTTGGACATTGTGTGTAAAAAATTATGGAGGTTCCAGATGATGTCCCCTCCATGAGAGACGTCCCTCCTTCACTCCACATGGCAGGTAGCATGGTGGCTGGTCTCTGCCGTGCAGTTGGGGCTGGCTCAGCCCCCCTCTGAGCGCCTGTCTGTCCTTCTCCAGGGTTCCCCAGCCATGGCTTTTGTCTCTTGTGCTACGTAAGGACTCCACTTTGCTTCTCAGAGGTTTTCCACGTGGGTTTTCAGCCCCTGTTGCTCACAGCCCCAGGACTCCGTAGATTTCCTAGGGGGAGGCTGGTTGTGCTGTCGTGGCTCCCAGCCTCTGCCAGAAGCCTGCTGTTACCTTCATGCCTCAGTGGCAGTGCTCCAGGGGCACGAATCCATGAGACACTCTGTCTCCTGTGGGTGCCAGGGCCCGCATAACTCCCAGCTGTGCACGGGCAGCTCGCCTTCCTGAGGGTTGTCCCTCTCGAGCCTTAACTCCTCTAGTTGTCTTGCTGGATGATTTCTGCATTTTATCCAGTTGTTGGATAAAATTGTTCTAGGTGGGAGCCCTGGTCTGCCAGCAGCGCTGTCTCCTGTTTGGAAGCAGAGTCTTTTACCATTATGCTTTTATGAGTCATATTATTGTGTGTAGTTGTAGCTTATTCCTTTCTGTCTAAGAGTGAAGAGATCAGAATTTACGTATTGGCTATAATGTTGATACCCAGTTTTGGCTCTCACAAACAATGCTGCTAAGAACGTTCTGGGGTGGGGGCGCCTGGGTTGCTCAGTCGTTAAGCGTCTGCCTTCGGCTTGGGTCATGACCCCGGGGTCCTGGGATCGAGCCCCGCATCGGGCTCCCTGCTCGGCGGGAAGCCTGCTTCTCCCTCTCCCACTCCCCCTGCTTGTGTTCCCTCTCTCACTGTGTCTCTCTCTGTCAAATAGATAAATAAAATCTTTAAAAAAAAAAAAAGAACGTTCTGGGGTGTGCCACCTGGTACATGAGCATGCATTTTTTAGGGGCTGTACTCCTGAGTGGAAGTGTTGGGTCTGGGATTATGCATATCTTCACATTTATCAGACAATGCCAAACGTTCCCAGTTTACACTTAACTGATCAGTGTGTCAGTCCCATCTGTTCCCCATCGTCAGGCTTCCTGGGGCTAATCTGGTGAGAATATGGTAGTAGTATTTCATTTGGGTGTTAATTTGCATTTTCCTGATCACAGAGTAGATTGACATCTTTTCCTATTTTTTTTTTAATCATTTGGGTTTTCTCTTTTGTTAAGTACTATTGAATCTTTTGCACATTTTTTATGTAGGGTTATTTGTGGGAACTTTTGGTGTCTTCTGGATACCAGTCCTTGTCAGTGACATGTGCTGCAGGTGTCCCCCACTGTGAGCCTTCCCCATCCACTGCTGACCAGTACCTTAGTGAGCAGAAGCTCCGCCCAACCTCACCTTCTTTTATGTTCATGGTGAATGTTTCCGGAGTTCTCCTTAAGGACTCTACCTAAGCCAAGGTCATAAAGTTATTCTCTTGTCTTGCAATAGCTCTGCTGTTTTGCCATTCACATTTAGATGTACCAAGTCCACTGGGAATGAGTCTTGTGTACAGCGTGGGGATGGGTCCCAGGGTCCGTTTTTCAGGACTGATAGCCATCTGTCCCATTCTCGTTCCCACAGGGCCACCACGCTTCTCCAGGCCACCTGTGTCATAGATGGAATTGTCCACACATGGTGGGGCTGTTGCGGTTCTTTGTTTTATCCCATTGAGTTAATATACTACCCTCATGCCAGCACCAACTTCCTGAAGTACTGTGGCTCTATAGTAAATCTTGACATCCATGGAGGACGTCAAGAGATTCATAATGTACCAGTCACATCATCTGAAAATAATGACAGTTTTGTTTCCAACTGCTGGCCTTCTCTCTCCACCCCTCCCCCTTACTGCGTCGGCTAAGACTTTCAGTAAAAAGGCAGATGTCCTTGGCTTGTTTCTGCTTCCCCAGGGAAAGCTTTCAATATCTGACCATTAATTCTGATATTTCCTGTAGGACTTTTAAAGATGGGCTTTATCAACTTTAAGGAAATTTCCTTTCATTCTGAATTTAAATCATTTAAAATCCTGGATGATTGTTCAATTGTTTTACCTTTTTTCACTTTTGTTAATGTGACAAATTATGTTGATTTTCTGTTAAAACTTTTTGCACTTTTTTAAGATTGATTTATTTATTTGAGAGAGAGTGAGTGCATGAGAGTGGGGCAAGGGGCAGAGGCAGAGACGGAGAGTCTTCAAGCAGACTCCCCACTGAGCGCGCAGCCCTAGGTGGGGCTCAGTCTCACCACCCCAAGATCATGACCTGAGCCCAAACCAAGAGTCGGACGCTCAACCTATGAGCCACCCAAGTGCCCCAAAACTTTTTGCATTCTTGAGATAAACTGACTTTGTCATGATACATTATTCTTTTTATATATAGCTGGATTCAGTTTGAAAATCTGGATTATTACAGTTATCAACATCTTGAATTGACCTTTGTATATAGACAAAGGCAATAGTATTTTGAGTTGAATATTTTTTTTCTCACTGATTTCTCAGGTCCCACAGTTCACTTATTTCATAATGTTGCACCCGTGTTTAGTTTTATTTATGATGAAATCTGAGCACTACTCGGGGGGCATGGCTGCTCAAATTGCATGTGGTCATTCCCCAGGAATTTGAAAGGGGCTGAATCATGACTCTTGTGTTGCTTCTTTGGTACTACGTAGGGTGGGTGTTGAGGCTGCTTCAGGTGTTGGGGATGGACTCGGGTTTTTCTGTCGTCCTACCCCATTGTTGCCCCTCCTCAGTCTACCTCCCAGAGGCCTTTAGACTTCCTTCCCTTCCCTTTGTTTCACCATCCATCTTCCAAGTGACGCTCTCCTTTGTTGAGCGTTCACGGCTGTGCTCTGTACGTGAGCCTGCGTGCTGGAGGGGCGTGTGCCCGGCAGAACCTGCTGGGCCTAAGGGCTGGGTCCTGGAGGGACTGACATCTCCTGGAGGGACTGATGTCTCCTGGAGGGACTGACGTCTCCTGGACGGTCTCCTCTTGGATGAAAACTGGAGATGGAGATAGGACCCACCTCATGAATTATAGAGATTAAATGAATTCTATGCCACTCATAATCATAATAAGGGATGTAGTTGAGAGATATTTAATGACATGAAAATGCATCCGAAATGCAATGTTGACTGAACAAAGCAGAGTGAAGTATGATCCAATTTCTTGAAAATTGCATGTACATGTATATATGCTTTTGTGTCTGTGTGTGTTGTGTGTGTGTTCATACATAACCGAAAGAATGCTGACTTTTTTCTGTTAGCTTCTCTATGTTCTAAATTTTCTATAATAAATTCCTGTTCTATTTTTGTATTAAGAAAAATAAATCCATAAGTTATTTTTAAGAGAAAACTATGATGTTCATTACAGCATTGTGCAAAATAGTTATCAGTTGGAAACTACCTGAATTTCTAATAGTATGGGATATTGTGATTGCTACATCAAAATGTTATTTATCAGTTTCTTAAATTTTACATTGCTTAGTATTTTTATTTTATTTTAGGCAAACTTTGGAGTCGGAGTTTAAAACTAGCTTATACTCTACTTAATAAACTGACTAGTAAGAATGAACCACTACTTAAACCTGGAGACAGAGTAAGTAACTAGAATATAACTTATTGGAGTGAGCAAAAGCAAACTCTAAAAATATGTCTCATTGAAATCAGTATTCCATCAGTTGGTTAGACTTATAGTATTAATACAAGGGGTTTAAAGTCAGCAAAGAAAAATATTAAATATGGACAAAGTTTATGATGATGTACGTAAGATCATGGTTCTTTTCATTCTTCATTGCTCATCCACTGACTCTTCCAACATCTTTCCTCTTTGACTTCATACCTATTGATTTTAGTAAAAATATTAATATTAATAAAAATTGGATCCCCAAAGCTTAAGTTTTATGAGAAAACGTTGACCCTACTTGGAAATTCATCTCTTCCTCTCGTCCATGTGGCCAGGCAGCCCCCTCTTACCTCACTGCTGAGGTAGAACATGAGGAGGCTAGAGGCTTATTTGTTCCTTGTACTTACTACACTGCCCAACATTGTTGCAGTAGCCACATGGGGCCACTTAAATTAACCACGGTTAAGTAAAATAAAAAATTTAGTTCCTCAGTCACCCAAGCCACGTTTCAAGGGCTCGTGAACCACACATAGCTAATAGCTACCACATTTGATAGCTTGGAGATAGAACGTTTCCGTCATCATAGGAAGTTCTGTTGGTGAGCATGGCTCTGGGCAAACTGAAGCAGACACGAGGAGCGCAGGTAGACCAGAACGTCCACGATGGAGGGCAGGACACTCAACAGTGAGACCCCCTAGTGAGAGGGCTCTTGTGGTCAGATGGCCCCACAGTGAAACTATAAGTTTCAGGCAACTCTTTGTCCACTCTTGAAAAAGAACCAGTCACCCAGGGCATTTGAAGAATGTGAAAGAAAACAACCAACAGGCAAAGAAAAGAAAAACAAGAAAAGGGAAAAGGGCGGGGGGGGGGGGGGAGGAAACAAACGTGGAAGAAAGTCACATACAGAAAATAAATTTTTTTTAAAAATTAGTCTTAATATCCCTGGAGAACTAAGGTGAAGTTATTGTTCCACAAATCAAGACAAAGATGCTAGTGGGGAAGGCTAAGAGATGGAAACTGAGCCTTGGTCAAGAAGGTCCGGTGTCTGGCTGGTAGGAGTTCTAGACGGGAAAGGGGACAGAGTAGAGAATTTTAAGTGGTGGTAGTAATGCCCGTCAACATCCTGAAGCTGGAGAGTGAGAGGGCCCCCAGCAGAGCTCCTTGCCACTTACTGAGCAGGACCAGGGTGCAGAAACCAGCCTCCGAGCTTCCAGGTGGGCAGGAGCGAGCCAAGGTGTAGGGTGGCCTGGGAGGACAGAGGCCCCAGGCCGGGGTACGCTGCTGGGCATCTGGTAAGACTTAGGACAACCTGACGGGTTGGTTACTTAGAAAATACTTGCGAAAGGTATTGAACACATCTGGCGGAGCATTTTAGAGCATATTTGGCCAGCAGATACATGGAAAGCAAAGCAAGTAGAGGTGGCAGTTACCATCAGCAGATGTGGACTCGGCTGAAAAACAAGAATAGTCCGAGAACGGTACTTGATACGTTGTGCTTTAGAATGAAACTGTAAGAGTTCCTGATTTATGTTGTGCTTTAAAATGACTCTAAGAATCCCTAATTTAATTTTCTTGAAAAAGATTCCTGCAAGGACAGAGACTACCAGATACCCTTCTTGACTCCTGAGAGAGTCCACGTAGTTAGGTTAATGATGGAAGGTCGACAGATCACAGTGAATGAGCTAACTATCAGATATGGGTAGCCAATTCATCACCCTGTGGGAAAAAGAGTTTATAAAAGTGAACAAACACAACTCTGCATTCTCTAAAAATGTTTTTATACCAAATATCTAGTCTCAAAGCTGTGGGTCACAGTTCTGGTGCAACCACTATTAATATCAACTTTTAAAGGAGAGCTTTGCCCTTTCAGCAAATTAACCTGTTAGAAACTGGATTTCCAGACCCCAAGGAGAGAGTAGAGGTGTAGCTTAAATTGTGTCTTATCAAGCAGTTCTGCGTAGCCATTGTTTTGTGTCCTCAAGGGCCCGGTGTTAGCATCTACTGTCCTGACTCCATCACTTACGGTTTCAAGCACACTTACTACAATATTTGGGGCTTATAAACATCTCATTCCATAAAGAGCTTTTGATTTTACCCGATGTTGTTAGAAATGGCAGCTGGAAGGATGGGGAAGAGAAAGGCAGGAATGAAGAGGGCTGGGAACTCATCTACAATAATGGGAAATACAGTCTATACTGAGACACTTTCAACAATAGAATATAGCAATGTAAGCATAATACTTAAAGATAGGAGAGTAAATAGCAAAAGGAAGATGGAAGATATTTTTGAAGAGGTTGCCTTGGGGAGTGAGGACGGGTGGAGCATGGGGGTATTTTTTTCCATTAGTACTTTTGTCATCTTAAATTCTGTTTTTAAAATGTTTTTGATAAAAATGAAAGTGGAAGATGAATAAAATAGAGCATGTAACTTAAACAGTGGCAGCACGGGGACCAGGGGACTCTGCGGGAGGAGCAGCGGTGGGGGTCTCCGCTGAGGGGTCCGGTGCCCTCCTCCCTTCCCTGTCAGTACATTTAAGTCTTGAGCGAAGATCTGTTCGACTAAAACTTTGGTGTTAGGATTTTATCTTGTGGAAGGTATTTTGGGTATAATTTGGTGCCGTGCCCACTCTTCCTGTTGCTGTGGGTGTTTTTCGCCCAGGCTGACAGATGTGGGTGGTGTGCCCCAGACAGACAGCGTGCACGGAGCGAGCCAGGTCTCCATCCCACGCCAGACTCGTGCTGGACGGCCGTTACGCACAAACGCTCTAAATTATTCTGTTGCTTGTAGAATAAAGACCTCAACCTGAAAACTATTTATGAAAAGTTACATGGTTGAGGAAATCTAAGGACCAAGAATTAGCCCCCAAATTACATTTTCTGAACTACATTTGAAAAACTGTAAGATGATCTAAAATGTCCAGATTCCATCTAGTTAGCAGGGGTTCTGAACGTTGGGGTGACGGCATCATTCGTGAGTGGATTTCATGGATTTCCTTTGTACTGTTGTAGGTGGCCCTGGTGTTTCCAAACAGTGACCCTGTGATGTTCATGGTGGCATTTTATGGGTGTCTCCTGGCAGACCTGGTTCCTGTCCCCATAGAAGTGCCATTAACAAGAAAGGTAGCTAACTCGGTCGGGGCTGTGGGGCTCCGGCCCCATGAGGTTCTCTTCGGAAGCTGGCGCCTTCCTGCTGGAGCGACCTGGCAGCCGGGCGCTGTGCGGAGTGAAGAGAGGGAGGCAGGCAGGCCAGGACTTGAGAGAGTGTTCGATGCGGTGCCGGCTGCAGTCCGCTCTCGTGTGTCTTGTTGTGAGAGGGACTTTAGAAGCTGTAGACGGAGCTCTTACGTCATCTCTGTGAACTTTTCAGAACAAATGGTGCATGTTTTTTCCTCTGATGGATAGAATTTACGATCAGATTTTGTTAAATCTGTCTCTCAAAACCATACACATATCGATAATAATTTTCATTTCTTGAGAATGAGTAAGTCACACCGTGACATATTGTAACTCCTTCTCAGTGATAGTTTTGAATATGGGAGATGGGAATTTGCTTGCTTTTCTGTCTGCTTACGTAACAGCAAGCAGTTTTTACTACTGAAAAATGATTAATGTGGGGACTTGGTGATGTTCTAGGGAGCTATTACATTTCAAGTATAAATGTCAGTAATCTGATTATTGAAAAAAAGTGATTATTTTAAGAGTACACAAGGCACGTGTTTTAGAAAATTAGAGTTTTCTACCCTATCAGTGTTCAGGCAGTTAAAGTAAGCATTATCAGCAACAAATACTCAAGAATCCCAAAAGTGAAGTTTGACATAAAGCCAGTACACCCCAGAGGATGATATATGATGAACAGATATTTGAATACAGAGATTCTTCAGAAAAAGCAAGATTTGTCAAACTTGCAGGAAGAAAGTGACAAAACGTTACTGAGGGATATGTATAAAAGAAGCATTGACTGGAAGGAAATGTGCATTTCTGTGGGAAATAAATAATTGTGTTAAAGTGTTAAAGGTTGGGCCTCCCCAGGTTAATCTGCAAATTTTAAAGATGACTCACGTGGAAATTTCCATGCTATTATTTTTGGTTTATTAAAATGCTGCTACATGTCATTTACAAGAAAACACTGAGAAATTGGCCCATTATCCAGAACTTTCTATTTCATTGCAAAAATATATCTTTTCAACCTAAAAATGATTCTATTGTATTTCCATGAAAATACAGCATATACCCATCTAGGATTCAGGTGTAGAAGTTGATGCGGGCAAATGAAGGTGAAGGGCTCAGCTCTCTGGGTGGGCCTGAGTGGTGCAGGGCCCTCTGTGGCAGCCCCGCGAGTGCCTCGCTGTGTTCTCTGCAGGACGCTGGCAGCCAGCAGGTCGGGTTTCTGCTGGGCAGCTGCGGCGTCACCCTGGCCCTGACCACGGATGCTTGTCAGAAGGGCCTGCCCAAGGCACAGACGGGAGAGGTGGCGACTTTCAAAGGTAGGCCCCCAAGGGCAGGGGAGGTGTCTCCAGCAGGAGTGAGGTCCTTGTCCGAGGCCTGCACGTCTCGCTTCCCCCCGGTTCAGAGTCACTGTTCAGAGGCACCTACTGAATTAAATATAAATTAATACAAAGTGAACGGGACGGAGACTTGTGTTCCCCAGGTGCACAGTAGCCGGTGGCTGTGTGGTGGGGGCTCAGCCCTGAGGCCCGCTGACCACTGTCCTGGGCCATCTGTACCCTCACAGGATGGCCCCCGCTCTCCTGGCTGGTGATCGACGGGAAGCATCTGACCAAGCCCCCCAAAGACTGGCGCCCACAGACCCAGGATGCAGGGGCTGGGACCGCCTACATCGAGGTAATGGCCTCATCTAACTCAGAGCACGTTAAAGCAGCCCCCACAGGCTCGGCTCTTGTTTCTCATGAGTGTAAGCTGCCATTTATTTTAGGTTCAGGCTTAAACTTACCCTTCTGTTTGATCTTCACCCCAGAGACAGAAAGGGCCGGCAGTTACGGGTTAGCCCGCATGCACTGCTGTACCCAGGCACTTACCCCAGGGGTGCCCCACTCTCCTCTGTGGGTGTCACCCCAAGACTCACGGTGTATCATGTGCTCCCATGTGACGGGATGGTTAGTGAAGGACGGACAACTGACCACTTCTTTTTAAATTCTGTCAGCCTCCCTTTCAGTCTGCCGTGACCTCCAGAAGCATCCCATAATGGTTTTTTTTCCTTGAAATCTTTCAGTATAAAACCAGCAAAGAAGGCAGCACGGTGGGGGTCACGGTGTCCCACGCATCCCTGCTGGCCCAGTGCCAGGCTCTGACCCAGGCTTGCGGCTACTCAGAAGGTAAGGGCGTGCAGGCCCCTGGGGACTGTGGCTGTGTGTCGACCTAGCCCTTTCGCCAGGTGGGGCCGGGGGCCAGAGTGCTCAGGGCCCTCTGCTTGTGCTGGATGCGTGGGGGTTAGGTCACCCAGGCAGGCCCACGCAGGGTCCTTTCCAGTACATGTGTGTGTCTGTTGATCTTAAGGAGCATGAAATTCATATACCACCACTTAGGCGTGGTGGGCTGGTTCCATCTGTGACATAGCTGAGGGGCAGTGTATATTGTACTTAAAAAAATGGAAAACCGTCTTAATGGACCCACTTCTGTATTACTGTTTTCTATGACTGTGGTTTTGGCAAAAACTGTCATGCATGCAAATATACAAACGGAATCTTGAAAGTCATAGATTTTCTGTTGGTGATAACGGCAGCACCTCCCCCCATTTACTGTTAAATATCAGATATTTAGCTTAGAACTATTATTTTAAGAAACTATAAAAATGATGGTTTCCCCACTGTAACAATACTGGAATTGAATAAAACTAGAAAGTAAATTGAATGGTATGTTTTAAATAACTAAAATACAGGTGTTTAAAAGTAAGGGGAAAATAAAATAAAAGTCAGGGGTCGCTGCAGACTTCAGTGGAGATTTGGAGGATGATTTTAGATATATTCAAGGGCCTGAATAATTTTTTGAAAATTGGATCTATTAAGTCACATGTGTGCTTTTTCTGGACATGTGTATATCACGTATCATTTGGGGGCTTTAGCAACAGAAGGAGCATACGTACAGAGCTCTCAGAAAGCAGTCTCATCTCCCGGCACAGCAGACTCATGTTCACCGTTGGTGTCTATGCTGAGGGGTGCACGTCGAGGTTGCTGTGGCTTGGTGGGGGGCCTGCAGCCAGGTCCTGCAGAGCACAGGGCTCTGTGGGCAGCCCCGGGTCGCCACCCTTACTGGACGAGAGCAGAGAGAAGGGACAGCTTTCTGAGGGGAAGCAACATGAGCAGCATGTGTTGTTTCCCAAAGATGCAGGGTGGTGGCCTCGGTGTGAGAATGGGGGCATCTGGATGTACAGTGAGAAGTAAGCATATCCATGTGCAGTGGGAGAGTCTCGAGGGGCTGCTCAAGTACACGCTGTTCCTTATGTTTTCAGATTAGTGATCAGCATAACTCTGTGTTGTTTTTTTTTCAAGATGTTTACTGATTTTTATTTATTTATTTGAGAGAGACAGAGAGGGAGAGAGAGAGCACGAGCAGGGGGAGGAGTAGAGGGAGAGGGAGAAGCAGACTCCCCGCTGAGCAGGGAGCCCAAATGGTGGCTCGAGCCCAGGACCCTGGGATCATGACATGAGCCGAAGGCAGACACTTAACGACTGAGCCACCCAGGTGCCCCAGCATAGCTCTGTTTTAATCCAAAATTGTATGACCTACTTCTGAGTTTTTCTAGTAATTTGAATAAATAACCAAGACGATTGATTAATTGGTACATGGTATTTGGAAATGGTGTGTATGTTTCCTAGAGCTCTTCATGTCAATCAATGATGTATTCATCTCGGAGTTTCTTTAAAAATGCACATGACTTGTGAAGAGGGTCACAAGTGGTTTAACCATCTTTGTCCACTTTCAGCTGAGACATTAACAAATGTGCTGGATTTCAAAAGGGATGCTGGTCTGTGGCATGGAGTGTTAACAGTGAGTGTTGTATGCTAAATGATCTAATGGTTGGAATTGAGGGATCCTAATGCTTCATATCAATAGATGACACCAAGCCCTATTTTTAGGTGATGTAATTAATCCTTATCTGAACTGAAGTGTCATCATGAGGAGGGCGTTGATGTTATCTTTGCCTTCTCTGGCGTGGTGTGGCCCTCTGCTGTCTGCACCTGAGCGAGGCCTGCCCCTTGAGCACCTCCGTTTCTTCCACAGAGTGTCATGAACAGGATGCACGTCATCAGCATCCCGTACGCGCTGATGAAGGTGAACCCTCTGTCCTGGATTCAGAAAGTGTGTTCCTATAAAGGTAATGGGAAATAGCACCGTCATCTGACTCATCCTTCATTCAAGAAGTCACTTTGATTTAATCCTTGGTGATTCAGACGGTAATAAAGCCGACATGCGGAACTGCAGGGATGAGCTGAGGAGCGCTGACGGCCTGCGCGCACCATGACCAGTCGTGGACTGTGTCTGGCCTGTGCACACGGCCCGGGCGGCCCTTGCGGGGGACGGCCCCGTGGCAGCTCTCTTCTGCAAACACCATAGGCTACCAATTTTGTTCTCTTGAAATTTTCTTTACAGTCCCATCAGTGCTCCCGGTTCTTAGTAGTGGGGATGGCTTTAATCTGAGGTTAGGGCTTTAGAAGCTACCAGCGCTAGAGCTGTTGATTCCCAGGAAGCAGTGTGGACAGAGGGCCGTGGGGCTGCCCGGAGGCCTTGCCCGCCTGCCCCCTGCCTTGGTCAGCCACAGGGCTTCCCCATCCCTCGGGCTCTGCTCCAGCAGGCCTGGGGGGCCCCTTCGTGACCCCCTGAGGCTGGGCCTCAGGTTTGTCCGCACACTCACTCGTCCTGGGGACCCGTGTAGACTCAGGTGTGTCTGTGAGGCGCAAGCGTGCCGCTTTCCCGTGACGCAGGGCACTTCTGTGCTCCCCCTCTGCAGCCCGGGCCGCGCTGGTCAAGTCCCGCGACATGCACTGGTCTCTCCTAGCTCAGCGAGGTCAGAGGGACGTCAGCCTCAGCTCACTGCGCGTGTTGATCGTGGCGGACGGCGCTAACCCCTGTGAGTAAGCGCAGCCGAGCGAGGGCGTGGCCAGGGCCTCCCCACCGCTGGCCTGACTTGGGAGGGAAGAGGTTCAGGTACAGCATGCCGAGAAGCAGCACTGAGGTGTTACATCCCTAAATGTCCTGCCGTGTGCTGGGCCACACGCCCTCTTGGTGGGGACTCCCTGGTGTATCTTGTGCATGTTTATGAAGGCACTGACCTTAAAGCAATTTTAACACCTCGGACAGAAGCTACATTAGGAAATGGCCGGAATGTAGATACGGACTGGGAGCCTGTCCCAGCCTCTTGTCCTTGGCCCCTGTGGCCCCAGCGATCCGGCTCGGCCTCCTGCCGGGATCTCCCCTGCTGTGCCACTGTGCGCCCTGGGCTCTGCGCAGGGTCTGAGTGTGGCTGCTTGTTGGCGGCTGTCTGAGGCCTGCCGCGGGGCGTTCCCTGGGGAGGCGCCGTGGGCCTTCGTGGGGGCTTCCGTGCGGCACAAAGCCCTCGACCAGGTGGGAGGCTGTTCTCGTTGCTTTAACAGCTGTGTGCCACTGTTTTTGCATTGAAGCACCTGGACCGGGGGCTGGCCTTTGATCCAGTCCCCTGAGGAGGGCCCTAATAGCCCTGCGCCCCTGGTGTCCCACCGCCCAGGAGGGCACCCTGCCGTCCAGCTCCTCCACCCGTCCCTGGGCCCAGCAGGGCCCCTCCATCCTGCTTCCAAGACACCCAGGGCTAGGTGCCCTGCATCCCCACGCCCGCCTGAACCCACTCACATGCCCGGTCCTGGCCTCATGCCCCCACAGGTCCTCCACTCTGCTGCACCCCCAGCAGCTCCTCACCGGGCACCGGGCTCACCCTCCTGGCTGCAGACCGCAGTCCCCCACCGACCTCAGATCCTGCCACTCCGCGTGCCCTCCGGGGCCCTGTGGCACTGAATGACTGGGTTGTCTTGTGTGTCCTCTGCTGTCTGCTGGTGCCCAGCAAGAACTGGACGCAGCGCCCCTGCTTTTCCACAAGCCTCGCTGTGGCAGGGTGCCTGAGGGTCATGGCACAGCCCTGGGGTCCCAATGGGTGCAGCCCCGAGCAGGTGGCACCCTCCCGCCTGGGAGCTGAGCTTCCATATCCATGACACCTCAGACTGGCCGGGGCGAGTCGGGGAGAAGCAGGGGCAGCCCGGGGACAGTGTGTGGGCTGCCCCTGTGGGGGGTTACTTGGCCGACCCCCCAGCCCTGAGGCACTTCCAGCAGCACCCAGGCCTCGCCATGAGGGAGGTTCGCCCCATAAATGCTTCTCGGTCACCTCCCATCAGCAGACCTGTGAGGAGATGGGGCGAGGGTGGGGCTGGCCGTGAGTTAGCGCTCAGACACAATGCAGGGGTGCAGCAGAGGCCTTCCTTGAGAAACGTCCAGCTCTTCCCTGCTGGTGGTTTCCAGACGCATCATGTTTTCCATGGAAGCAGCCCCACCCCTCCCCAGACGTCTCCTGGAGCGTTGGTGTCAGGCCTGTCCCTGTCAGCCCTCCAGTTACCCCACGTCTCCCTCTGTCTCACGCAGGGTCCATATCCTCCTGTGATGCGTTCCTCAATGTCTTCCAGTCCAGAGGGCTGAGGCCCGAGGTCATCTGTCCCTGTGCGACTTCCCCTGAGGCGTTAACGGTCGCCATCCGCAGGTGAGGTGGTTGCTTGCTCCGTCTTCCTCATGCTGCTGCGGAGTGTGGGAGTCTGCCTCTAGGCAGGAGAATTCACGAAGCCACGCCGGGCCAGCTTCCCAGGCGTGTGCGCGTGGTGGGGGGGCAGCCCTGGGCACCATGCCCCTCGCCCTGGGCTGGTCGCGCGTCTCACTCCAGCCTGGATCCATGCCGGGACTTGGGTAGCGGCTCCCAGGGCTCTGATCTCTGGGCTTGTTCTCCCTCCGAGGGCTCCTCTTCCTCCTTGGCCTTCATAAGCATCGCAGCCCGGAGCCCTTCCCTGCCCCGAGGGGGGCCCCTGGCATCTCCAGTGCCCAGCAGCCAGGGACGGGTCTGTACCTGCGGGGATGTCCTGGAGAAGGGCCCTGGCCAAGCGCTCACCCCTGCCCCCTCCTGAGGAAGCCCCACCGCGGCTCCTGCAGCTGCATTCTCTCTGCGCTCCCCCCGTCTCAGCCCGGAGGGTGCGGTCGGGACCTCAGAGCTGGCAGGCTCTTGCCCTTCCTGCTCCTAACGGGCCACCTTTTCCTTCCCGGGTCCCCTCTCGCGGCCCTAGGGCTCCTGTCCGCAGCGGCCTCTGGGTGCCGTCCTGGGGTAGAGGGCCGTGTGCTCACAGTTGAGAGTGTCTCTGCGTTAATTTTCTGCTCTCAACCCAGTTATTAGAAAGTCAGTCATGGTTGTGGTCTTGTGTTACATTAGTCTGTGCTTTCATATGTGCAAGTATTAAATAATCCTAAAATTTTAATAACTTAGCAAGAAAAAGAACATCTTTGTCCTTCACAAACCATAAGGTATTCCTCATTCCTTTGCTCTGTGGTGACACCTCACTCCCACGCCTGGTGGCATCAGGCACTGTATTTCTCCTGCATTCTGCGTCAGGAGTTTGGGAAGGGCTCTGCTGGTGGTTCTGGCTTGCAGCCTCTGGTCTCTGGACTGGACGCGTTGGGGGCTGCTCCAGGCTTCCTCGGGGCCTGTCCTTCTGCTGCCCAGGGCTCCCAGCAAGTGTCCCAGCACAGCCAGGCAGAAGCTGTCAGCTTTATGACCTCTCCGGGGAGGTCACAGAATGTCACTTAGACCCTGGCCACAGGCCCACCAGATGCCCCCGGCGGGGGAGGAGTGTGCAAGGGACCCCATGCCAAGCAGCGCGCAGCGTCTTCAGGGGACCTGCCCCCACGGCCAGCCGTGTGTGGTGCAGAGCAGAGGCTTTGGTGCAGCGTCATCCTGCAGGCAGGCTGGGTACAGATCCCTCCCCCGCCATGGGCTCTGTCCCCTCGTCAGTGTGTCTGCTTTTGTCTTGCAGGCCGCCAGACCTGGGAGGACCTCCACCAAAGAAGGCTGTCCTGTCGATGAACGGTCTCAGTTTTGGTGTGATCAGAGTTGATACTGAAGAAAAGCTGTCCGTTCTTACCGTTCAGGACGTTGGTCAGGTGCTGCCGGGAGGTAAGGGACGAGCTGGAGTGTGTCCAGTCCCGCAGCTGCTTGATGTAACAGGAGTCCTGAGTGCTCTGGGCTTCATGGGAGTGCTCTGCAAGCTCACGAGCAAAAGGCTTCTGAGCAGTGGTTTCCATGTATACTGGGGTTTTAATTTATAGTGTTATTTTTTCAGTTTTTTGCCTGCCTCTGTATTAAATTTAAGGTTGTGCAAAACCAGGAGGGTCTGTTTGTTGGTGGCCCCTGAGCCGGATGTGGTTCTCTGGTGTCTGGGAGCTGGAGTGCTGACTGCATGTCAGGCATGGGCATCATGCTGCACACACACGAGGCATTGATCAGCTCCCGGCACTCCAGAGTCTGCAGATGGCCTGATCACCGGATGCCACCAGCCGGGGTAGCAGGGATGTGTTCAGTCAGGAGCATGACTCTGAAGGTTGCAAGAAATTCCCGTTGCAGCCTCCTGCCCCCGGGCCCCCTGGACCTGAGTGCCGGCCCCGTGGCAATGCCACAAGGAGAGGGTGGTGGAACGGCCTGCCTGTGGTCCTCCTGCAGAGTGTCGCGCAGGGAAATGGGGACCTGAGCCTGGCCCGGGAGGCCCAGTGACAGTTGTGAGCCGGGGAGGCTCTGCCTGCTGCTCTGTGGTTGCCCCTCACGGTGACGACCTCACAGTGGCTCGGCTTCCTCCTCGCCATGCGGGCCCTTCTGAGATTCATGGGCAGCTGTCTTGACCCACCCTATGTGCGTGTGTGTGCACAGTGCTCCCCCTGGTGCGAGTGTGCATGTGTGTGTGTGTGCACGCATGTGTGCGTGTATGCGTGTCTGCACGGTGCTCCCCCGGCTGCGTGTGTGTGTTTGTGTGCTTGCATGTGTGCATGCGTGTGCTCCCCCAGCTGCGTGTGTATGTGTGTGTGCGTGTCCTCCCCTGGGTGCTTGCATGTGTGTGCGCACAGTGCTCCCCCTGGTGTGTAGGTGCGTGTGCTCCCCTGGGTGCTTGCGTGTGTGTGTGTGTGTGTTTCCATGTGTGTGCGCACAGTGCTCCTCCAGCCGTGTGTGTGTGTGTGTGCCTGTGTGCACACATGTGTGCGTGTATGCGTGTCTGCACGGTGCTACCCCGGCTACATGTGTATGTATGTGCGTGCGTGTCCTCCCCTGGGTGCTTGCGTGTGTGTGTGTGCGCGCACAATGCTCCCCTGGATGCTTGCATGTGCACGTGTGTGTGCGTGTGTGCACAGTGCTCCCCCGCTGCGTGTGTGTGCATGTGCATGTGTGTGTGTATGTGTGTCTGCGCGTCAGCTGTCAGGACCATTGCAGAGCTGACTGATGTGTTGAGGGCTGATGGTGTCCTGTTTCCAGCAGAGACTTAATCTTTCACTGTGTTCGCCCCAAGGGCTTTGTGGCCTTTTGTCGTTTAGCTCAGGGTCTCTGCTGTGAATGCAAGCATGTGGGAGTATCTGGCTGTGACCTGCACACCAGCGTCCCCCTCCAGCATTTGTGAATGAATGGAAACAAGTCAATGAGCCCCCTTCTTTGTCCTCTTGCTAATTACCATCCTGGGAGAGGCGAACGCGTTAGAGAACACTCAAGAGTCCAAGGAAGGGCCGTGCCCGGTGACCACAGGCTTCTTAATTCCTCACTGGGTGACCGAGTTCCCTTAAATGGACCGCTGCACATTCTGGTGTGCATTTCACCCTTCCGTTGGAGGCTGGTTTTGGATGCCTGCTCTGTGGCAGGGCTGGGCGGCCTGGAACTGCAGTCACCTGACAGGCACGGCCCCCCATGCCCAGAGCGGGCAGCAGGCAGGATCGTCGGTGGGGAGCTGCTTATGACAGTGGAACAGGAGGTGGCTGGGCTCTGGATGGGCTGTGCGGGGCTACGGCATGAGACGGGTCAGGAGGGTGACCCGAGGAGGGGGCACGGAATGTGTCCACGAGAGAGCAAGTGTCCTGTCAGCCTGAGCTTATGATGTGCAGGACGCGTCGTGCTTCGGTTAAATACCGCGTGGGAAGCAGAAGGACGCACGCCCGGACAGGGCGTGTGGTATGCACGTCCGACAACTCGTTGGAAGGGCAGACTGCGTGTGTGACGTTTCGTTTCCATAACTGCGGACGTAGCGACGAGTAGATCTCTGCGAATGACCTGTTTACGCGTATTGCTTGTGTGTGACTTTGGGGTTCCCCTCTCCTAGCTGACGTATGTGTTGTGAAGGTGGAAGGCGCCCCTTACCTCTGCAAAACCGATGAAGTCGGGGAGCTATGCGTCAGCTCCACTACCACCGGCACAGCGTACTATGGGCTGCTTGGAATCACCAAGAGTGTCTTTGAGGTCTGTACCTCCCCCTGCCCTTTCTGCTGGGGTGGGTTCCGTAGCATCAGTGGAGTGCGGGGCGAGAGGCTCAGCGGCTCTCCAGCCCTGATGGGGGTCGAGGTCAGCCCGGGAAGCCAGCGCTCCGCATGCTCGAGGGGCCAGCCGCTGGGCACAGGGGGTGAGGGGGTCACAGGAGGAGCACGGACCATGCTGGGTGCGGGAGCCCGAGGAGCGTCTCATCCGCTGACAGAGACTCCGGCCTTGGGGTGGCCTGTTCCCCACCAGGGATCCTTGGGTGACAGCCCCATCCGGGGAGCTGTACCCTGGCCGGCATCTGGTTGGTTAGCTGTCCATGGGGCACAGCCTGACGTTCCCCTCTCTGCTCTGTGCAGACCGTCCCGGTCACGGCAGGAGGCATGCCCGTGTCTGACAGGCCTTTCACCAGGACGGGGCTGCTGGGCTTCATCGGGCCTGTGAGTATGTCCTGCTGCCAGGACCTGGGCCTCCAGACAGGCCCACACCTCAGTAGAGGGGACGCTGTCAGCATCCAGTGTGCATCTAGGGGCCAGGGATGCTCTCTAGGTCCCACAGTCCACAGGACAGCACCCACAACAGAGTACTGTCAGCCCAGAATGTCCTGGCCGCTGACTTTGGGAGCCCTGCCCGAGGGCACTGGCGGTCAGAGTCCTATACAACCTCACCTTTCCTGTGCCACCCCCCGCCACCAGGATGCAGGACCCTGTGCCCCCCCGCTGCCCCCCCATGTCCCCTTGTCTCCTCCCCAGCCCACCAGGATGCAGGACCCTTTGCCCCCCACCCCCCCATGTCCCCTTGTCTCCACCCCAGCCCACCAGGATACAGGGCCCTGTGCCCCCCCCACCCCCCCATGTCCCCTTGTCTCCTCCCCAGCCCACCAGGATGCAGGACCCTGTGCCCCCCCACTGCCCCCCCATGTCTCCTTGTCTCCTCCCCAGCCCACCAGGATGCAGGACCCTGTGCCCCCCTCGCTGCCCCCCCATGTCCCCTTGTCTCCTCCCCAGCCCACCAGGATACAGGACCCTGTGCCCCCCCAACCCCCCGTGTCACCACATGGCAGGACGCTTGGTTTCCACGTGCCATCAGCTGCCTGATCCACAGGGCCTGCCTGCGTGTCCCAAGTCCTGACCTGTGTCCTTGCTTCCAGGATAACTTGGTCTTTGTCGTGGGCAAGCTGGATGGGCTGATGGTGGTTGGAGTTCGTAGACACAGTGCGGATGACATCGTGGCCACAGCGCTGGCCGTGGAGCCCATGAAGTTTGTCTACAGAGGCAGGTGATGCGCTGCGGCCCTGTACTATGGCTCTAGACCCCTTCTCTCCTTGAAGTTTGAGAATCTGTCTGCAGTAGAAGCAAAGCCCAGTGATTGGAATACACAAAACCTAAAAATTCCTGTTCATCAGAAAATCTTCACAAAGAAAAGGACGATCTTTGCAGCCAGGAGCCCATTAGTGTCCTCACTGCCCACAAGGCTCATGTGGTTCTTTAAGAGGACGAGGTCCAAGGAGTACCTGCTTTAGGACCCTGGAACCTCAGACATGCAGATTGAAACAGTCAAGGACCAGTTTCTCTGAATCACCAAAGGTCAATTCTCTTTTCTACTGAGTTTAGCGAGACACACGGAGGGCCCTACCTCGCCCCTGGGATGAGCAACTATTCAACTTTTCTGAATGTGTTAGGCAAGCACTTTCTGACCCTGGGCAACTGGGGGTGAAGAGGGAAGCTGTGTCTGGCTCTCTTCAGCTCCTGAGCTCTTTGTCCTGAAGGAAGCATCCCCTTCTCCTAGCTGGCCCACCCAGCTGGCTGTGTTTTTTAATTTTCTTCTTCTCAGGGGGGTGCTTAATTACTCAAACTAGGGTACCTGTGAGCCTGGCCAGACCCTGCCTTCGAATATTCCTTAAAGAAATCGTTAGGGAGTTCTGTCAAAGAGTGTGTGCTGCTGGCCCTTCTCGTAGTCGGGATGACAGGGGTATGGGATGCCTACCAAGGAGAAGCCAGCAAGGCAGGCCTGTGTGGGTGCCTGAGCGGGGGCTGCCGGGACCTCGTGACCTGCCCTCACAGCAGAAACAGGACACTGTTGGTGTGGGTGTCCGTGGGGATAATGTCAGGGTGGCCAACACCTGCTTCTGGGGTAGATTAGGGAGGCCCCCAGGACCTGACAGTACCTGGAGGTGCAGGCCCTTCCTGAGCAGGCAGCTGACAAGGTGATGCCATCGTGAGTGATTAGTGGGGGTGCCAGTGATTGATTGCATCAGCCATTGGCCGGGGTACCTGCCTGTCCCCACCACCACACCCACCTTGAAATAGAGCCACAGGGGCGACTGGGTGGCTCAGTCAGTTAAGTGTCTGACTCTTGATTTCAGAGTCCAGCTCAGGTCATGAACTCAGGGTCGTGAGATTGATCCCTGCATTGGGCTCTGCACTGGGCACGGAGCCTACTTAAGACTCTTTCTCTCCCTCTGCCCTCTGCCCCTTCCCTGCTTGTGCTCGCTCACTCGCTCTCAAAAAATAAAATAAAATAAAATAGAACTAGAGCCACGGCCGATAAAGTGTGTATGCTAGAGGAAGCCAAACATCTCAGGAATATTATAATGCACACAAAATGAGTCCTTTGTTCTTAGACACAAACACAATAGATGGAATAAATAGCAGGATAGACCAGCTAGAGAAGGAAGTGATAAACTGGAAAGTCAGATTAAGGAAGTACTCCAGAGGTTAAAAAAAAAAAAGTTTAAAAAACCAAGAAAGGGTTGGCATCGAAATAGCAGACCCGGGGGGGAGGGCACATGCATGGAGGGGAGGGCAGCGTCTGGGCAGCAGGAGGCTGGGTTTGCGGGACTCAAGAAGGGTCTGGCATCGGGATCAAGCAGAAGGCATGAGACTCCCCAGTGCTGGGGCCAGCTCCAGAAGGTGGCAGTGCAAGGATGTTTTTAAGTTATTAAAAGGAATTTTTAACTTGGATTTTATGTTCATCCCAATTGTCACCTAGTTGTGCAGTTGTAATAAAAATATTCTTGGGATACTGAGAGAGACCCATTCAAGATGCATGAAAGCAAGGGAAATTTAGTACTGGGTAAAGTGTGTGTGTGCGCGCATGTGCACGCCAGCCCGAGGGGAGAACGAGAGAAAGCAAGCACGTCCATGAGGGCCCAGAACTGGGGCGGTGGGTGTGTGACGTGCTGGGCTCCATGGGGGGACCAGCTTCTTGTCCCATAAGGAGGAAGAGAACCACCTCCAAGTGTAAGAGGCAACAGGCAGTAAATACAGAGAAACGGAGAGCGCTGAAATCCCTAAAGTGAGGCGGGAGAAACGAGTCCACTGACACCACAGTAAACACAAGGACATGAACACATTAGTGAAAGAGATTTAATCAGTAAGATTAAACAATACACCTGATAGTATTTCTAGACAAAGATTTTTGCACAAAGAAATGTAGCACGTGCATTAACATTATAATCAAGAAAAATTTTCTTTTAAGATCTGTGCCTGGTTGTTTTGCTTTGCACCGAGTCCTCTTTGTTTTATCGAATTGGAACTTATTTCAGCCGTACTGTAGGAGACTAGGGACTGTCACTTCTCCAGGTCTCAACAAGCAGCCTGTGGTTAGATTGTCTTTTCAACACGAGCACGTCTGCACCCTCCGTTTCAAGGGAGAGGAAGCATCTGCGTCCTGTTTGGTGTCCTTTGCAGGGTGGTCATTTTTGTCCTCGTCTTCCCCCAGGATTGCTGTGTTCTCCGTGACGGTGCTGCACGATGACAGGATCGTCCTTGTGGCTGAGCAGCGGCCAGATGCCTCTGAGGAGGACAGCTTCCAGTGGATGAGCCGCGTGCTGCAGGTGGGCCCGGCGGCTGGCCCCTGTCTCTGCGAGTGTGGTTCCGACGAGTCCGGGTGCTCGGGGGTCGCGTTCCCTTCCTTCAGAGCCCGGCCTGCCTGCCCCTGTCTCTAGCTCAGTGCCGAGCAGCCCAGATGTCCAGTCGCCCCACACAGGATCACAGGCTTGGTTACTGAGAGTTGCAGCCTTCCTCCACCCTGTGCTGCCTGCACACAGTAGGCGCTTAAGAAATTGGGCTTCGTAAAGATAAGGGAACAGCATTTTGAAACTAATTCCGTACGAGGGTTAGTGTGTCCTAAAACAGCAGTCCCGTGACTCTCCTGTCAATTAGGATGGTATCCATTGAGACTGTTACTTAGATTCGGACCAGGCCATGGCCACAAGGGCACCAGGGGGACTGAGAGCTTGTTATGACAATGTCAGAGCTAGAGCGAAGTGGAAAGCATGGTGCAGAAAGTTCTAGTACCCATCTCTAGGTTCTGCAGTGGCTGACACGTCCTCCCACTTGCTCGTCACACCTCTGTCCCTCGGCCCACTGCTCAGGGCACGCTGTGGGGTGCCACCTTCCCCTGCACCGCATGGTGGCCCTCATTTCTTTAAATACTGAACTGGAGTCCAGCATACTATTTCGGGGGGAAGGAAGTAAAATTTACAAACAGTGTGCTGTCCAGTAGGGGATTTTCCGTTGGCTTGATGGGATGCAATTTCTATGTAGAATGAGCCCATCTGTAAGTGTGCAGGCGCTGAGTTTTGACGACAGTGTGCACCCAAGTAACCAGTGCACCGTGGTAATGAAGACAGAGCATCTCCGCCATGCCGTGGTTCTCCCGTGTCCCCCACCGCTGTTGCACTGCCCAGCCCGAGAGCCACTGGTCAGCTGCGTGTCCGCACGCCTGAGTGGCACGGCGTGTCTCCCTTTCTACCACTTTACTCTCGGTAAAGGGAATCACACAGTGTTTGCCGTTCTGTCTGGCGTCCTTCCCTCAGCATGGTTTTGAGATTCCTCGTGTCATTGTGTGGTTGGGTGGCGCATTCCTCTTGATGGCCGAGTTGGGTTTCTTATCTATTCACATCCTGATGGACGTTTGGGTTGCCAGTTTCTGACTGTTATGAATAAAGCTGCTGTGGGCAATGGTGCAAGTCTTTGGGTGAATTTCCTCTGGTACCCTGCCATCTCCAGGCCAGTTGTGTGGACTGGCATGAAGCTGGTAGAAACAGGCATAGAGCGGTCCATGCGTCAGGGAGACCAGGCGGCCCTGAGCTTCAGAGTAGTGTTTTCCCACTAGTATCTCAGCATTTATTTTTAATAAAATTTGTGATGTCTTATTATGGAATATTTCTAACACAACAAACAAGAAGAACAGTGTAATTGATGTGGGGAACAGAGGCAGAAGGAAATGAAGATAAAAGTAAATGTCCTTATAACCTGCAGCCCCTTGACGAATACTCGAGGCGGGCAGAGTGTAACATTCCTCCAGGAAGCTCCTGTCTTAATGTTGATGCCTTGTTAACAGGGAAAAACAACCCTAGCTTGACAAGAGCCAGGCCTCTGGTATCCTGTGAGTCTTCTTCAGCAGGTCCAAGTCCTTTTGGACACCTCCCTTTTCCTTCCCTCCCCCAACTCCCAAGCATATGATCAGCCACCCCTCACAACCCCGGTGCAGCAGCTCCTTCTGCCCACGGGTCCTGTCCCCCCGGTCCCGTCCCCAGGCTTTAATAAAACCACCTTTTTGCACCAAAGACGTCTCAAGAATTCCTTCTTGGTCGTCGGCTCTGGACCCCACCAACCTCACCAACATTCGAAAACTACATCATAATAACCCCATGTTCCCATCACCCTGTTCAACAGTTATCAACCCAGGTCCTGACTGTGTCCCTGCCTGGCCCTCCCCTTTCTCCCTTAGGAGTGTTTTGAAGTAAATGCCAGACATCACATTTTATCTGTGAAGATTTTATTATTTCTTTAAACAAGGAATACCATTATCACATCTCTAAGAATTAACAATAATGTTCTTACGTTTTAAAAATTGAGATATAATTGGGGCACCTGGGTGGCTCAGTCAGTTAAGCACCTGCCTTCAGCTCAGGTCATGATCCCAGAGTCCTGTGATTGAGTCCCACATCAGGCTCCTTGCTCAGGGGGGAGCCTGCTTCTCCCTCTACCCCTCCCCCCTGCTCATGATCTCTCTCTCTCTCTGTCTCTTGGATAAATAAATAAAATATTTTTAAAAATTGAGATATAGGGGTGCCTGGGTGGCTCAGTCGTTAAGCATCTGCCTTCAGGGGGCGCCTGGGTGGCTCAGTCCTTCAGCATCTGCCTTCAGCTCAGGTCATGATCCAGGGTCCTGGGATCGAGCCCCTCATCGGGCTCCCTGCTCAGCGGGAAGCCTGCTTCTCCCTCTCCCACTCCCCCCTGCTTGTGTTCCCTCTCTCGCTGTCTCTCTCTGTGTCAAATAAATAAATAAAATCTTAAAAAAAATTCTAAAAAATTTAAAAATTGAGATGTAATTGACATATAATACTAATTTCAGGTGTACAACATAATGATTTGATATTTATATCTACTGTGAAGTGATCACAGTAAGTCTAGTAGACATTCATCATCATACCTAATTACAACTCTTTTTCTTGTGATTGAGAACCTTTAAGGTCTATCCTCTCAGCAGCTTTCAGAGGGGTACAGGACAGCTTTTTACCTCTGGTCACCGTGCTGCACACTACATCCCCAGACTCTGTTTTGTAACTGGAGGTTCGTGTCTTCTGACACTTTCTCCCACTCTGTCCCCCCACCCCCACCTCTGTCAGCCACCAGTCTGTTCTCTGTATCTGTCAGCTCAGTTTCAAGATTTCACGTGTAAGTGAGATCACGCGGGACGTGTTTTTCTCAGACTGACTTATTTTGCTTACACCCTCGAGGTCCATCCACGTTGTGAATGGCATTTGTGAATGGCAAGATCTCGTTCTTCTTTACAGCTGAGTAGCATTCCATTGTGTCCACACCGCGTGTTCTTTATCCGTTCATCAGTCCGTGGACACATGGGCTGCTTCCATATCTTGGCTATTGTAAATAATGCTGCATTAAACATAAGGGTGCATTTATCTTTTTGAATTAGTGTTTTTGGTGTTTTTTTTTGGGGTAAATACCTAGTAGCACAATTGCTGGATCGTAGGGTAGTTCTATTTTTAATTTTTTGAGGAGCCTCCATACTGTTTTCCAGAGTGGCTGCACCAGTTTGCATTCCCACCAACAGTGTGGGAGGGTTCCTTTTCCTTCATATCTTGCCAACACCTGTTGTTTCTTGTGTTGTTGATTTTAGCCATTCTGACAGGTATGAGGTGATACCTCATTTTTTAAAATTTACATTTTCCTGATGATTAATGATGTTGAGCACCTTTTCATGTACCTGTTGAGTATATGTATGTCTTCTTTGGAAAAATGCCTATTTGGATCCTCTGACCATTTTTAAATTGGATTGTTTGTTTTTGCCATTGAGTTGTGTGAGTTCTTTATATATTTGGGATATTAACCCCTTATCAGATATATGATTTGCAAATATTTTCTCTCACTCAGTAGGTTGCCTTTTCATTTTGGTAATGATTTCCTCTGCTGTGCAGAAGCTTTTTTGTTTTATGTTTGCTTTCATTGCTTTTGCTTTTGGTGTCAGAGCCATAAAATCATCAAAAAGACTTGTGTCAGGGAGCTTACCACCACCTATGTTTTCTTCTAGGAGTTTCATGGTTTCAGGTCTTATCTTCAAGTCTTTAACCAATTTTGATTTTATTTTTGTGGATGGTGTGAGAAAGTGGTCCAGTTTCATTCTTTTGCATGTAGCTGTCCAGTTTTCCCAGAACCGTTTATTGAAGACAGTCCTTTCCCCATGGTATATTCTTGTCTCCTTTGTCACAAAGTAATCGACCGTATGTGCTTGGGTTTATTTCTGGGCTCTCTATTGTATTCCATTGATCTGTATGTCTATTTTTATGCTAATACCATACCATTTTGGTTACTAAAACTTTGTAATATAATTCAAAATCATGAAGTGTGATGCCTCCAGCTTTGTTCCTCAAGTTTGCTTTGGCTACTCAGGGTCTTTTTTTGGTTCCCTACAAATTTTAGGATGATTTGTTTTAGTTCTGTGAAAAATGCCATTGGAATCAGGGATTATACTGAATCTGTAGATTACCTTGGGTAGAATGGACATTTTAAAAATACTAATTCTTCCAATCCACGAGCATGGAATGTCTATTTCTTTGTGTCTTCAATTTCTTTCATCACTGTCATAGTTTTTAGTGTATAGGTTTCTTACCTCCTTGGTTAAATTTATTTTATTTTATTATTTTTGGTGCAACTGTAAATGGAATGGTTTTCTCAATTTCTCCTTCTGATGGCTCATTCATTAGACTAGTGTACAGAGACACAACAGATGTTTCCTGTGATTTTACTGGATGTATTTATCAGTTCTAACAGTTTCTGGTGGAGTCTTAAGGGTTTTCTATATATAAGATCATGTCATCTGTAAATAGTGATGGTTTTACTTCTTCCTTTCCAATTTAGATGTCTTTTATTTCATTTTCTTGCCTTATTGCTGTGGCTGGGACTTCTAGTTCCATGTACTTATTCCTGATCTTAGGGGAGAAAGTTCTCAGCCTTTTACCATTGAGAATGGTGTTGGCTGAGGGTTTGTCAAATATGATCTTTCTTACATTGAGGTATGTTCTCTCTATACCTGCTGTGTTCAGAGTTTTTATCCTAACAGTAATTTCTTGTTGTAATTCAATATCTAGTCACTGTTCAGACTCTCTGATTATCTAATGTTTAGTTTGTTTGATTCAGGATCAAAATGAAGTAAAAAAAAATTGTGCTTCGTGAGGACAAGGTCTTTAAGTCTTTCTTAATCTACAGATTCTTCCTCTGTCATAGTTTTCTTGTGGTTAGTTTGTGGACAAAAACAAGTTGTTTGTCCAGTATGTTTCTTCAGCCTAGGCTCTGAAGATTGTGTCTCAGATCTATCATTCAATACAGGTGTCTGTCGCCTGTGGTCATCCTGTACATTGTGGTTGGATCAGACTCGGGTTCAGTTTCTGGCAAAAATTCCTCCTGGAAGGTGGCATATGATTCTGGCTGCCTCTGTTCACCACTCCTGGGGTCACTGATCTGTTAGGACTTCACAGCAGAGCTACCCTGATTATGAAGGCTCACCAGAGCAGCCTTGAAAGTTTCTCCTCTGGAGAGCGCATGCCCTCCTCAGTCACCCAGGGGCCTGGAGGCAGGCTGTGTAAGAAAACAAGATCAAGGATTGATTTCAGAGTAGTAAGGTGGTTTCTTAGAATCCTCTTCAAGCGACCATGAGTTTTGTTTATTTGTTTCATTAAGAACTAGTGGATGTAAACATACTGGATGTGATTCAGTCTATTACAGTTTTTTTTATTTTTCAGTGGTTAGTGGGAGCCCCTTCAGGTTGGCTCTTGAGTCCTTCTGATGTACTCCTGGAATTCTTTGAGGCCATAGTAGAGATGAGGAAGCTCAGATACTTGGGGGAAGGCAGTGTGTTTTGCATCCTAGACCTGTCATGGCCAGGACCCTAGGGACCTTGCTACTTCCTAGGGGAAATGGAATTGGGGGACCACCATCTGGGCACTTGATGTTGCTGGCTTCTTCACTGTTTCTGGGCTTTCTTCACTGGACAGAGTAGGAAATGATGTCTCTTTGTAAGAGTACCTACATCATGAGTTTATGCTGCTGGTTCCAGCTCAAATTCAAGACCACAGAATTTTAAACTCACTGATTCCTTGCTCCCACACTGAAAAATTGCAGACATCAACAACTCATCAGAGAATCACTCATCTGCCTCAGGCCATGCTATACAGTGTAGTCTCAAAACAGCGGTCTCCACACTCCCTCTAAAACGTGAGATTTCTGAGAGCAGCTTAACATTTTTTTGCAGTTCTTTTTGCCCATAGGGCATATCTCATTAGGGGTGGACTAATCAAATTACCGTGTTTAAAGTCACTTTAAATAGATTCTCTCTCTGGGGCTTGGCCACCAACCTAACTCCAGTTCAGCTGAGTTCATTTCTTTTATTTCGCTTTCAGTTGTTAGGGAATGCTTTTTAAAACTTCAAGGTTTTTGGATGTAAAGTATATTCATGGCTCCAAAGTCAAATCTGAACACAAGAGAAATTCAGAGAAGTCCAGTTTCCGCCCCCCACAGCTGCACTGGCTTACCTAACTTTTCTTTCTTTAATATACGCAGTTCCAGATTTATGTATATGTGCACACACACAGTACGTGTGTGTGTTAAATGATAGACACGTTTGCACGTCCTTCCATGTGTTCTTGTTGAACAGAATGTCTCCACGATCTTTAGAGCTGCGTGTTCTCACCTGGTGCAGCTCCCAGCCTCCCAGCCCCTCGGCAGCTGTGAGCGGGTCAGCCTGTGCTTGCCTGCAGCTGGGTAACACGGCGGGTCTCAAACGCGTCCCTCCGATCTCGCGTTACTCTCTTCCAGGCCATCGACAGCATCCACCAGGTGGGCGTGTACTGTCTGGCCCTGGTTCCTGCCAACACCTTGCCCAAGGCTCCTCTCGGAGGGATTCACATTTCTGAAACCAAGCAGCGTTTCCTGGAGGGGATGCTGCACCCATGTAATGTACTAATGTGCCCTCACACCTGTGTCACCAACCTTCCCAAACCTCGCCAGAAACAACCAGGTTAGTCCTGTGTGGCAGTAGCTGTCTGTTCAGTCTCAATATTGGTGGCAGCCACACTCGTGGTTCAGTGGTGCAGCCGCGTGGGGCCTGCGTCTCTGGGGCTGGAGTTAGGAGCCAGACCTACATCAGGGCAGTCACCACCTCCTGCCTGCCTGGAGCCAAGCCACAGATGAGAAAACTTTACCATGTCACCTGTGTGGTGGCCCTCAGCTGCCTGTTGGGACCCATCTCAGTCGCTAAGTGCAGGCGTGGCATCTGAGGCTTGGAGGGCGAGGGGGTGGCGCCCTGGGAGTAGAGGTGGAGCTCAGGGATGGAGAGAGACAGCGCGGTGCTGGGGCCAGCCCAAGGGCCTCCACGAATGCTCTCCCTTCCCTGATTTCACACATCTAGAAACTAAGTTCAAAGACCGGCTTGACTGTTATTTTTGTTCCTTTGGTTATGTAAATTTTTTTGTTCTTCTTTCACTGATTATTGAACACATAAGATACCATTAAATAAAATACATTTGCTCAGGAAGGTTTAATTTCCTGTTTTATATGTAAAATGCAGGAAAACCGCGCAGTACCCTGAGCGTGTGGCTGTGCTGAGGTCCAGTCATACCCCCAGGTCTACGCCGGATGGCGAGTTTCTCAGTCTGGGGTTGCTTGTATTTGAGAGAGAGACGCTCTTCGCCGCTCACCGTGACCCTTACGGCTGGCTTCCTGAGCGTCAGCGCCTTAGTGAAGAGTGAAACGCCTCATTCAGATAGAAAGCGTTCCGGCAGTAAAGTCACAGGACGGTCCTGTCCCTGAGCCACCACCTGCTCACTCAGAATCCCCCGTTTTCCAGAGGTGGGGCCGGCCTCCATGATCGTGGGGAACCTGGTTGCCGGGAAGAGGATCGCACAGGCCTCGGGGAGGGAGCTGGCTCACCTGGAGGACAGCGATCAGGCCAGAAAGGTAACGGCCGGGGCCCTGGGGCGCGAGGAGGGCGCCCCTCGGCGAGGCTGCAGACTGAGGGGCCTCTCTGCGCAGTTCCTGTTCCTACCCGACGTGCTGCAGTGGCGGGCACACACCACTCCCGACCACCCGCTCTTCCTGCTGCTCAACGCCAAGGTGAGCCAGCTCCCAGCGCTCTGTCCCCCAGGTCCTGCCCAGAGAGCGCTGTGCCCCCGGCCGCCTGCCCCACCTGCTGTTTTCTGTGTGGGGAGCTCAGCGGTCACCTCAGTTGGGCAGTGACATTTCTGGTAGAGCTAGTATTTTTTTTAAGATTTTATTTATTTATTTGACAGAGAGAGAGGGACAGCGAGAGAGGGAACACAAGCAGGAGGAGTGGGAGAGGGAGAAGCAGGCTTCCCGCCGAGCGGGGAGCCCGATGCGGAGCTCGATCCCAGGACCCCGGGATCATGACCTGAGCCGAAGGCAGACACTCAACGACTGAGCCACCCAGGCGCCCCTGGTAGAGCTAGTATTTAACAGGAAAATGCTCAGTTAGAAACAGCATGCTTGTAAAGACTACTAAGTGAGCTAAAAGGAAATGTTTATTTTGTAAAAATTAGGAATTTAGATTTTTTTGTTTATAGCTTTAACATGACAAATGCTGTGTATTGCCCTGATCCTGGGGTAGATTCAGAAATTCACTTCCATGATTTTGGCTACCTTTTAGTGTGATTACACTGTACCAGGAGTTCTCAGGACAGGAAGGAGGTGTGCCGTAACCCTCACATCCAACTTTGGGCCAGCAGACAAAATATAGAAACATGACAAGTTAAATAACCCTAAAAATCCCGCCTCGCTCAGATGCATCTCACACAGGCCGTGAGAACGTTTGCACTTTGACACAGTAAAGGGCAGGTCGCTGTGGCCTTAGAAAATGCTGGTCTAGCTTTTGTTTCTGCTTATTACTGCCCACTGTTTCTTCATTTAAAAAATATTTATTGATACCTGTTAGGTTCTGGGTGTTAAGTAAGAGAAAAAGCGTCCTGCCCTCAGGACGCTTGCAGTGAGTCTTCCCTGCTGGAAAACTAGTCCGTAAAAGAGACTTTATGTTCTTTGTTCACCGTGTATCTGCAGATCTAGAACGGTGTTCAGAGCATATTTATCACTGATTGACTTCTAGAGCATGGAGACAGCCAATAATTAACAAGTGGCCCAGGTAAAATGAGCTCATGATGGGAAACCGAAGATGAGAACAACAGGGGTGTGGCCCCGAGTGCCAGGGGCTCCGAGGCCAGCTGCTGGCTGTCACCGTGAGGGTGTGGCTGGAAGCTGCGCGGGACTGAGCTGTAGGCGCGTGATGGTGGTGTGGTTCGTGGTTCTGAGTGGCTCCTGTGGGTTGCAGGAGGGTGAGTGTGGGGCGGCAGCTCAGAGAGGAGGGGCCCCGGGGTGGGGGCCGCACAGAGGTGCCCACCAGGCATGTGTGGAGAGGTAGATAGTCTTTTTTTTTTAAGATTTTATTTATTAGAGAGAGAGAGAGTGCACAAGCAGGGGGAACGGCAGAGGGAGAGGGAGAAGCAGGGAGCCTGACGCGGGGCTCGATCCCAGGACCCCGAGATCATGACCTGAGCCGAAGGCAGACGCCTAACGACGGAGCCACCCAGGCGCCCCGAGGTAGATGGTCTTTAAAGCCAAGAGAGAGCTCAGGAGGAGCCCACAGAAGACTGGGCCTGGCCTTTTCCAAATCCCCTCAAAGTCACTAGTAAAACTTGGCATTTCTTTTGGTTTGTCAACCTTCTTCGGTTTTCAATTGTCCTTGAGTCCCTGGGGACATGCTGGCCTCTGACCTAGGAGGAGGCCTGTGGCCGTGTAGGTGGCCGTCCAAGGGGGCTGGCAGGCTCTGCCGGCTCTGACGTTCTGCACCTCAGCTGGGCTCGGGGGAAGCAAGCCCAGCTCCCTTGCACGCAGCCTGGCTCTGCGGACAAGCACGTTGGCCTCCGTAAGGGAGAAGGGAGGGGTTCTGACTTTGGCTGGTCTGTTCTGGGGCATTATGTTTAGACCGAGCTGCACTTTTAATTTCCTTAAGAAGGACTAAAAGCTCTGAGGCCTGCCCGACTCCGGTCAGCCGAGGGAAGGAGGCCTTTGCTGGGAGCTGGTGTCCTGACGTCCTTGGCAGAGACGCGAGGCGAGCGAGCAAATGGGCCCATGCCACCCGCAATGCTCTGCGTCCGCCAGGTGCTCCGAGAGGGCAGGCCGCCGACCTGGGGGAGAGGAAGTTCAAACACCACAACCGTGTAGCTTCCGGATGTTTGTTTATTGTGCATTATTATGTGTATTTATATTCGGGATAATGGTTGTTTCTGGGGAAGGAGAGGATGAATTAAGGTTGGTATGCAGAGTGGTGATGATATGTTTTTGAAAACAAATTTAAACATTATGTGGCAAAATATTATTAGGTAAGGAGAACCTGGATATTTATTCTATTATTCTTTAAAGATTTTTTTTTTTTTATTTTTTTTATTTGAGACAGAGAGAATGAGAGAGAGCACATGAGAGGGGAGAGGGTCAGAGGGAGAAGCAGGCTCCCTGCCGAGCAAGGAGCCCGATGCGGGACTCGATCCCGGGACTCCAGGATCATGACCTGAGCCGAAGGCAGTTGCTTAACCAACTGAGCCACCCAGGCGCCCTATTCTATTATTCTTTATAATGTTGTTATATTTAACAGATTTTATCAAAAAGGCCAAAAGAGTTTTCTTTTTTTAATTTAATTAAATTTAGTTAATTTATTTGAAAAAAATTTTTTAGAGCGCGAGCGAGCACACGGGAGCGAGTTGGGGGAGGGACAGAGGGAGAGAGAGCACCTTAAGCAGATGACATGCCCAGTGGAGCCCGACGTGGGGCTCGATCTCACGACCCTGAGATCGTGACCTGAGCCGAAATCAAGAGTCAGACACTTGACCAACTGAGCCAACTGGGCGCCCTCAAGAGTTTTCTCTAACGGCTGAGCCTCGGGCTGTCCTGGACAAGCAGCATGCCCACTGCTGCAGGCTCTCTGGAGACCTGCACAGCTTGTCCCTTCCCTGCTGGAGAACCAGCCGCCTTTGGGAACCCTCCCTGAGATACAGACGACTAGGTGTGTCCTGAGAACTGGCGCAGGCCCCAGCCCTAACCGCAGGAGTTCGGGGCACAGGGCACGAGCGGTGTGTGCTCAGGTGCCCGAGGAACAGACCCTGCCCCCAGCTCCGCGCTGATGCAGGGACCACCTTCCTAGGGCAGCGTCACCAGCACTGCAACCTGCGTCCAGCTGCACAAGAAGGCAGAGAGGGTGGCCGCCGCCCTGATGGAGAAGGCAAGACTGGGCACCGGGGACCACGTGGCTTTGGTCTACCCCCCAGGTAAGCACAGGGGGCCCTCTGTTATTATAAAGCAGACACCCCGTAACCTACAGCCAGGTCGGAAAGTAGGTCTTGGCCAGGTGTCCCGGGTGTCCCCAACACAAACTCCTCCACCCCCCCCGAGCAGCCTCTACCCCTGAGCTCTGTAGCCCTCTCTTCCAGTTCCCCAGCGTCTGAGCACCCAGTGGGGCACCCTGCACGTCGGCTTAGTCTGCCAGTTTTCTTTACATCTGGTATGTTTTTAGTCTCTTTTAATCCACAGGCTCTCCCTCTCCCCCTCTTCGTACTTTATCGATGGAAGCTCTGGGTTGCCTCTGCAGAGGCCCCCCAGTCCCGGAGCAAGCCAGCGGGTTCTTGGCTCCCGTCTTTCCTGCAGGTTGGCAGCGAGGTCCTGGCCCTGGGTCAGATAGGGGTTTGGTGCCTTGGCCGACTCCAAGTGGTGTTGAATTATCTCATCAGGGACCCATGTTGGCTTGTGTCTCCTTCTGTGGTGTTAGCATCCACTGTTGATGCTTCAGAGTTCATTCATTCATTCATTCTTCAGGGTCACGAAACAGTGATATTCTCATTCTGTCATTTCCTGTTTTCATTTATTGGCCATGAAACTAACACACAGAAACTTCCTTCATCTAGCATTTGGCTCCCCAGTGGTGGAATCCCTACGTGCTGATGCTTTCCTTCTGTCGGTCCTGTGTATTCCTGTCACACTCCACTGGATCTAGAAATACATACATCACTGTGAACTCCTGGGCTGAAATGACTGTTGGGTTTCAGTCCTTTGCAGTTAGTTTCTTTGTCAAAGCTCAGGTCATCCCACGTTCGGCCAATAGGAGCCCCTCCCGGCTGGTCTCACGCGACCACAGTCTGCTGCAGGCTCGCGTCCTGCCCGTCCCACCCCAGATCTAGAGCCAGCCATCCCTCCGTGGAGACCCCAGTGCCCCCAGAACAAAACCTGGGCCTGAGGGATGCGCATTTCTTCCAGATTGACTGCTGTTTATTGGCCTTTCAGCAAGCAGATCTAGGTATTACAAATAAATGCAATTGTATCTCTTAGAGAGGCAGTACCTTATGAGTTTATCCTGTCACGTCCCATTTAATTCAGGACTAAACCCCTCCTACCTTGTATCTCCCATTTTCCATACCGAGGATCCTGGTTCTTCAGAACAGGGAGATGATGGAATTCACATAGCCCCATAATCACTCAGTCACTCAAACCTGCATCACATGCAGCATCCCCAGAATAACAGCACAAATACTGTAACCACCTAAATGAAGTTTGGAAACAGTTTAAAATTTTTGCACATGCTTTTCTGCATCTCCACCGCCTGCCCCCGCCCCCCCCCCCAACCTTGTTGCTGTCTTGTGTCTGCGTTATCAGAGGGATGGATGGACGGCCCTTACAAATCCAGCCTCTTGGCTTCTCCTCCTTTGCTTTCAGTTCCCCCTGGAGCTGTCTGTCTCCTGGTCATGCAGGTTTCTGACGCTCCTTCTCTAACTGGTTTCTCAGGAAGCAATCCTAGGACCAGTGGTCTCCTGAGTTCTTGGTTGTTGATAATGGTTTGTACACTTTGTGATTGTTAAAGAACAAAATCCAATGGGGTAAATTTTGGAGGTCTGATTGGCTTTCTCTGGTGACCCCTGAACCCGGCCGCCTGCAGCGTAGCGGGCAGAAAGGAGCCCCGGGGAGCCGCACAGATGAGAGATGTTCATGGGCAGGAGGGAACAGGACGAGGACGTGATCCCGGGAAAACTCGGGTTAGTTGGACAAGGTCACTCTCCTTCAGGGGACCGTGGGGTCTGCCAGACAGAGGACCTCGCTCGTGCCGACCAGGTGACTCCTGACGGACGCTGAGCTCCCCTTTCTGGGAGAGGCCGTACGTGTAATTAGGTTAAGCCTCGGTTTGGTGACCTGGGGCTCCGCCTGCCCTATCCGATCCGGCCCCTGGTCTGGAGGTGCCCCTTCTGTGAGTTTGTTGTTTTCCTGTTAGTGGGTCTGGCACACAGGGCCGTGCACTCAGTGTCTCTCCCTCTTGTGGCGACTCACGCCTTCGCTGGAGCAGGACGCCTGGGTCTGTTTCTCACGGTCGTATCCGGGCTTCTCCAGTCTCGCAGGTCAGAGTCCAGCTCTTCTTCCCCGTTTGTGAGTCATATGGCCTAGAGTCTTGCAGGCTTCCCTTTTCAACTCAGAGTCCAGGAAAGCATGGGGCTGCGCCCAGGGGTGGGTCCTGCTCACTGTCTTGCCTGTTTAATCTTGGGGTTCTCATCTTCATCTCAGGAAAATATTCTTTCTCCTGCCTGCTTTTCCTCCCTTTTTCCTGCACCTGGCACTCTTCTGACTTGTGGCTTGGATCTATCCTCCCCGTCGGGTGCCTTCTCTCGAGTGTGCTCTGTGCTTCATCTCTGGGCCACTTGTCCAGGCCCCTTTTCAGCATCTCTGGGGTACCGTGGGTTGCATTCAGCACTTCTCCATGTGGGACTGCTGCTGCTGGTGGGACCGGGGAGCCTCTTTCTTGGGGGACTGCCACGGAGTGCAGACGTCTCCCCTTCCTGGGGCCTGGGGCAGGGTGGCAGCCTAGTCTCTTTCTTGGCACACATACATGGTAACTCGAATACTCCCCAAACTCCCACTGGCATCACTTTTTTTTCTCCTCCTTCCATTCCCTGTGATGTGGTTTGGAGTGTTGGGGTCCAGAGCCGACGGCCAAGAAGGAATTCTTGAGACGTCTTTGGTGCAAAAAGGTGGTTTTATTAAAGCCTGGGGACGGGACCGGGGGGACAGGACCCGTGGGCAGAAGGAGCTGCTGATCATATGCTTGGGAGTTGGGGGAGGGAAGGAAAAGGGAGGTGTCCAAAAGGACTTGGACCTGCTGAAGAAGACTCACAGGATACCAGAGGCCTGGCTCTTGTCAAGCTAGGGTTGTTTTTCCCTGTTAACAAGGCATCAACATTAAGACAGGAGCTTCCTGGAGGAATGTTACACTCTGCCCGCCTCGAGTATTCGTCAACAGGCTGCAGGTTATAAGGACATTTACTTTTATCTACATTTCCTTCTGCGTCTGTTTCCCACATCACCTGGGCTGTGAGGGTACGTTTCCCTCGGGTGAGCTCAGTCCCCACTCTTCAAGTACCCCTGGGTTCCAGACGTAAGGCAAGCTTCACCCTGACTGCGAGGGGCAGAGACATGGCTGAGCTGGAGCTCCCTGGCCACGAGCTGTCCACACCGGCTGCAGTGGTGCGGAGCCCCGGGCTCAGGGCTGGGGCTGGAAGCACGCACAGCACCCCGGAGGGCGCCCACAGGGAATGTGCCCGCAGGGAGCGCGCTCGCAGGAAGCGCGCCCATAGGGAGCGCGCGCACAGGGAGCGCGGGCACAGGGAACACGCCCGCAGGGAATGTGCCCACAGGGAGCGCGCCCACAGGGAAGCGCAGGGCTGCAGTAACTGGGAAACACTGGGAAGGCTTAACTACAGGAAAAGGGAAGGAAAGATGGGTAGCAAACCAGTGCGATCTTGATAATTGAGAATCCGGAGGGTGAAGAGAGGGAGGGGCCTGATGCTCTTCGCTACTGTGAAGTGTGTTTGACGCTATTCTTAAACCATTTTTAACAACAAAAAAGAAAATGCATGCTGAAGGTCTAAATTTACATCTGAAAACGTGCCAGCAGGTAGAGAGTATAGTAGCTGTAGGCTGAGCTCGGTCCCCGTGGGGAGGGCACTCCCCCCCCCCCCCGCTTTGCATTTGCCACTGGGTGTGTTGTGTATGCTGGTGGGATCAGAAGGATTCTCCCCACCTGTGCACCTGGAAATATGTGCGTTCAGGGAGCATCATGAGTTTTGTGAGCTCAAGGAAGTGGGCTCCTGTCGACGTCTTCCTCATGTGCTGTGTTGGGAAGCGACCATGCTGGGTGTAAGAGCACTCATATGTGCACCAGCCTGCTGGGTGTGCTCACGGCCCTGCTGAGCAACCCTGGCCTCAGAGTCCGCTATTAATATTGGTGGAGCATTGGGAACTTGTAATCCGGTGAAACCCACCAGCCAGGTTAAATGGGACAGAGTTATTTTGACCCTGGAATTGAAATAGCCTGAGGCTGGTGTTTTGTAGCCTGAGGATGCCAGGTGGGGGCCCTGTGTGCTCTGAAGGGTCTCCAGGGTGTGTTTGGGGGGGGGGGGGGCAAGCGTCTCAAGCTGGATTGAGTTCAAGATGGGAGCATAGGTTTTAAGTGCGGTATAATTCCCCCTAAGACTTAAACATGTAGAAATCTGAAGGAACATTTTGGTGGTCACGTGTTATGATGTAAAGCTGAGAGCAAGGAGGGATGCCCTGGCCTGAGAACCGATGTGCAAGGAGTTGCAGCCTTCCAAGTTTCCAGTTCTCCAAGGGGGCAGACCCCCGCCTCATCCTCCCCATCACCTCCTGCTGTAGCTCTGTTCTCCTTGGTGGGCAGACCCCTCACCCTCCCGTGTTCCCTCCTTTTCAGAGCTGGGCAGCCTCTCCCTCAAAAGGGTTCCTACTTCCCTTGCTCACCTACCCTGTGCTTGGCCCCCGGAATGGTAGGCCTAGTGCTGCTCCCGGGCTGGAGACCTCCTGCCCTCGGTGCCCTCCTCTGTGCCACGGACACACCCTCTTCTACCTCTCCAGCCTTTCAGGATAGTCTCTGTACATCCCTCATAGCACTTGCTACAAATATGTTGCCAGCAGGCCGGGTCTGGGCACTGGGAGGGAGTCCTGCAGGACCAGCCAAGATAGGAATGAAATAGAGTTTATTGAAGGTGTAGAGAGAGCGCAGTTATGGACAGTGTTTGGGAGACTCAGGTAAGGAGAGAGAGTCCCATCTTTGTTTGGGATGTGGGGGGTTTTACTGAGGACTGTGGTTTGGTGTGCATGTCCTCTTAGTCATCGGGAGCTGGTTTAGGTGATATCCGTGGAGCCAGGGGGCCTTGGCCTAGAGATGTCTCTAGAGCTGCGGGTCCAGGATACTCATTCTCACCAGGTCGGATCGTTCCTTAGATGTTATGTATTCTAAAGAAATCATTAACTCCTCGTCCCTTACGAGGGGGACATAAACCATTTGCATGTGTAAAGTGGGGGTGCAGGTCCTAGCAAGAAGAGAGGCAAGAAAAGGAGCCAAAATCAGATTTTTATGGAGTCCTTCAGTTTCCTGTCTCAATACCATATCAGTTTGGAGTAGTCATGGTTTTATCCGGGTAATGATGGACTGGGACCCTCTCATCTGTTTGGCCCTCCGTGGTGCTAGGTGCTGTTCGTCACATTCCACCCCGCCCTGACCCTCTCTGACCACGTGTCTTTGCAGGGGTGGACCTCATTGCCGCCTTCTACGGCTGTCTGTACTGCGGCTGCGTGCCCGTCACGGTGCGGCCCCCGCACCCCCAGAACCTCACCACCACGCTGCCCACTGTCAAGATGATCGTGGAGGTACGTGTGCACTGTGGATCGGCCAGGCAGGCCTGACCAGGGGCAGGTGGGGGGCCTGTGCCGTCAACACGTCACCTCTCCATGGCCCTACGTCCCGCTCACACCTTCAACCCCCGTGCTCTGCAGGTCAGCAAGTCCGCTTGCGTCCTCACCACACAGGCCATCATGCGGCTGCTCAAGTCCAAAGACGCGGCCGCCGCCGTGGACATCAGGACCTGGCCGACCATTCTAGACACAGGTGAGGGTCCTCGGCGCCTCGGTGTATGCACTGGCCCCCAGGACACACCACCTTTCCTTTCTTTGTTGTACGGATTGTACGTTTGCCACCAGACAACAGAAGTTGGGTGGGAGCAGCTGAAATAGGTGGCGAAGGGCCGCTCGCCTCTGGGCCTCCCTCATGGCGGGACCCCTGCAGCCGTGGGGCAGAAGCCCTTGTCGGAAGCCGGTGCGTCTGCGGACCACCCCTCCTCGTGGTACAGCAGGTGGGCCCACCGCACACACACCTCCGTCCCTTGTCCCGTCATTGGTGAATGCTGCTGTGCCCCATGAGATGCTTGTGGGCCAACAGGAAGGGCTGTACACCCCTGGACCGCTGTGCCTTGAGCCTTGAGGTCAGCCTGGGACTGAGATGCCCCAAACGAGCAGCACCCCACAGGCTTTGTGGGTGGGCTGTGGTGCACAACCATGTGACCCCCGCACCTGGCAGACATCTGCCCTTGCACCCCAGGGCAAGCGGTCAGGGATTGTGTCGTCTGGCTACCGGCCCGGTACCCGTCTACAGGCCTGGGGAGCTGGTCCAGGGCAGCCGGTGTGGAGCCAGCAGACTGGCTCCAGACAGTCCTGTTGCTTGTCCAGCTTGCGGCAACGTAGGCTCCAGCCCTTGCCTCACTTGAGTCCGCCTCGTGGTCTTACAGGAACGATGAAGCAGGGAGAGCCCTGGGAGCCTGCCCATAGCTCTCGCTGGTAGTGGTTCTGCCACAGGATTTGTGACCTTTGGCAAGTCCTTGCTCCTCCGAGCTCTCGCACTGGTAAATGCACCTCGCCCACCGTCCCTGTCACCACACACTCAGAGCAGTCATGGTGGGTCTGCTCCACATGACATTTTCCTGAAGGTTAAAATGAGCTTCTCCACATATGCGTGTGGCCTGCTATCTCCAGGCCTCCCTCCTGTTCTGCGCGGGCTCTCCCCAGGACTCCCCGGGTACGGATCATGTTTTCTTTCTCCCTTTGAGAGCCTGGAGTAGCGTTAACATTACTGGGGTCACTGCTTCAACAGATGACATACCAAAAAAGAAGGTGGCAAACATTTTCAGGCCCCCGTCTCCAGATGTGCTCGCATACTTGGACTTCAGCGTGTCAACTACGGGGATATTAGCAGGCGTGAAGGTGGGTCCTGGGGTCATAGCTCTTATTTGCTTCCGCCTCTGATGGGTGGGGAAAAAGGTTGTTGGGTGCAGGTTTACGCAGGGCCCCACTCTCATCCACAGCTGGAAGCAACAATAGTGTTCCTTGAAGTTTGTGTTAAATACCAGTAAACCCCCGGAATCAGGTTAGCCCGAGAACTATGCATATTTTGATGTTTTATGGTAACATCTAAACTTTAGAATTTATACCTAGCTTTGGGAGCAGGTGGCTTTAATGAGTCTGTCCCCTCACCAGGAGCCAAGAGCTCCATTAAATTTTTTCATATTCTGAAATTTCATTTAGAAGGTCTTTAGTGTGCCATTTCCTATGTATTATTTGGTTTGAATGGGGATTTGAGCCAGCCATCCTTTAAGGAAGCAACTGTGTCTGGCCGCATTGTTGACAGGCACTGCTCTTCACTTTCTCTCTTCCCTCACATCACTGACCAGAACTTCCATTTTACTCCTTAAGATGTCACACGCGGCCACAAGTGCCTTGTGCCGCTCCATAAAGCTGCAGTGTGAGCTGTACCCCTCGAGGCAGATCGCCATATGCCTTGACCCCTACTGTGGCCTCGGCTTCGCCCTGTGGTGTCTGTGCAGGTGAGTGCTGCAGGTGGTGCTCAGGTGAGCGCTGCAGGTGGTGAGCAGGTGGTGAGTTGGTGAGTGCTGCAGGTGGTGAGCAGGTGGTGAGTCGGTGAGTGCTGCAGGTGGTGAGTAGGTGAGTGATGCGGGTGGTGAGCAGGTGAGTGATGCGGGTGGTGAGCAGGTGGTGAGTAGGTGAGTGCTGCAGGTGGTGCTCAGGTGAGCGCTGCAGGTGGTGAGCAGGTGGTGAGTCAGTGAGTGCTGCAGGTGGTGAGTAGGTGAGTGATGCGGGTGGTGAGCAGGTGAGTGATGCGGGTGGTGAGCAGGTGGTGAGTAGGTGAGTGCTGCAGGTGGTGCTCAGGTGAGCGCTGCAGGTGGTGAGCAGGTGGTGAGTCGGTGAGTGCTGCAGGTGGTGAGCAGGTGGTGAGTCGGTGAGTGCTGCAGGTGGTGAGCAGGTGGTGAGTCGGTGAGTGATGCGCGTGGTGAGCAGGTGAGTGATGCGGGTGGTGAGCAGGTGGTGAGCAGGTGAGTGATGTGGGTGGTGAGCAGGTGGTGAGTCGGTGAGTGCTGCAGGTGGTGAGTAGGTGAGTGATGTGGGTGGTGAGCAGGTGAGTGATGCGGGTGGTGAGCAGGTGAGTGATGCGGGTGGTGAGCAGGTGGTGAGTAGGTGAGTGCTGCAGGTGGTGCTCAGATGAGCGCTGCAGGTGGTGAGCAGGTGGTGAGCAGGTTGTGAGTCGGTGAGTGATGCGGGTGGTGAGCAGGTGAGTGATGCGGGTGGTGAGCAGGTGGTGAGCAGGTGGTGAGTCGGTGAGTGATGCGGGTGGTGAGCAGGTGAGTGATGCGGGTGGTGAGCAGGTGGTGAGCAGGTGGTGAGCAGGTGAGTGATGTGCGGGTGGTGAGCAGGTGGTGAGCAGGTGGTGAGTCGGTGAGTGCTGCAGGTGGTGAGCAGGTGAGTGATGCGGGTGGTGAGCAGGTGAGTGATGCAGGTGGTGAGCAGGTGGTGAGTCGGTGAGTGCTGCAGGTGGTGAGCAGGTGGTGAGTTGGTGAGTGATGCGGGTGGTGAGCAGGTGAGTGATGCGGGTGGTGAGCAGGTGGTGAGCAGGTGGTGAGCAGGTGAGTGATGCGGGTGGTGAGCAGGTGGTGAGTCGGTGAGTGCTGCAGGTGGTGAGTAGGTGAGTGATGCGGGTGGTGAGCAGGTGGTGAGCAGGTGGTGAGTAGGTGAGTGCTGCAGGTGGTGCTCAGGTGAGCGCTGTAGGTGGTGAGCACGTGGTGAGCAGGTGGTGAGCAGGTGGTGAGTCGGTGAGTGATGCAGGTGGTGAGCAGGTGAGTGATGCGGGTGGTGAGCAGGTGGTGAGTCGGTGAGTGATGGGGGTGGTGAGTCGGTGAGTGATGTGGGTGGTGAGCACGTGGTGAGCAGGTGGTGAGTAGGTGAGTGCTGCAGGTGGTGAGCAGGTGGTGAGCAGGTGCCCCTGCAGCTTGCCTGCCTGCAAGACTGGAATCACTTGTGTCATTTTTGGGACCTTAACATTCAGTTTCGATGCCCAGGGAGTCTAAGATGCACATGTGAGTGGGTTCGTTTGGGGGTGAAAAGGATCGGAGCCTGAGTTTGAAATGGAGTAAAAAGAGTAAAAATACATTTTTCACTACATACAAACAGTATCCGTTACTAGTAATAGGGAAGAGGTACTTAATTTCATCAAATACTAGGAAGTAGCGACAGATCTTTGGAAGTAGAAAGCCAGAGTCTCCAGCCAGCAGGTTCTGTCCCTAAGTGTGACCCTGGATCCTTCCAAAGTGCTTAGACGGAGACCACACCCCTGTGTCACCCCCTGCTCCTCACAGAATTTTCTAGTGAAACTCCCACTTGAATTAGGGCTGAATCGTGCCCAGTGCTGGCTAGGAAGAAGTGTCCTCGGGGAAGGAAAGAGGCAGGGACGCGGGTGGCCAGGACGTCTCGTGGGCTCAGCAGCTGTCTGACCCTCCCTGCCCTCTCCCAGCGTCTACTCAGGACACCAGTCCGTCCTGGTGCCCCCGCTGGAGCTGGAGAGCAACGTGTCCCTGTGGCTGTCTGCCGTCAGCCAGTACAAGGCCCGGGTCACCTTCTGCTCCTACTCAGTGATGGAGATGTGCACCAAGGGCTTGGGAGCGCAGACAGGCGTCCTCAGGGTGAGTGCGTGACCCTGCTTGCTTTCCTGTCAGAGTGCCCAAACCAGGGGCTCCTACTTGCTTCTAAACTGGACCCCGGGAGCCTTAAGCCAAGACCGCCAAGATCTGTTCAAGCCGCTTGTGGAAATAGAGTTGAGCCACACTGGCTCCGTGGCGCCTTATCCCGGCGCCCGCTGTGCTACAAGCTCCTCGCTGTGCCCCCAGAGGTCCCTCCCTTCCTCTGCACACCCCACACGTCAGAGGAGGGTGTGAGAGCCAGGCAGGGCTGCAGGGAGTGGAGGGTGGGGGGCAGGGGAGCCAGGGTGGGGGGTGGCGCCCATACTAGCTCTGAGTGCACCGTGGGGTCCAGGGGCCTGGAGTGGGGGCACAGGAGGCCAGGAGTGGGTGCAGAGCTGAGGGGCCCCCTCCAGTGCTTTCATGCTTGGGACCCTGGGGAACTGAGACCCAGCCAGTGAGACCCAGGGGAGGAGGAGGCTGGGGTTTGTGGTTTGCTTCCCGCTCACCCTGCTCCTGCACCAGGTGCCCCCGGGGGTGCCCCTCCAAGCCTTCCTCAGATGGCTCAGGACCGCTCCGCCACTCCTCCCACAGATGAAGGGGGTGAACCTGTCCTGCGTGCGCACCTGCATGGTGGTCGCAGAGGAGAGGCCCAGGATCGCGCTCACACAGTCCTTCTCCAAGCTGTTCAAGGACCTGGGGCTGCCGGCACGCGCCGTGAGCACCACGTTCGGGTGCAGGGTCAACGTGGCCATCTGCCTCCAGGTAAGGCCTGCCGGGGGAGCCCCTCCTCCTGCCGCCCTCCTGCCGCTCTCCGTGTGCTGTCCTGCCTTCTGGTCCCTGGTCCCTGCTTGTCCTCTGAGCCTTTGATGTTCACTTCCACATGTCAGTTCAGCCTGTGAGCTAGGAGGTTTTATTGTAAAAGATATTCTAGTCTCCTAGATGAACAAAGGCTCATTTGAAAACAACACGTTCTTGAGCAGTGGCTATTCACTTACCTGGAAAAATCTCTAAGGTGGATACAATATGTAGCTAATTTTTTAAAGCTTATGACACTTAACCAATTTTAAATGGAAACATTAATTAATGTGGTGGTTTGTATTGCCCCAAATTCATTTTTGAAACATTAAGGTATTTTACTTACTAAAAGGAAAAGACGAAGTTTCCAAAATTGAACAGCTAGAGTATGTCTAATGCTGCTTCAGATGACTGGCTGTTTTCCGGATTTGGTACCAGTATCTGCATTTCACTTCTTCGTAAAAGCATACTGAATGCCTTCCTCACGGACACGGTGTAGGAATTACGGGGTGGAAGAGGCACCCCGGGAGCCAGAGCAGGGCCCAGGTGCCAAGCCAGAGCCTCTGCGCAGCCTTGGTCCTTGGCACCCGGCACACCTGTCCTGGGCCAGCCTGTCCCCGGCACAGGGCCGGTCTCTTATGCAGAGACCATCCTCCTGTTTTCCGGGCATTTCTGCTGATGTCCTCCCCGCCGTGAAGACCCTGCTGGCGTCTCCAAGCCTCAGACCCTTGCCGGTGGCAGGAGGAGGCGGGCTGGGCCCCCTCCTCACGTCCCTTCCTCTTGTAGACAGTACGACTAAGTGTCAGGCTGCCAATGCAGAGTTCGAGGCTGTAAGTGAACACCTTACTCTCTGCTCAACATCTAAAAGCTGGTGCCCCCTTTACTCGATATTTGAAGGTGTCTCTACTATTTGTCGGCACGTGGGATGCCACGTAGGATTGCCAGACTCTTAATGGGTTGTTCACGTTTGCGCTTTGAGATGCAGTGACGTATTTTGCTTTCTCTTACGTGTGTTTCTCACGTGGCCTGTTGCTTCCTGTTTGTTTCCTGTGGCTGTCTCCTCCCTGTCTCCCTCTGCTGGCCTTCTTTGCCTCTGTCAGCCCAACAGGCTGGGAAAGCTGGCTGAGCAGGTACGACCTTGACCTCAACCTCAAGGCACCTCTGTGCTTCCCCCAAGAGTTCCTGTGGCTTCTTGTGAATTCCAGACAAACGCATGTGTCTCTCCTGTCTGACTTTGCTCACAGTGGATGTTCTTGACATATTACAAAAGCTCCTTTGAAACCAAATGGAAGCGCAAAGCTATTTTCAAAAGAACGTACCAGTCCTGGCGTTGCCTTTGGAGGAAGGGCCGTGTTTGGTCTCAAAGAAGACCCTTGTTTTAACCAGGGCAGACGTGGGTTACACTGTCTGGGGTCTTCAGAGAGTGACGTCGAGCAGAGTGTCCATTTAACTCCATGTTCCTTATCTACTAAATGGGCCCTAATAGCCTCAGCAGGGTCAATGCCAAGTCTCCGAAGAGAGGCGAGAAGGGTGAATCCCCGAGAGAGGCTCCACTCTGCTCGGCCCTTGGTAGAATCCAGTTGGCTGGCGAGAGGCCAGGCCTGATCTGACGGCGTGGCGGAAATGCCCTCCAAAACCTACGGTGGTGTTTCTACCATTGCACGGAGGGTGGGGACCAGCGGGAACACAGAGCTCTTAGAACTGACGAGTAAAATTGTAGGTTTTGCTGGACGCTCCACTCGACGTTGTTGAGCCAGGTAGATGTTTGGATGGAGGGCGTCTGTGCCCGCGGGCAGGCTCCTGGCCCCAGGCAGAGCTGCTGCCTTCCTGGGTGTGCCCTGGGGGCCCGGGAGGGGCTGTCACGCGGCTCTGCCTGTGTAGATGCAGACCCTCTCCTGCAGACCCGGTGAAGGGAAGTTCCTCTGCTGCTCTCCTTTCAGGGCACGGCCGGCCCGGACCCCACCACCGTCTATGTGGACATGAGGGCGCTGCGGCATGACCGGTAAGGGCCCGTCCACACCCGCAGGGGAGCTTGTGTGGGCCGGCTGGGTCCCGGGCTGACCTCCCAGCAGCCTGGCGTGAGCGGCTGGCTGGCTGGGCCCCCTGGGGGGCCCCTCGTGTCAGCGCCGCTCAGGCAGCATCCCTGAACCTGTGGTTCCCACCCTTGGAGGGAGGATGGAAGTTACCCAACACCTGACGCGGGTCGTCTTACGGGGTAGAAAACAAGCGAACCAGCCAATGGCAAGCATGTTTTTCCCACGATACCATTTTAAGACCAGACTTAGCGTTTCCATCCAGTAAATGTGCGCGGGCCACAGTGTGTCCCTATGGGTCTGGGTCCCTCCCAGCTCCGAAGCTGGGTTCTGGTTCTGGACCCTCAAACGTGGCCACGCTGCCCCTTGATGTAAACAGCGGTGGAGCCTCCTGGGGGTGGGGCCAGCAGGTGGGGGCGGGTGGGGGGAGGGTGCAGAGAAAGCTGGAGCCAACCCCTGCCCTGAGTCGGGGCCAGTCAGCAGGCAGTCGCTGCTCCAAGGTCACGGCAAGGTCGTGAGTCTGAAGACGAATTGTCCACAGACTGACCTTTATAGCGACAAGCAGTTTCTGATGACTTTTCCCTTGTTAATTTTCAGGGTACGTTTGGTAGAACGGGGTTCTCCGCACAGTCTGCCGTTGACGGAGTCTGGAAAGGTAGTGGGAGCTGGAACTTGGTCCCTGGCGGGTTCCGAGAGGTCAACATGTCCTGATGGAAACAGGTCGACCGGGGTCGTGGCTGGGCTGATGCAGAGGGCTCCTGTCCTCCTCACCTCTCACACAAGGACATCAGAAAGGAGAGAGGGGCAGAAGCCCAGAAGGAGCTCCCACTGGGGGCTTGAGCCCGCTGGGCCCGATGCCACCAGGGGGATCTGGAGAACAGGTGTCCTCAGAGCCAGGGAAAGAAGAGCACCCACGTGGCTTTATCAGGGTGTGTGATGCAGTGGGGGGATGGCCTGGGCGTCAGGAGACAGCAGGGTCAAGGGTAGGGCTGGATGCCCAGTGTCGCGGCCAGGAACAGACGGCCCCGATCTCAGGGCTTCCCACAGCTCCCACAGCGTGCCGGTGCTAGGCCCAGGGCAGAGGGGCGGCCCGTCCTGTTCCTGTGCAATCCCAGAGGCAAGAAATGGAGGTTGGTATGACCCACACAGCCTGGAAGGGCCACCCCGATTCTGCTCCCACACGATTAGGGTCGCAGCGACCGCTAGGGACAGGGCAATGGAGACGGCAACAGGACAAGAGCTGTGCGCCTGCAGAGGGTGACCAGGGTCGGGCTTCTGAGGAGGGACAGCCACAGACATGAGGGGCAGAAGGCTCCGCTGGTGCAAAGGTCCTGGGGTGGGAGTGTGGGCCTCGGAGGGGCCAGTGTGGCTGGAGCTGAGCTGAGGGAGAGGAGGAAGATGACCATGGGCGACAGAACCTGCATCCCCATGTTCCTGTGACCCCTTGACCCTTCCTCCCATCTGCCTGGAGGTCCCCACTGCCATCTGTTTCGTATATGGGGACGCCACCTGAGACAGAACAGGTATCCGGGTGGTCTGACCAGAGCCAGTGCCCCTGCATGCCTGAGCCAGCCGGCAGAGTGGGACTGACTCCATGTCTTCACGGTAGCTCCCCAGGCCAGGCTGGGGCTCACCGAGCCGGCACACAGAGCCCTGGCAGCGGCCCATGGTGCATGGACGGCACCCCATACTCATGGGCCCCTGCAAGGGGCAGGTTGTCCTCGTGTGTCCTTAGTGAAAGACCCCAGGTGTGGGGGATGCTTATGGAAACCCTCCTTACCCCTCTCGACATCTGAAATAGGGTCCATTCTTAGGAACTGGGATAATTTTGCTAAGATTCACAATTTATTTTTATCTATTAAAAAGTCTCTTATTTCTGTGGAAAATCGGTGTCTGATTTAGGTTGGCGTCTAACCCTCCTGATCACTCACATCCTCTTTCCAGATCCTCCCTGGGGTGAAGGTCATTATTGCTCACACTGAAACCAAAGGGCCCCTTGGAGACTCACACCTGGGAGAGGTAAGGTGGGGGGCCAGAGCCCCCACGATCTCAGCAGCTGCCCGACTCGCCTCCCCAGTCTGTCCCAGAGTCAGGAATTCTCAGCTGTTTGGGGTCATGCATACTTTGGAGAAGCTGTTTTGCTCCTGCCCCTACTGCACTCATTTGTGTGTGGGGGGGTCCCTCTGGGTTCCTGCAGGATGAAGCCCACCCCAGGGTTGCCCTCCAGCGAAGGGAAACCTCGAGTTTTGTGGGCACTGGGAGGCCTGAGGAGCAGCCCAGACACTGTGATTCCCCTTGAAAAGCAGTCCCCGAGGGAGGGGCTGGCTGGGGGCAGACATAGGCTGGGGCGGGGGGGCCTCTGTGTTCTTAGGATGCAGGCTTTGTGGGAGTCACTGTGCTGACACAATGTGTCGTGCATGGGAGTGGGTCCTGAGTGACTCGGGGCAGGTGGGACTGTTCCCTGGGGGCCGAGGGCCCAGGCGTCTCAGTCATGGTGGGAACGTCTCAGGCTTCCAGTTCCAGGCTCTGTGGGCGAGCACCAGGTGGGCACAAGGACCACTGTGCTCTGCTGTGGACAGCTTCTGGGATCCTGGCAGATGGGGTTCAGGGGTATTTACACAGATGCTGCCCAGTTTGTCTGATGGGGGCCTTCCAGGGGTCGCTCAGTGTCCTGATTGTCCTGATCGCTCATGTCCTGGGCCCAGGGCTGGGTGTAGTCAGCATGGGGCCGCCCCTCAGCCCTCCCTCTTCCTGGCCAGCTGGACCCAGGCCTATTAGGGCAACAGTTTGCCCCCAAGGTGGTCATGGAGGGTCTGTGCCAGGCTGGGAACCTGCCTCTTGGGGCAGGAGGCCCTGTTGGGTGCCCCGCGTCCTCTTTGAGATGCCATCTGGGGGTGTCCAGAACCAGGCGCTCAGTCTGGGGAGCTGACTGTGGGTCCTGGATGGGCCCTGTGTTAGAAGGACACCCCAGGGGACCCCACAGCACTTGGTACCGCTACCCATGTGCGGCCGACGGCTGTGTGGGGGCGTGTAGACTCAGCATGTCCGCAGGGGAGGTTTAGCGGCCCTGCCCGCTCCGTCCTGTGAGCCCTCCCTCCCTTTACCTGTGCCCGAGTGGACATGCAGGGGCTCCCAGAAACCTTCTAGGGCAAAGGGAGGAATGCTTCATTGAGGAGAGAAAGGTTGTTTGCTTGCTTTCCATGCCTGGAATCTTAACTCCATTCACAAGAGAAAAGAGCTCGGCCTCCGCCGCCTCTGTTAAGTGTTTCCTTAAGCACTCCGGGCCGGTGACGTCTCCTGACACTGTGCCCAGCATTTGTGATGTGCCGACCTTCTCGACCTCTGAGCCCCGCAGATCTGGGTGAGCAGCCCACACAACGCTACCGGCTACTACACGGGGTACGGGGAGGAGGCTCTGCACGCCGACCACTTCAGTGCCCGGCTGAGTTTCGGAGACACCCAGACCATTTGGGCGAGGACTGGCTACCTCGGCTTCCTGCGAAGAACAGAGCTCACGGATGCCAGCGGAGGTGAGGGCTGCCTCGGGCGCCGCAGCCCCGGTGCTGACGTGTGCTGGGGTCTGTCTGCACCGCCCGCGAGCCGCAGCGTCTCGGACGTCCTGCTGGCTCACCCCGCCCTTTGCTGTGAGCTTGTGTCGTGAGGTGTGGGGGGCAGGGATGTGCTCTGGTAGCAGTTTTCCCTGAAAATGGCTATTTTGCCCCCATGGCTGTCCCTCACTGGCCTTGGGCCCTCAGCCTCTGCTGGGGATGCGGGGTGTTGGTGACAAGGCCGCCAGGCCCCCTCCACGTGTGACCCCTGAAAGCTGCAGAGTCCCTTGGGCCACCACAGGCTGCCCAGATCAGGTCAGAACTGGGTGTCCCCACAGATGCTGCTTCATTCCAGAGATGGCACAGATTATTTCACAGAGTGTGTTCACACCCTGACGTGCTCTCCTGAGGTGGTGACTGGCAGCAGGGCTGTGCCCGCGGGGAATGGTTCCGGGCCCCCTGCTCGGCTCACGGACGGGAGGCTCGGTTGTCCCACACGGCATGACTCGGGGCTGACACGGATGCAGATGCGCCCGGTGTCCCCTGGGTGTCCTTCTGAGGCGTGCGAACCGTGTTCACAGAGCGACATGATGCGCTGTACGTGGTCGGGTCTCTGGATGAGACGCTGGAGCTGAGAGGCATGCGCTACCACCCCATCGACATCGAGACGTCCGTGGTCCGAGCCCACAGGAGCATCGCTGAGTGGTGAGAGCCACGTCCCGCCCGGCCCAGCTCGCCTCCAGCAGCAGACCCCAGGCCTCTTGCAAGCTCCTTCCTCACCTCCTAATCAGTTTCAAAACGTGAGGTCCCTCAGTTATCCTGAAGTGTCCCTGCTTTTACTTGAATTTCTTAATTGAAATGGTTGTGACTCCTGACGTCTTCCCTTGGTGGGAGCTTGAACTGGGTCAGGCAGAGCTTTCGGCGTCAGCTGATGCTCTCGGTTCTTGTTCAGGGCTTTAACTAGAACAGAGATTCCTGGAAAACGCACTTAGCCTGACCCTTGCACCGTTAGTGGTGTTGAGCTGTGGTGTAACACCAGCAAACGTTTGTGATTTCTCTTCCTGCTCTATTTGGCACTGTTCCCCGCATGTCCGTGTGGCCCGGAGGCCTGTGCCCACCCCCCGTGTGACGCTGCCTGTCTTGTCCCTGCAGCGCCGTGTTCACCTGGACCAACCTGCTGGTCGTGGTGGTGGAGCTGGATGGGCTGGAGCGGGACGCGCTGGACCTGGTGGCTCTGGTCACAAACGTGGTGCTAGAGGAGCATCACCTGGTCGTGGGCGTGGTGGTCATCGTGGACCCCGGCGTGATCCCCATCAACTCGCGGGGCGAGAAGCAGCGCATGCACCTTCGAGACGGCTTCCTGGCCGACCAGCTGGACCCGATCTACGTGGCCTACAACATGTGAGCACGGCTCCTCAGCCCTGTGCCTCCCGCGCGGGGACCGGCAGAGGCGTCGGGCCACCAGCAGCCACCAGAAGGACTCCAGTCTTCCCGCGCGCCACGCCCCTTCTTCCTCTGCTTGTTCAGATCCGCTCCAGGCTCCCCAAGTCTCACTTGGGGAACCGCCTCCTGGACCATCTGAAGAAGTGTCTTGTCCTTGGAGGACATTTGGGGGAGCAGGAATGTCAGTACCTGAACGGGGGGCTGCCTGAGGGGGGAGGCATTGCAAGTGCGCTACTGTGTTGCGAGTTTGCACCTTTTTTAGGCTGAAAATATAGTTCTTGAATTTAAAAATTCAATTATTTATTCCCACTTCCTATATAGAATTCATGCTAGGAAGAACTTGAGGGCCCTGGTCCATGTGCCTCGCTTCCGTTTCACAGGGAGGAGCCGAGCAAGGGTGGCGGGTCCTGGGCCCCCCCGCCCCCCCGCACTCACAGGGCACTTCCCAGGCAGGTTGGATGTGGAAACACGTGAGAACGCGTGTGCCTGGTCATCCGCGTTTGTTGTCACTGACCCTTGAGAAGTGCCACTGGGGCCTGTCAGATTAGATGCTTGCTTTTGGGCAGGTAAACCAGCATTTAGGCTTAAACCACTTCCTAGGTTTGTCATTTCATGCTGTTTAGTTAACTTCCTCGTTTTCCTAACACCACCAGATAAGTTCTTCTCAATCCGTGGAATTGTGTGAATTGTTATTTTTATTCCTGTTAACAGACTTGGGGGCATTGGTGGCAGCGCCTGGGCGTTCGGGTCCTCAGCGCTGCTGGCCGAGCATCCTGCGTGGGCTCCAGGGGCCGTGGACAGAGCCTTGTCCCCCTACCCTGGATTTCACAGTCTGAGTTGTGTGCCTATAAAACGTGGCCAAACTGCATTTGGTTATTTTATTCAAACTTGATGGAACTGACTGATCTGATATTATAGTAAACCTAAATCAAAGAAGAGAATGTAAAATCTTTTAGATACTTAAAAGAATTTGAAGCGAAGCTCAAATCTAAGATTATTTTTATATAGCTATTAAAGAGTATGTTATGAAGTTGTGGGGGTTTGGGGGGATTGAGTGTGGGAAAGTTTATGAATTATGCATGCTTCCTAGGAACAACCAGGTGTTTCTGGAATTAGCCTGGAGCGGTGCCTAACAAAGCTATTATTAATTCTCTACCATTTTAAATTCACCACCGAATGGGCCCGGCCAGCTGGGCCAACTCTCACATCTCTTATTTGGCTACAGGCAGCGCGTGCATATTAGTTCTGTTTGCCTATGGTGTTGAGCTGTGGTGTAATATGTTACAACATACTGGAATCCTAATAAGCCTATTGTAGTTATGTACATAATCTGTATAACTTATTGTTTGACATACAGAGGTTCTAGCAGTGGACTAACGGACATTCCTTGTAATACAGTGGCCAGCAGGGGAAAACTACCTAACCCTAATCTTAATGTTGTAGTTTTATAGGAAACAAATACTGTAAAATTTTTGTATTGAGAGGTCAGTGGCAGTAAGACAAAGTGTCTTGTAAATTAAGATTTTAGGAAGCGCATTAAAATGTTTTAAAATTACTCTCTGAGAATTCTGTATATCACACTAAAATTTTTTATATCATTATGTTAATAAAAGGTATTGACTGTTTGTAATTCTGCACTTTGAAATGTGTGAAAATGTTTTTTAAATTACCCCAAATAGGATGTATTTTATTATGCATTCTTTTTTCTGAATATAAAAGCATTTATGCTTACAGCATAAAATCTACAAAGCACATTAAAGTGTGAAGAAGAAAATTAAGATCTCCTCTCATCCTACCTCTGCGAAATAGCAGCATTAGTATCTGCTAAAAACCCTTTCAGGGATTAATTTTTTCTTTGTTAGAATTTTTACAAAATTAGGGTCCTATGCTTTGATACTCATTTTTGTACTTAATAAATTGCAGACTTTTAATCTATCACATATATTCTTCTACTTGTTTTAGACACTGTGCCGTGACTAACGGTAGTTTTACCCCTGCTGTCCGCTGGTGGCGGGTGACGCACGTTAGCCGCGCTGGGTGCCCGCCCGTCCGCAATGGCAGTTGCTGTCTCAGACGCAGTTCCTGCAGGGAGAGCGACCAGGTCAGAGCTCATCCCAGTTTGAAAGGCCGTGTGGCGGTGGCCGCTTTCCAGCAGCCCCTGGTATTGGCAACGGACTCTTGGCCAAGATTAAAATAAGTCCTTGCCAAATTGATGGTCAAATAAGTGTCATGTCTGGTCATATTAAATATGTTTTCATGTGTCGTTTTGATTTCTCATTTGATTCGTTCTATTCAGATCTGCCGATTCTTACTGTGCTCAAATGTTTTTTGGTTGATTTGTAGGAGCCATTTTATATTAAGAATTATAATGTCCATATAGTCCATACTGTGTCTAGTAGGTCATTTGTATCTCGATTCTGTTTGTTTTAGTTTAGGTTTGTTTTTTTTAAGATTCTTATTTATTTGAGAAGGAGACACATAGAACGAGCATGAGTGGGGGGCGGTGGGGGGAGAGCAGGGAGGAGAGGGAGAAGCAGACTCCCCGCTGAGCAGGGAGCCCGATGAGGGGCTCGATCCCGGGACTCCAGGATCATGACCTGAGCAGACTCTTAACCACTGACTGAGCCACCCAGGCGCCCCAATTTAGGTTTGTTTTTTTTTAAATGTTTTAAGTATTTTATGCAAACTATGGTTACTTGTGCTTAATTTCAGATTATGAATATAGCTGATTTGTTTCGAAGTGATTCTACTAGGATCGTCAGCATAACCATAATCTCTCCTTGTGGCCTGGAGCCTCTGCTTTGGGTGAGATACCACTGAGGCAGGGGCCCAGTCCCCCCTCGCCCAGCTGGTAAGATGCTGGTTCCATGCCAGGAGAAGCAAGCTGAGAAGACCCGAGGGCAGTACTGTCCCCAACCCCACGGATCGCCGAGCTCTGAGAGCGGGTGTGTCCCTCAGAAGTGTGCTGTTGTTCCCACTCCTGGGCCCAGAGCCCTCACCTGTTGGGAGAAGCAGGCTGTAGAAGGGGTGGCTCCTTGTCTCTTCCCAAAGGAACTGACTGCATTTGCACCAGAGCATGGAGAAGTTCGATCACAAGGACACTTTCAAAAACAGTAGGAGTTGTGGTGAAAGGCCATTGGAAAGAGATTCATAGATTCAGTGAAGGGACTGGCTGAACTGTAGGCCAGCAAATTTTCGGGAGAACCAGGGAGAGAGACTGGGGAAGAGCCCTCCTGGGGCTAGAACAAACCTCAAACACTGCTCTTGGGAGTTGTTTCCTCTGTGAATCCCACGTTGGGTCAAGTTGGGCTCTAGAGAGATCCGTACCTCCCCCGCCAGCTGAAAACAATAGAGCAATCAGCTGGTACTGCTTGAGCTTAACAGCCAGGTGTGGTCAGTGAAAGAGCCGAGAGTCCTGCCCAAACCGCTGTCACCCACGGCGACTGTGGGCATACCCACTGCTGCACCTCCCAAGGAACAGGAATGACACCAGAGCCTTACCACTGCGTGGAGGGGGCCAGTCACTACACACGACAACAACAAGCCCGGGGTTGGGGGGATGGGTGGTAGAGGGAGGGGCAAGAACCCAGAGTTGCTTCAGTGTACTATCTAGAATGTCTAGATTCCCCCCCAAAATTATGAAGCATGTAAAGAAACAGAAGCATGATCTATACACCAGGAAAAAGGAAGACAACAGAAACTTCATATGAGATGAACCAGATGTCAGATTTAAAAAAGACTTGAAAGTAGCCACTTAAAATATGTCACAGAACTAAAGGAAGCTATAATTAAAGAAGCAAAGGAAGGTATGAGGACAATGTCACATCAAAGAATATCAATAGAAAGATCAAAATAAAATATATAATGTATAATATTTTATATAACATGTTTGTACATTCCATAGCTGTCACTTATATATTACATAATATAAGATACACAAATATATATCTAAAATATACAATATATTTACATACATAAAAAAACCAAATGGAAATTTCCGGAGTTGGTAAAGTACAAGAACTTAAATGAAAAATTCACTAGAGGGGCTCAACAGTACTTCTGGATGGGGAGAAGTTTCAGCACACTTGAGGACAGATTGATAAAGATTATGCAATCCAAAGAACAGAGGGGGAAGGAAGATAAAAAAGGAATAGAGCCCCAGAGAAATGTGGGACACCACTAAGCTCACCAGCCATGTGTAATGGGACTACCAGAAGGAGACGAGAGAGAGAAAAAAGCAGAAAAAAATTTGAAGAACTAGTGGCTGAAAACTCCCCCAAATATATTGAAAAGTACTAACCTACACATTAGGGAGCTGAAGAAACTTCAATTTGGATAAACACAAAGAGATTCACAGGCATAAGCAATTGATCCTTGAACAACGTGAGTTTGAACTGCGCAGGCCCACTCATACATTGATTTTCTCTCAGTAAATACCATACAGTACTGTCAATGTATTTTCTTTTTGATTTTGTCAACATTTGCTTTTCTCTAGCTTACTTTATGGTAAGAACACAGTATATAAAACACATACAAATATGTGTTAATCGGCTGCTTACATTATTGGTCAACAGGAGGCTGTTAGCAGTTAAGTTTAGGAGGCGTCAAAAGTTATACATGGATTCTCAACTGCACAGAGGTCACCATCTGTAACCGTGTGTTGTTCAAGGGTCAGCTGTATAGTAAAGCTACTAAAAGGGGAAATCTTGAAATCTGCAAGAGAGAAAAACTTGCCCCTCACAACGAGACTGAGCTGAATTCTCAGCAGCAATCACAGGCCTGAAGACCCTGGGAGGACATTCAAAGAGCCCAAAGAAAAGAACTGTCAACCAAGAATCATGTATCCAGCTAAGCTATCTTTCAGAAGTGGAGGCAAAATAAAGACATTCCCAGACACTGACCTGCATCACCAGAAATACTAAGTCCCTCAGGCTAAAAACAAGCGATCCCGGATGGTGATTTGAATTCAAATAAAATAAAAAATAAAAAAACAAGGAGCACTGGTAAAGATAGCAGTAATTATGTAATTATAAGAGATGATATAAATGCATATTTTTCTCCTTAACTAATTTAAAAAGAAATTGCATAAAATAATATGTATATTATGTAATGTTGGTCTTACAGAAATATAGTGTCTATGTAATATTTTTGCCAATAACAGCACAAAAGAAGTGGGTGGGAGCAAAGCTGTAGCAGGTTACTTCACAGATGGTAAAGTAATAACTACAACAATGTATTGTTGGGTTTATAACATTAACAGATGTAATATGCCTAACAACCATACCACAAAAGGAAGGAAATGGAATAGACATGCAGGAGTCATGTTTGTATGTCTCACTGGAATTAAGCTAGTATAAATCTGAAACGGATTCTGATACATTGTGTATGGTAGGCCCTAAAGCAACCACCAAACAAACAGCTCAAAAAATATCATTCAAGAAATCTACAGGCTTCATTAGGAAATATTCACTTAGGGGCACCTGGGTGGCTCAGCCGGATAAGTGTCAGACTCTTGATCTCAGCTCAGGTCTTGGTCACAGCGTTGTGAATTCAAGGCCCCTGTTGGGCTCCATACAGGGCATGGAGCCGACTTTAAAAAAAAAAGAAAAGAAAAGAAAAAAGAAAATATTCACTTAATGCCAAAGGAAGTGATAAAGGAGGATTCAGAGACACAAAACATTAAATGTGAATGGGTGAAGGGCGCCTGGGTGACACAGTTGGTTAAGCGTCAGACTTTTGGTTTTGGCTCAGGTCATGATCTCAGGGTAGTGAGATCAAGCCCCACCCCCCACCCCCCAATCTAGGCTCCATATTCTCTCTCCCTGCCCCTCCCACTTGTGCTCGCTCTCTCAGATAAATCAATCTATCAATCTTTAAAAGAAAATAAAACCCTTTAAATGTGAATGGATGAAATAATTCATTCAAAAGGCAAAAATTATCAGACTGCGTGTATATGAAAAAGACCCAAGTATATGCTACTGACAAGAGACAGGCTTTAGATTCATAGATACTGACAGATTGAAAGTAAAAGAATGGAAAAGGGTAATTCTTGGAAACAGCAGCCACATGACAGGTGGAGTGGCTAAACTAATATCAGATAAAATAGACTTTAACACACACAAAAATTTGCTAGAAGAGATAAAGAAGGACATTTTATAATGACAAAACAATTAATTCATCAGGAAGGCCTAATAATTATAAATATATATGCACCTAACCATAGTAGATCACCAAAATACATGGAGCAAAAACTGACAGAAATGAAGGAAGGAGTGATAATTGGAGATTTCAGTACCCTGTTTTCTCTCTGTGGAATAGAATAACCAGGCAGAAGACCAACAAGGACATGGAAGACCTGAACAGCAGTATAAATCAGCTAGACACAGACATCTACAAAACACTCCCTTCAGGAGCAACAGGATATGAATCCTCCTCACGTGCACATGGAAATTCTCTAGGCTAGACCATATGCTACGCCATGAAACAAACCTCAGTAGATTTTAAAAAGATAAAAATCATACAAAGTATGATCTTCAACCACAGTGGAATAAAATTAGGAATCAGCAGGAAAAAAATTGGGAAACTGACAAATGTGTGGAAGTTGAGCAACACATCCCTAAATAACCAATGGATCAAAGAAGAAATCAAAAGGGAAATAAGAAAATACTTTGAGATGAATGAAAATGAGGACAACATATCAATGCAGCTAAAGCAGTGGCAAATTTATAGCTATGGATGCCTATATTAAGAAAGAAGATCTCAAATCAATAACCTAACTTTCTACCTAAAGACACTGCAAAAAGAAAGAGCAAACTAAGCCTAAAGCAAGAAGAAGAAAAATAATAAAAGTAGAAATTAATAAACAAGCAACATGTGGAGCACCTGGGCGGCTTAGTCGGTTAAGCATCTGCCTTTGGTTCAGGTCATGATCCTGGGGTCCTGGGATCTAGCCCCACGTCGGGCTCCCTACTTGGTAGGGAGCTTGCTTCTCCCTCTCCCCACCGCCTGCTCATGCTCCCTCTTGCTCTCTCTCAAATAAGTAAGATCTTTAACAATAATAATAATAAACAAGTAACAGAGAAAATCAATGAAACAACTGGTTCTTTCAAAACTGACAAAACTTTAGGTTGACTGAGAAAAAAATAAGACTCAAGTTACTAAAATAATAATAAAAGAGAGGACATTACTACCAACCTTACAGAAATAAGCAATATTCTAAAGGAATACTATCAATACTGTATGCCAATAAACTAGATGAGTGAACAAATTCCTAGGAAGACACAAATTACAAAACCTGACTCAAGAGGAAAGGGACAATCTGAACAGACCTATAGCAAGTAAAGATAAAGAATGAGTAATTTAAAAACTACCCACCCAGATGGCTTCACCACTGAAATCTACCAAACATCTAAAGACAACTTAATACTGATTCTTTTATCTAGAAATAAAAGAGGCCAATGTTACCTGATACCAAAACCAAAGACAATACAAAGACTGGAAAACAAAAGATCAATGTCTCTTACAAACATGGACAGAAAAATCCTAAAAAAAAAAGGTTAATAAAATCCATCAACATACGAAAAGATACATATACCATAACCACGTGGGATTTCTCGGATTTATCCCAGGAACGCAAAGTTGGCTTAACATCTGAGACTCATTCAAGGTAATCTGTATCAATAGAATGAAAAACAAAACCACATGATCATTCCCAATAAATGTAGAACACCTGACAAAATCCAACACTCCTGGAGTAGAAGTTACTTCACGGCACCTACAAGCCCCAGCGAACATCTTGCTTAATAGTAAAAGACTGGATGCCTTCCCCTAAGATCAGGAACGTTCATCAGGGTATCACACAAGGTGTGGCCACCCGGAGAGGAGGTGGGGGCTGCATCGGGTATGTCCACTCACCATCCAACAGCCTTTCCTAAACGAGGCAGCTGCAGTCTGGGGGCCTGGTTTCCGTGAGATCCCTGCTCGGGATCCTCAAATATTGGGGATGCTGAGGCTCCCCCACCCTGTCTGCTCTTGGGACGCCCATCATTCAGGGAAGGCGGCACAATTCTAGAAGGATCTAGGCTGATAGTGCTGTTTTACTAATCTGGTCTTTCCTAACTTCTCCGAGGATAAGAATCACCTGCATTTTTATTCATCAGCCTCCCAACAACCAGCCCCCTCCCCAGCCCAGCCCAGATCTGGGAGGCCAGGTGGCTGGATATCTAACAAGCTCCTGGTGGGGGGGATTTGTGCTGGGGGTCTGCGCAGCCAGCACTTCCCCCACCACCGCCCACCCCCAGCCTCTCACAGAGGGGAAAATCATAGGATGGTTTCCCCTGTGTGACAGGTATTCCAGGAACCTCCACGTTACGTGAGGGGCCCTGGAGGTGGGGGACCTTCAGAAAGGCTTTGTTTTTGGGGAGGTCCCCGCCTCAGCCTCGGCCTCGGCTCTGTCCCACACCCCACTGCACCCTGTTCCCTCAGCAGGGCCAGGGCTCAGGAATTCAGTGGTCTTCTCGTGCCTTTTGTGCCTGCCGGCCACCCCCCGAGACCATGAGGTGAGGATTCCTCCTCTCCGCAGCAGGAAAGTCTGGTGATTGTCTCGCCAGGCCTGTGGGCTGGGGCAGTGGTGGCCACTGGGAGGCTTGAGGTCCAGGGGGTGGAGGAGAGGTCCCCAGGAGGCTCCAGACTCTCGACAGCACTTGTCACAAATATGGTCCCAGGCTCGGCCCCAGGGTCTCGGCCCTGTCAGAGACAGACTCTCTGGGCCACTGTGGATCAAGCCGGTGAACCAGTGGGGCAGGGGAAATTGCATGTGGCTGCACTGGGCCTTGTGAAAAGCAACCTGAGAGGACGGAGGTCATTTAAGATGCAGAGTTCCCATCCTTGAGGCCCCAAGTGAGCGGTCTTTGCTCCTGGCTGAAGTCAGGAGCTGATTTTCCCTCCCAGACAGGTCATTCCTCCCAACGGCCCGCCTTGTCCCCACACGCCCCTGCCCACCTGGGGATGCCTGGGGCAGCTTCCAGGTGGTCAGACCCGCGCTGCCCGCCAGGGGCTGTGTGGGGACCATACTTACCCATTCACGGCACTAGCCGCGGCCTGCGGGGGAAGACAGGTCACACTGAGCGGAAGTCAGAGGAGGACGATGGGCATTTTACAACCAGGAAGCGTGGTGGTTGGTTCAAGGAGGCCCCCAGGATCTCTGAAGGTGGTTGTGCAGACATGCAGAGGAGAGCTTCCCTCCTTGGGGTAAAGGGGCACCCCCTGGATGCGGGGTCCGGGGGCACACTCCGCGGCTGCCGTGGCAGGCTCGCCGGGGCCAGGCCACTCCAGTTGGTTCCTGTCTGGCCTGGAAGCTCAGGGACATCTGGGGACTGAGTCACCTTGAGTCACCTTGAGATTCTTGGATCGAAGCGGGTGAGGGAATGACTGTCGGGGACTCACTCCGCCTCTGGCTAGAGCAGCGGGGCTGTCGTTCCGTGATGAATGGAGAGAGGGGGCTGCAACGTAGGCTGCTCACCGCGGAGCTGACCCACCGCCCTCCTCCCTGCCGCTCGCTGACCCCTTTGTGCAAGGCACACGCCAGCCCCAGGCTGAGCGGGACAGCTGTGGGGGACCCTCCGGGTCTCCCACACCTGCTCCTCCTCCTGCGTTCCCCAACCCCACTGTCCCCGCCCCTGCGCAAGGACCCGGACGGGCTGCAGTCTTTCCTCCAGCGGACTCTCCTTCACCGCGGCCCCTCCCTCTGCTGTTTCCTCGGGACCTGCCCACAGTTTTGTCGTAACTGGCATGTCCCTGATTGCAATTCCTCTGCCAATCCCAAAGAGACCACTTATGCTGGTTTATTTTCAAGGACATCTTGCAAGGCCCAGTGAGGCCAGGACGGTGGGACAGCAGGTGCCACTGCCCACGTGGGGAGCAAACCCGCTGGAGTCCAAAGGACCCTCCCAGATGCCCGCACTGAGACGGGCCCTGCCGTGGGCGGTGGGCACGCCAGCTGGGGCGTGGTCCCTGGAGAGGGCTCCTAGGTGCTGGGTTCAGTCCCCAGCCCCGAATGCTGGGCAGCCACGCACGTCTCAGGCCCTCTCCAGCCCGCCCAGGCGCCCGGTCACCGCGGGCACAGGACCCATCACAGCCCCCTGCCTGCGATTAGTCCAGGGGAGGCCGCCTGGTGCCAACCAGGCAGGAAGTCCGGGGCAGAAGCCTGTGGCCAGTGGTTGTCCCACGTGGCGCTGCCTTCCTCACCCCCCCACCTCACCTGCCTCACCCCCTTCACCCCCCCCACCTCCCCCTCCTCACACCCACCTTCCCACCCTCCTTACTCCTGCCTCCCTGCCTCTCCCCCACCCCCACTCACGGCCCCCTCCTTACCCCCTTCTCTACCCCCCTCACCAACTCACCTCATCCCCTCACCCCCCCTCCTCACCCCCACCGCTCTGGGCCCCTCCTCACCCCTCTGCACCCTGCCCCATCCATGCTTGTCCCTTCACACCCCACCCCTGCTCACCCTACCCCCATCCAAGAGTCCCTTGCCTTGTGCACCTGCCCTGGCTTTGGGGAAGGCCACACGTGCGTCGTGATGAAGCCAGGCCGTCACTTTACTCCTCCTTCCAGTTTGGCAGGTGTTTCACTTCTGTCTCATGTTTAATGGCTACGGAGACTTGTTATAGTACTCTTTTTATTTAATGCAAATATAAGCAATCAATTGGCTTATGAATTTCCAAATCTGTGCACTTAAAAAAAGCAGCAGAAAAAGGGGGTAGATAAGGTTAATTTGAATTTTCTGGGAAGTAACTGTTAATATTTATAAGTTGATTATTTGAATTATTTGAAATTTGATTTATTTGAATTCGTGGATACCAAAGCACATAGTTCAGCTTTCCACGTACGCTGACTTCACCAACAGCCGTGGGCAGGCCCCGTCTCAACACAAACGCATGAGGGCCAGGGCATTTCCCAGATGGCAGAGGAGGCCACGGGCATGGGGCTGTGCCCCCTCCCCCTCCAGGCCACACAGCCAGCAAGGTGAGACCCGAGCAGAAGAGTCCCACAGAATGCGGAATTTTGATCCTCAGTCCTGGTTAGAATTAACATGTCAGTCCTTGATGGTTGGTGAGTCACATTCTTCCTGCAGCACTGTGAGCAAGGGCTGTCTGCCCAGCACCCACAGCTCACCACGGGGAAAGGGACCGGAGCGTGACCGCGCTCTCTGGGTAGCCGGCGGCATGTCAGACCACCTCACGACCCTAGGTTTCATTTGCACGGATGATAAACCAATTTAAGGAAGGGCAGCCTTTCAAAGGACGGTGCGCAAAGCTTTGTATTTTTGACTTAAGGAACCACAGATGTTCGGAGCCATTTTTGGTGTCAGTTTGGTCGTTCTGGGTGAGGATTCTCCACAGCCATGACTGCGGGTTGAGCACACGCTCTCCTTAACGGTTATCACAAGAGTCCCGCGGACCCGTCAGCTAACAGAGCAGAAAGAATGATGGGGCCGTTGAAATCAGCCCTGGGAAAGAGGTCGTCGATTTTTCATTGACAAAGCAAATCAAGCTTCCTAATTAGCTACAACACAGCTGGAAAGCTCAGCTCCTACTAGCCTGCAAGCCCTCACTCTCTGCCTGTGTGACCCTCAACAGCTACTGACCACAGTAGCTGCTTTCGCTGTCTCACTCGTGTTCAAAGAACTCATGGCAGGCGGTGGTAACCATGGCAACGAAGGCCATAAATTCCTGGAAGTCACATTCGCCGTCTCCGTCACTGTCCAGAGTTTCCATGACTTTATCCACGACCTCCTGCTCTTTGATTTCCTAAGAGATAGAAGAGAAATTGCCTAGCTTGTTTTTAAATGGAATGTAGGGCCATCAAAACATGATTAATAGTTGGCTGGCTTTCATAATTTGTATCAGAAGCAACTTAAGATATAAAATGCAAAATACCAGAAAGGTTTTTCGTGTGGCCGGGAGACTCTTGGCTGGGCAGAAGTCTCTGGGGGTCCGCGCTGTCTCTTCCACCTGTAGGTCCCGTGGGACCAGAGCTACTTGAAAAAGACTGAATGGAACAACCAGGATCTAAAAAACTGCAGCTTGCTATCACTGTACTTACAACAAAAAGCACCCGGGAAGGGGGAATGCAGTCTAGATAAGCCTGAGCATGGTATAAGCAAACATCCTGGAAGAAAACATGAACTTTTGGATCCCCCCAAGTGTTTCACTGCTTCTGGGAGTGGAAGTCCTTAGAGTGAAGGCTTTCAGTGGGTTTCCATGTTTTGAAAGTTGTTTTTTTCCTGGAATGACTCTTGGCAACAGGTCCTAAATTTGTTCAGTCCTTGTGTTCTCTTTGCCCCTTCAGTTGCTTTCTGGGTGTCATGGGACTTTCCTGCCGGTTCTGCTGCCCCTCACTGCCGCCGAGCAAACGGGGTTACAAGGCCCCCAGGGGCAGACACAGGGCAGGGCTGCAGGTGCGGTGGGAAGAAAGCACCAAACACCCAAGGACAGCGTAAGAGCAGACTGCTCAGAATCGCCAGTCCCCGGAGCAGGAGAGCTCGGCCCCAAGCAGCCAGGGGTAATGTCCACGAGCCCCCTTGAATGTGGAATATATGCAGGACTGATTCCAGTGGGGGTTGGGCGGGGCCTGGAAGCATCTGCCAAAGAGGGACGGGAAGTACCGTGTTTCGATTACATTATGGATTTGCCTCCAAACCGAAATTACAATAAAACCAGGCCAGCAAATGTTGACGATATCTTGATACACTTACCATGAATTATTTGTTCCCACATGCTAAGCTTTTCCTGTTTTAAAATCAATAATTAATAACTAATTATTATTTTACACAATTTATATTATTTTATAATAATTTTATAATTATTAATTATTGATAACTGCTTGTTGAGCTTGCACTGTAGGTTCAAACACTGTCTCATTTCACCCTTAGAACAAGCCTCATCTACAGACGAAACTGGGGGTTTTGGTTGTTAGGTTAGAAGGTGGGATTGGTGGGAAACTGAGTGGGCAGGTGTGGACAGTGGCAGCACTTGAACTTGAATGCCTGAGAAAATCCCAGAATCAGCCCGAGAACCCTATCCCCCCAAGCCTGCAGGCACGTCCTCGGATTTGGTGGTGCCCCTCACAGCGATGGTGTGTTTGGGTCGGGGTGCAGACAGGAGAATCCCAGCCAGTCCTGCAGATGGCGGGCCCTGCCTTGCTGCTGGAACCTGGGGAGCCGCAGTGAGCTCAGCGGGCTCAGGAGGGCGGCTCCTCATCACCGGGCGGCAGGGCCACACGCCTGGTGCTCTGGCGCTGTCCCCGGAATTAGCGCTTGGTCAGACCTCGGCGCCCTGGTTGGTCGTCTGGCCATTTCCTGTGTGTGACCTGGGTTCTGGTACTAAGGGAGGGCCAGGGCCGGGTGGATGCGGTTCATCACCTCAAGGGCACGGGACTGGTGTGCAGTGGAGATGGTGGCCAGCCTGGGGCGGTGGAGACGGGCAGGGAAGTGAGTCGTGGACATACTCCCCCGCAGGCTTATCAGGACCCCTCATGCCGCCTCCTACATTAGGGGCTCTTGCTCCATGGGTGCCCCCTAGGAACCCCCAGGCCTCCCCTCTCGTGCCCTCAGCACGTAGGCTGCGTCCGGGGTTGATGTGCCAGGCTGGGTGCCCCAGAAGCAGGGCCATGTCCTCGGGCCTGTGTCTCTCCCGATAGTGAACACAGTGCGTCCTCAGTAAACTTAACTTGCTGAGTGAATGGCATCTTTAGTCACCTGGTGGATGCTGATCATGCAGCTAAAGTGAAAACAGTCCTTCTCCCAAAACCAAGACCCTATGTTTAACATCTTTCTCTTGTGTTCATTGTGGCCCATGACAAGTCATGAGTATATTTTCCATCCCATTCCGCCATCATTACTGCTGTAAATCCTTAGATTTTTCAGAGAAAAGTCAGCATTATTTGGAACCTGTTCTTTTGCCTTTGAGACAGCAGTTTTTCCTTGCTGTTCCAACTATACACAAAACAGATGAAAATGAGAACAGTGGGGTCATCTGAGCTAGCCTCTCAAGTGAGGGTTCAGTTGCATAAGCTCGTTTTTAGAAGCAGCCTACACTGGAATCACTTCAGCGCAGCTCAGAAGAGAAAATGGACAGGTGGTTTTAAAAGTGGACAGGAGAATGGATAAACTGTCGATTTTAAAAATCAAGACTCACCTCTAAAAAATGGGAGAGCTCATTGTTGATGAGCTCCTTGAGTTCGGATTTCTTCAGCTTGTGCTTATCACCCTCCCTTCCGGAATACTGATGGAAAACATCAATGAGGGCCACCATGGCCTTCTCCAGCTCAGACATCCTAGGGGTCCACAAAGGAAAGATGCCCTCTCATGCTTTTTGCCTTGTTTGTACACAGAAGAGTTAACATGTTAGCTATACAGACCTCCACCCCGAGGAGCGGGCTAGACCGGCCTTGGCTCATCCCCCCTTCAGGCAGAGGGCCTCTGTCCCAATTCTCCTAGCAGCCTCTTAGATCCACTCCTGCCCGCCCCTCCCTTCTCGTCCCTGTGGCCACATCCTTAAGTTCCCACGCCCCCTGGCTTCTGTGTGGTTTGGCCAATGGGGAACTTCAGCGGATAGACAGGGGCAGCACAGGGAGGGGCTCTGGGGGTCGATTCCTGCTTCCCCCCCAGGAGGCCACCCTCTGCCCTTACCAGGCTCCAAGATGAAGGGACAGAGTGCAGGGGAGAAAGGACTGACTGCGAGCTGTTAGAATTAACTAGAAAGAAGTAAGGTGACCAGGAACAAAACGAGGCTACAAAAATCAATAGTGTCCCTGTATTCTACCAATAAACAATTAGAAAACAGTAGAAAGATCCTTTTCATAAATCCATAAAGCAACACACACATACTACTTAAGCATAAGTTTAGCAAGAAAAGTGCAGGTCCTGGGGCGCCTGGGTGATGCAGCTGGTTAGGTGTCCGACTCTTGGTTTCGGCTCAGGTCCCGATCTCAGGGTGGTGAGATGGAGCCTCGGGCTGAGCCCTGCGACCTGGGAATATGCCTGGGGTTCTCTCTCTCCCTCTGCCTCTCCCCTCACTTGCTCATGTGCATATATGCTCACTCCCTCTCTCTCTCAAATAAATAAATGAATAAAATCATTAAAAAAAATAATAAAAGTGCAGGTCCTTCCAAAAGACTCTAAGGACCGTAAAATGCAGGAACTCGCTTTCCTTTGAAATAATATATAAATTTAACTCATTTTAAATACAAGTCTGTAAGGCAATCTTTTTTTTTTTTTTAAAGATTTTATTTATTTATTTGAGAGAGAGAGTGAGAGAGAGAGCACAAGAGGGGGGAGCGGGAGAGGGAGAAGCAGGCTCCCCGCCGAGCAGGGAGCCCGATGCAGGACTCGATCCCGGGACTCCAGGATCATGACCTGAGCCGAAGGCAGTCGCCTAACCAACTGAGCCACCCAGGCGCCCTGTAAGGCAATCTTTTTTGACGGGTGTGAGCAACATGAGCAAAAACAGCTGTAAAACTGAACTGGAAAAAAATATGGCAGAAATGCCGCAGATACTCTTGAAAAAGAAGATGAGTGAGAGATCAAGGAAGACCTACCAGAAACAAAAATGTATTACAGGCCATAGGGTTGGGCTGGTTCTGAGGAAGAAGAGGCAGAGCGCCGCCAGGCACGTCGCATTCCCGGGGGGCCCCCAACAGCCTCCGGCGCGGGGAGGGGGCCTGTTCACCGGTGCGCCCTGCGCGGGCCTGGAGCTGGGGTCTCTACGGGCACCAAAGTACACAACTTCCTACTTCCCTCACCACCTGAACCTCAGACCGTGGCCTGAAAACAGGAAATATGTTGGATCCTGGGACTTGGGTACATTTTACAAAGGACGGCTTGTCAACTGTTTCACAAAACTGAGACATTCAGCCCGAGACGTCTACCGACCTTTGGCCTGGAGTCTTTGCCCTGTCACAGCTGAAAATGGTTACAAGAACTACATCTAATTGTTGAAAAGTCGGTCCCATGTTGGGTACGTCACTTATATCTGAACAATAAGTTGGAAGAAATATTTAACATTTTATTTACTTCTGATTTCTCAAAGGAGAAAGCATTGAGGATTTTTGCTAAAGTCACCCTATTAATAATCAATATCCTTTGTTTTGCTCTTAAATCCCTAAAAATCAGATTTATCACACGTGGATGGGACAAATCACATAGACTAACATCTTTAACCTTTCATTTGTTCTTACCCTTTGCACCCAGGTTTTCAATGATTGATTTTGTTTTTTGGAAACAAAACAAAGAACCCAAGAAACATTTGTATCATTCTGATGTTTCTCAAAGCCTGTGATCATTTGGGGGAAGGAGAGACTAAATTATTTTTTCATAAGGTATGACTAGTGGGATTTTTTTTAAAAGGAAAGGCATAAAACATCTATTCCATGTTTGAAAACTCCATATAATGTGATTTTCTTAACCACACTAAAATTAATTAAAATTTTTTTTCCTTTTAAATTCTTCCCTGCTTTAAAGCTTATCTTTTAAGAGAAGTGGCAATCAAATATCCATATTTCCTTTCCACTTAGTTTGGTGAATGTTACTCCTGCATTAATCTCTTTATGTGGAAAGCGAGAGAGCTTCTGGGCTTTAACTCCCTGTGGAAGGGCACATCACACATGATGTGGGAAGGGGCCCTACCTCCCTGAGAAACCCCAATACTGAAGAAAGTTAAACCCACCAAACCCCCAATTTCTTTGACCCCGTTTGTAATTTACTTGTAAAGACCTCCCAATTGTCATGTAATTTCTGGGTGGTGTCCAGGCGGACCCTGACATGCCCCGTTGAGGGAAAAGAGAGAAGCGGTTGCACACCCAGGGCCAGGACAGAAGCAACAAGAAGAGAAAACATTTATTTTTGAGGTAGGGCTGGCCCAGCTCTGGTTGCCAGTCATTCTCCGCCAGGAGGGAAGTGAAAACCTTGCCCTTCAAAGACTTAGGGAAGAAGCGACATTTGTTAGCCCTGCTGAGGAAATGCAGCAGTCACCTCTGAGCCACGGGGCCTGAGGTTTCTCCGGTTTAAAACTCAGGCAGAAAGAGCCTCTAGCTGTCTCGAGGTGAGCAGTCACGTCCACAAAGCAGTAACAGGATTCACACTTGTCAGATGCTGCTAGTTATCCTAAAGGGGCTTTCGAAGCTACTACCTTGTTCCCAGCCCCACCCTCTGGGTTCCCTGCCCCCAGAAAGAAAAGAGCAGGTTCCCCCCAAGTGTCCTCACGTCAGTGGCTCCTGCGAGCTGCTCCCGTCCCTCCTGGCGGCCGCGTCCAGAGTGGCCTGAGCGGCTGTGGGGCGGTGTCTTATCCCTTCCCGGCGGTGGGGCCCGCTGCGGGCCCAGGCAGCCAATGGGGGCCTAGGGGGGGCGGGGGGGCGGGGGGCAGCGGGCTGCCAGGCCTGCACACAGGGCCGCATTGAGCCGGTGGCCACCCGGGGACTTGCCGAGGAGCCAGGACTGCACTCCGGCCAAGGAAGAGAAAGTCCTGGGGGGCAGGAAGTAGGGAGTCAGCTTTTTGTGCTGTTTTTTAATTATACATGAATATTGATGTTGCTCTAAAGGCAAGGTTGGGGGTGGGGAGAGGAGAGAGACTGAGTCATTGATTCAAACAAAGCAAATGCTCAGCCAAGACTGCAGAGCTTCCAAGTACAGGCTGAACACGAGGACTAGGGCCCCGCGGGCTGCTTTCCAGCGGAGAGGGCCCTGCACGGCCCCTGCACGGTCTCCTGCCCACCCCCCACCCCGAGCCAAGCCCTGCTTCTGCAAAGTGGATGCCGAATGCTTTCAGGGGAAAATCCTCATTCGTGTGGTGGAGGGCACTTGCCGGGTGCACCCCAAGGCCTCCCGCCCCACCCGGGGTGAGGTCACAGACTGTTGGAGCTGGACAGTGCCCTGGACGTGTGCTGCCCAGCCTCGGAGGGTGTCGGCGGAACGCCCCTCTCTGGGGCCCCACAACCAGCTACGGGAGAGCCGGGTCCAGACTCCCCCTCCCCCGTCTTAAGCAACACCTTTCCTGAGCTGTTTCCAAATGGAAACCCAAAAGGCAGGCGTTCCTTTAGCCAAATTATACAAAAAGCCATGGCCTCAAACTCATCCAAGGACGTCTGGACCAGACGCGGGGCCCTTCTGCTGACGTGGCTTCACAGTGGCCACGGAAGGATCTGGACACAAGACATCTGTGGACACAGCTGTTTTGTCATGATCTGTTTTACCAGGAAATTCTTGACTCTTCAACACGCGGCAGTATGTCCTGGAAACAGCACTGGGCTGTGAGCCTTGGGACTTGAGCTGTGCCATCCTGGACCCCCAGCCTGGGCCCACCCCTCCATGAGGTGGGACCTGAGTGTGTGGGGTGGGCCTGCGTCCTCAGCTGCCCCACAGGCTGATGGCTGCTGAAGGGTCACACACTGTGTGCACTCCGTAGGGCAGGACTTGCCCGAGTCCAGGGAAGGGGCGCCTGGCCCCGTGTGGCATGTGCTGGGCACTAGGGGCGGGTTCACCCTGTGGTCACCCTTCCGTGTACAAAACACAGCTTCAGCTCCTGCAGCAGAAAAGCAGTTTGGAATCTATTCATCCAACGCCTGGACGCCTGAGCGTGGGGCCTGCCCCCTGGATACCCACAGCACAGCCTGTGGGACAGCCACATATGGTGGATGCGCCCACCCTGTGGCGGGCTCTGTGCGAGCAGAGAGTGAGGAGAGGGATGCTGGGGCTCACCGGCAGAGAGAGGAACCAGCATCCGGACGAGAGGGGCTTTCAAGTGCTGCAGGGCCCCCAGGGCAGCATCCTCTCCTGCAGGCGCTCACAGACTGAGACTTCAGCAGAACACGGGAGCATGACCTCCCCTGCTGGGTGTCAACACTACCTCTTGACAGAGGAGCGACTGAGGGCAAATTACAACCATCCCGGGAGAGGGATGTTCATAGCCCTCATCCGCAAGGTGGTCTGGGGCCCAAAGCTCCTCCTTGGCCTTTGCACTTCCAGCTGACCCTGGCTTCCTCTCCAGACTCCCAAGTTCGGGGTCTCATCTCATTACACTGGACCCTTGGTCTAGTCACGCATGACCTGCATACCCACTCCCGACCTACAGCTCTATTCCACAGGAGCGGCCTGTCCTAACGCAGCAAGAACTACGTACTTGAGTAGAACACATAGACTGTGAATGACGCAGAGGGACGTCCCAGTACTCAGAAGGCCTTGGTCCATGGAGATCTTTGGCAGTGGATGGACAGCCTACTCAAGCCGTCCTTAACCCAGAAGACAGAAAAAACTCCAGGTTTGGGAACCAAAATCTAACTTGAATCACCACCGTGGAGAACCACGGCCTCTCTCTCCCAAGTTCCCAGACCTAAGTCGGGTCGAACCCCAAGTCTCTTGAGGGAGGGCGAGGCCTTTCAGATGGGGCCCTGTATTGCCACCGGTACACATCAGGAACCGTCCTTCACGCCGTCCCCAAGGGACCTGCAGCTACTTGTTAATGTGACCACATAGTGGAAACATTAAGATCTAAAAGGAAAGGCTTAGAGATCTCCAGGGATTATTAGATATGGACTCTGAGTGGACGCTAATTCCTGGGGCCACAAAATGGCACCATGGCCCCCCACTCCCTGTAGGAATTTGTGGTGTTCGGGTGACAGAGTCTTAAGCTGACCAGCTCACAGTGAGCCCAGGTGGTGCAGAGAGTCTCCCTGTAGTTACGGTTCTTGTCCTTTCTTCTATTAATGTAGTGTATCACATTGATTGATTTGCAGATGTTGAACCAACCTTACAGCCCAGGGATAAATCCCACTTGGTCGTGGTGAATAATCCTTTTAATGTACTGTTAGACCCTATTGGCTAGTATTTTGGTGAGGATTTTTGCATCCATGTTCATCAGGTATATTGGTCTGTCATTCTCCTTGTTGGTGGGGTCTTTGTCTGGTTTTGGGATCAAGGTAATGCTGGCCTCATAGAAAGAGTTTGGAAGTTTTCTTTCCATTTCTGTTTTTTGAAACAGCTTCAGAAGAATAGGTATTAATTCTTTAAATGTTGGTAGAATTCCCTGGGAAGCCATCTGGCACTGGGCTCTTGTTTGTTGGGAGATTTTTTATTACTTCTTCAATTTCTTTGCTGGTTATGGGTCTGTTCAGGTTTTCTATTTCTTCCTGGTTCAGTTTTGGTAGTTGATACATCTCTAGGAATGCATCCATTTCTTCCACATTGCCTTATTTTTTGAGATATAGTTGCTCATAATATGTTCTTATAATTGTATGTATTTATTCAGTGTTGGTTGTGATCTCTTCTCTTTCATTCATGATTTTATTTATTTGGGTCCTTTCTCTTTTCTTTTTGATAAGTCTGGCCAAGGGCTTATTAATCTTATTAATTCTTTCAAAGAACCAGCTCCTAGTTTCGTTGATCTGTTCTACTGTTCTTTTGGTTTCTCTTTCATTGATTTCTGCTCAAATCTTTATTAATTCTCTTCTCCTGCTGGGTTTAGGCTTTATTTGCTGTTCTTTCTCCAACTCCTTTAGGTGTAAAGTTAGGTTGTGTATTTGAGACTTTTCTTGTTTCTTGAGAAGGGCTTGTATTGCTATATACTTTCCTCTTAGGACTGCCTTTGCCGCATCCCAAAGGTTTTGAACAGTTTGTTTTCATTTTCATTTGTTTCCATGAATTTTTTCAATTCTTCTTTAATTTCCTGGTTGAGCCATTCATTCTTTAGTAGGATGTTCTTTAACCTCCATGTATTTGAGTTCTTTCCAAATTTCCTCTTGTGATTGAGTTCAAGTTTCAAAGCATTGTGATCTGAAAATATGCAAGGAATAATCCCAATCTTTTGGTACCCTTTGAGACCTGATTTGTGACCCAGTATGTGATCTATTCTGGAGAATGTTCCATGTGCACTCTGTTGCTTAAGGATGCACGCTCTGAATATATCTGTGAAGTCTATCTGGTCCAGCGTGTCATTCAAAACCCTTGTTTCCTTGTTGATCTTCTGCTTAGATGATCTGTCCATTGCTGTGAGTGGGGTGTTAAAGTCTCCTACAGTTATTGTATTATTATCAATGTGTTTCTTTGATTTTGTTATTCATTGGCTTATATAATTGGCTGCTCCCATGTTAGGGGCATAGATATTTAAAATCGTTAGATCTTCTTGTTGGGTAGATCCTTTAAGTATGATATAGTGTCCTTCCTCATCTCGCAGTATAGTCTTTTGTTTAAAATCTAATTTGTCTGATATAAGGATTGCCACCCCAGCTTTCTTTTGATGTCCATTAGCATGGAAAATGGTTCCTCCCCCACTTTCACTCTGGAGGTGTCTTTGGATCTAAAATGAGTCACTTGTGGACAGCATATCAATAGGTCTTGCTTTTCAAAACCAGTTGTTAAGGCCCACCAGAAACAGTTTGCTTTCACCTGGCAGGGCCAAAAGGCACACCCTCAGTGTTGTCCCAGGGATACATCGGCTCTCTTGCTCGATGCCAGAATATTGTCAGTGGAGACCTCGATCATCTTGGCAGCCCACAGAGTAGCACACTGGTCCACTCTACTGACAGTAGTGTGCCAATGGGGTCTTATGCCTGTGTAAGACATCTGCCAACTGGACACTGGGAGATAAGCCCACAAAACTTTAGGGGCCACCACCTCATTGAAATTCCAGGGGTGATGTCAGTGGTCTGGAATATGTTGAAATATCCCCTGGCACCACCTGCCAGGAAGAGAGGCATAGCATTTGGTTGGTTTGGGGATTTTATTTTATTTTATTTTATTTTAAAGATTTTATTTATTTATTTGAGAGAGAGAGAATGAGAGACAGAGAGCATGAGAGGGAAGAGGGTCAGAGGGAGAAGCAGACCCCCTGCCGAGCAGGGAGCCCGATGCGGGACTCGATCCCGGGACTCCAGGATCATGACCTGAGCTGAAGGCAGTCGCTTAACCAACTGAGCCACCCAGGCGCCCCAGGTTTGGGGATTTTAGATATGACATATACTACATCTGTGTATGCTACTTCAACTCAGGAGGCTGGCATTTTCCAGTGGAGATCAGAGCAATTTAGGTGGCAGGGCAAGCTGCTTTGCCATTGGTTCTCAGGATCCTGCAGATCTGGTGATATTCAAAGTGTCTATGACACATTCAGATGCAGTATGGACCCTCTGACAAGCCTGAGAGGAGGATCCCAGCATGGGTCTCTAGGATTTTGAAGTAAGTCTGTGTCCTGTTTGGCAGCTAACTATTCTCATTTTGAGAACAGCGTCTGGTTTGCTACTGGGCCTTAGTAGAGATGGAACACCTAAGCCAGGGACATCTGGAGACCACACAGTTCAATGCTGTCTGACCACGTAGCCATAACTTTGGGTACATGTAACAGCAGCATATTACCAAATGGAAATGCCTAGGACACA